CTTTAAGTATTAGTTGTATGAATGTTAAACTCAACATTGTATACAGTTCTGATAGTATCAAGCACATACAAAGCTTTTCACATGACAAATTGAAAAAGCCAAGCCACTCATTAACCCTTTCCATACAGTGAAGATCCTTGGTGAATTCTTGGTTAGGCCATCAGCCTTTATGATCACAAATAAAAAATCCCATACTGTGGAGGTGAAATGGCCATGCTTTAGGCATAATAGAAGTAAAACAAGTTCTCTTTTTCCAGAATTAAATGTTTATAATGGGCAACGAATTCAAAATTGTTTAAACCCAATGTGGACAAAGGGAGATGATATTGCAGTCAATAAACTACGCAAATCAATTGTTCTTTGAAATAGTATGAAGACAATAGGCACAAGGTCACCAAAGTATTCTTACATCCTTCAATTGTTTTTCACTTGTTAAAACTAACATGCCAATATAATATACACATATAGAATATTGATGTTGAGTGGTTACACTTCCCCACAAAATATCAAAATCACAATCATAATCCCAATAAGAAAAGTAGAAGGTTGAAAATTATTAACCTTTAAAACAGCCGACCGGGAATTAATAGACTTGTGAATGGACTTATCAATGACAATGTCTTCATTGATGTTAACTCCACCCATCTGCTGCCAATGCTTCAAAGACGTATTTGATGCTCGAGCAATAAATTGGCAGCTCCAGTAAACTAGACAAAAATATACATTAGAAAAAACTCATTTAAGAAAGATTGGCAGCTCTATACCAAATTCCCCTAAAATGAATGCATTTCATACAAGGAGCATACCTTGCAACCAAGTTCAAAAGATAAAGGAATGCATCTAAACAACCATTTGCAAGCATACTACAAAATACAAACATATGAATGCCTTGAAACGGAATAGTTTGCTCACCATTTACACTGGGAAAAATGACAGGATAACACGGACCCTGAAGTTGAAGAGAGGAGTTTCTCATTTCCGGTGTAAGGAACTCAAAATAATCGTAGTTCACATTAACCCAATCTTTCATCGAAAGACGAATATCTCCTTCAGGATAGTCACAAACCCAACTAAGAGAATCTTCTGAAGGTATAGGGCAGTCCAACAAGCATATACTCCGTGCATCGGCCAGTTTAAATTGGCTGTCCTTCAATCCACTCTGATAAACCTGATTAGGATTTTGCCAATATCTAAGTTCCAATTCGCTAAGACCAGGGTGTGCATGCTTGTCTCCACACACATTGCCTTTGTAGTCCAGTCCATAAGTAAGCCTGGTAAGTCATAGTGTCAATAATCACAAGTTCCATAATGGTATTAAAAAAGGGAGAATAAAATTTGTTGACTTCATGCTGCTACACATTCTACTCTTACTTTCTGCTTTAAGTTCTTTAGCACCCAAACAAACAACAAAGACTGATCCCCAGTTGAAAAAAAGCATTGTAATAGTTGATAAACCCAGTAAGAATACATTAGCCAAAATCAAAATTGAATGATTTTACACACATCTTAAATCATAATTTCATATAATCAAAAGCAAGTTAAGGTACACAGAAAACCCACTTACTAAGAAAACAATGTTTTTTTTGTAATTTCTTAATTAAGTAAACTATTCAAAACTCAAAAGAAAGTAAAATGGAAAGTAGAAAATCGTGGACCTCTGAACAGAAAATTGCATCCATTACAAATTTTACTAAAGAATACGCACCATAAAAATAACCCCATTGAAAAACAACACCCCATGTGTTAAAAATCTACATTCAATACTACAACTTGCCAATTGCAGAAACTCCATTAACAGCTTCAGCACCGTGCACATCATGGATAAAGTTGGAAACTTTAAGAATCTATACCTCAATGGGTTTCCTTGGTTGAAGCCAAAGCTGGAGTTAACAATCATTGCTATCCAAAAGGCTATGAAGATCACAAGAACAGTGATGTCTCTGCATTTTCTGTTGTGCCGTATGATTCCACCCATTTGTGTAACTCCATCACTTGATGGGTACCTTCCAATTACTGCACCCAAAGGACCCCTCATTTTTTCAAGTTTGTATCTTTAGGAAGTAACCAGCTTTGGTTCAATTTAGCATTCAGAGAGAGTAGAGAGTGTAGCAGATAGAGAAAGAAGGGGCAGAGTAGAGTGGAGCAGAAACTAGTTAGGGGAGCGTGAAAGCCTGTGTGTGCGAAAAAGCAAGTGTTTTTAGATTTGGGTTTTATAATAATATGATTTTTTTTATTACATCTTAAGACAGAGATTTTCTAAAGTGGGTGTTTTTTTAAGTGAATGTTTTGTGGCTTCTTCAACACATTTGACTCCCAGCATGCTGCTCCCCACTCCTCGGCTTAACTCCACTCTCCACCGTCTTTTGAGTTTTGAGTATATATATATAAGTAACGCTTATTTATGAATATTTTTTATACTTGAAAAAAATAAATTTAATATGTTTTGATCTCTATTATTTTAATATTACTAAAAAATTTACCATTTATTGAATTATTGACTTTAATGGTATAAAAGTGACGAAGATTAAAATATAATTAAATATTTATATAAAAATTAAAGTATATATTTTAATATAAAAATTAATTTATAAATGCTTTTCAATTATAATAATTATATATATATATATATAAACCTTTAAAGTAAAAAATATATATACATGAAGTGAGAAAGAATGAATTTGTTTTTAATTGAATGTGAATTAAATTTATGATGTATCTTAATTTTAAATAATGAGTTTATCATTTAACCTTGCTTTTAGTTTCAAAACAGATAAATCTCATTAAAATAACTACAAATTGTAGGGGGGGGGGGGGAAGTCAAAGAAGAATTTGGGTATTTAAAAGCTATTCTTTAATGGATGAAAAATAATGTAGAATAGAGTATAATGATATTTACTTCTAGGATACCATTGACCAGTGTTTTTAGAAAATCACTTAAGAAATTAATAAATAGAAATTGATTAAAAATCGTGTTAGATTTATTTAAAAAAATTAAATTTGATTTGTTTTTACCAGTGTCTATATTTGTCTTAATTTTACTGTTTAAATGGTTGAAAACAAGCTAGAATAAGGTAGAATTTGATTAAAAATGTATTTAATATTAAATGGTGTTTATTTTTCTTTACAAATTGGGATATGGGATGGAATGAGTGTTCCTAATTTTGTCATAAAAAAATACTCAGAGATGAAACAATAGAGTGATAATTTTATTTAAGTTCACTCTACTATAATTTTATTTTAGTCATCATTGAATAAAAAATGTTTAAAATTAAATGTTATTTTATACATGAGTTATTGTATCTCATCCATTGAATTTTTTAATTCAATAATTAAAGCTCTTTACTTTAAAACAAAATAATAAAATATACTTATAGTTTAAAAGAGCCTTGTCTACTATTTTATGTATTTTCATACTTCACTAATAAAAACTGTTAACATCATGTTTACTGTTACTGTGATAAAAGAGAGTTGGAATGAAGAATGAGCCGTTAGCCGAAGTGGAGAGACAAGCTAATATGGGAAGTCCTTAAAAAAAGAAATTTGAGAATAATAGTATATGGATGGTCCCACCATTATTATCAGACGGACAGAGAACGCTCATCATGAGTTCATATCATCCAACTGGTGGACCCCACTACTGTTTGCATTCCCTCTTTCCTTCCTTGAAAGGTCTCTTTGCTCCATATCTACACCGTATCTTTACCATTTCTACCTTTTTCTTTTTCTTGATTCATTCATTGGTATCAACAATTTACATTTTACATTAGACATAGACATAGTATATGGACCCAAATAAATGGAAGTGATTTTTAAGAAAATGCACTTCCTTTTGGCAATTGATAATGGGACAAAACTTCAACAATTGTTGGTAATAAGAAAAAATTGATTTGGGCTTGTAAAGAGGCATAAGAGGCAACCATCAAATTTTCACCTTCGACAACTCCTTCGATGACCCTGAACGATACTGACATAACAAAATGAAAAGTGGCGATCATCGACATGGAGGTATAGAAAATTACAATAATGTCATTCACTATTGTTACTTGTATAGTTGGTTTCGTATCCTACAAATTTAGCCATTAGATTGAAACAATTCAAAATTATCAGTGAAAAATATAATACAAGATTTTATAAGCCTTTATAAAGAATCATCTCCCTTGCTTGTTTAAGGTGGACCTAAGAATCACTCAAATAAATAAAAGGGATAGACATAGTATTATATTAATCATGAATTAAAATTCATTCAGCATTTACTTGGACTACTTTTTCAAGAAGCTAACGAAAAAAAGTCGAATAAATTAAAATTCCTCGCCTGCTTTTGTGGAAATAAAAAAGGGGGAGGGGGAACTTGAAAGTACTATTTACACTTTTCTAAAAGCACGGGAAACAAGGAGCAGAGATTGTTTGAGAGAATGTATTTTACTTTTATTTTAGTTTTTAAATTTTAATCATAAAACTATTATTTTATTTTTATTTTTTTAAAGATTTACACAAGAAAAACATTGCAAAATAATTTTTTAATCATTTTAAAATAGAAAAAAATGTGAAAGATTTGTAATTAAAAAAACAATTTTTGAATTAGAAAGGCTTAGCTTCCTTAAAAATAATTTATTTGCATATGTCAAATTTAGAAATGGAGTGACAATTAAGTGTGTATCCATTATTGAGTACTAACGGTAGTTGATAACAACACTAGCATGAATGACATTTGGAAAAGTTAGGGACTAAAAAGCGAGGGAATAAAAATCCTAGTTAAATAAATAAAAGAAAGAATAGAGAATCACTCTTAAGATTTCTTCAGTAAGACAATTAATGAATTACATTATATATCAAAAATCTTCCAGATACATTCAATACATTCGGAGGATTTTACAGACATTCTGAACTTTCTCGACTTACATGACTGTTTAAACATTAATGATACATGTAATGTCATCGTTTATTTCAAGTAGCTTGAACTTTTGATAGTTTTAAAATGCTCACCGTAATCTTTCCCCGAATTCTTCAATTCACAGCAAATTCCATCCAACTATATTGCAGCATCAGAGTCCAATTTTCTTTAGATCTCTCTGTCTACACTGAAATGAAAGACCAAAAAACTAAAGGGAGAGAAAAAAATCCATATTATTGCAATCTTAAGTCAAGAACTTCCTTTATCTCTTCATCTAGCTCTATGCTATCAGCTTTCATACTCTCTAAAATCCCATCTACATCCTTCCCACATCTAACATACATCTTGATCAAGGACAGATACATGTCCCTATTCAATGAAATCACAGTCTTCAATGAATTGACAAAATCTTCTACTTCACTAATATCTTTGTTATTAGAGGCCCATCTCAATATGCTGGAAATGATATCAACTTTTGGTCTCCAACCTTTATTCTCAGCGTGTACAGCCACAGCTTCCTTCATGCATTGAAATGCCTTCTCCATGTTCTCCTTGACCACATAACCAGATGCAATGATAGCCCAACTGTTAGGAGTAGGAGTCTTCCCTTTCTCGACCATGCTTTGGAGCAGTGTTTCTGCCTTTTCAGTTAATCCCCTTAGGGAATACCCAATCAGGAGGATATTTGGCACTCTGAAATCATAAGTGTTACCAGATAACTGCCACTCACCAAGTACTTTTTCAGCTTGATCAAGGTCTCCTAGCTTCACCAAACAACCCAGCATGGTTATATATTCCCTGTTGAGTTGCTTCTTGCAGTTTGTTTTCTGGAGTTTCCAAAGTCTCATCATGGCCCTTTTGCTCCCAAGACCTGCATAATGTGAAATCAGATGATTGTAGGCAATCGCGTTGCGTTTGTCTGCCTTATCCTCACACTTCTTCAGGCACACCAAAGCTTTCTCCTTCAGGCCTGCTTTTATGTACAAGTTAGCCACCATAGAGTATGTCATCCAATCTGTGCCAATGTGGGGTTCCCCTTCCATTTCCTCCAACAGTTTCTCCACATTTACGAGATCAGATCTCGCGCCATAAGAGTTTATGCAAATCCTGTAGCTGACAATGTCCGGAGAAACACCATCTTCTTTCATCAGTTCCAAAACACCAGGGACTTTCTCAAGTTGATTGGTTTGTGCGTAGAGGCACATTATGTTATTGTAATTGAGCGAGGAAACAAAACCCATTTCCTTCATTTTCTGCATCTGGGACAGTGACTTATCAACCAAACCTTCTCTCACATAACAATTCAAAAGAGCACCATGAGGCTTCCAAGTTTTGTCTCCGTCACTCACACTCTCAAAATACCTCTCCGCACTATCTACTCCACGAACTCTGCCAATAAGATCTAACTGCACTGCTTCATCACGGGGTGAAATTGGACACACCTCTTTGCTACTCATCCACTCAGAAACCTGAACTTAATCGTCATAGAAGATATCTCAATAGTTAATAGATAAAGCATTTGATATTGCATGCTGTACTCATTTAAGTTCTTAATTTTGCTAAAACTTTAATTTAGTTCATTTAGTTTGGATAGAGAAATTTTAGATGAATAGATTACATGTATTTAGATAATGAAAAAAAGTATATGTAGAATGCTTTAGAATTTGCATGTGAATTACAATGGATTTTAAATAAAATAGTTTCAGAAAAAAAATTTAAAAGTTCCCAATAATATTCAACTTTTTGTAATTATCATTCATAATTTTTTTAATATGTGATCAACATTTTAATCGTTCTCATTATTGCGAAATCTTCAGAATTCTAAAAAACACAACCTTAATTATTTTCCACTTTCTCTTCCAAAGAAGTTAAGGAATAAGGAAAAATTTATGGAAACCTGTGGAAATAAATTATAACTTTTTTTAATGAACTTTTTTATATAACTTATCAAAATAGTTTATTCTAAAAGATGACATGATCAAAACAAAAAGAGGATTGGTGACCTGAAGCGCTTGAGTGAAGCGCTTGCGGCTACGGAGGATCTTGATGATGCGTTGAAGCTGAGGGCCGTTAACGGCGTTACCTTCTTCGATCCACTTATCGAGAACGGGAACTACGCTGATGGAAGGGTCTCCGAGGGGACTGATTCTAGAATACAGGTTTCTTCGATTCGTGCTCGTTGAACAGTACAGTCTCCGACGCAGAAAATTCGCGGTGAAGTTCCCACACTTTTCAACGATTGCTGAAAAAAACGGCGTTAACGGCATTGCCAAACGCTAACCAAGTGTTTGTAAGAATGTTTGTTGACGCAGCGATTTGGGAAGTGACTGTGAAGAGAATGAACAATGTTAGGGAAGTGATCTGAAGTCTGAAATAGCAAAGCGGCGCGAAAACTTATTGGGCTGGGTTTTGAAAGCCCAAGATTTCAGCCCAAGAAAAAATTATATTAATTGAAGGTTAATAGATATTAAATATTTTTGAATCATAAGTGATCTTCAACATGATTTACATTTTATTAATTGATAAAAAAATATTTTTATTAATTCTCATTTTAGTTACATAATTTATATTTAAAAAACATTAAAACGTGTATATATAATCTGCATCTCTTTCTAATTTTAGTCTACATCACATCATGTATTATTTATTAAGAACCATCATGATCGAGGTGCATAACACCGTTATAGACCATAATATTTTTTAAAAGAACATTTAACACAGCTCTATTTAATTAGATTTGAATTATATATATATATATATATATATATATATATATATATATATATATCATGCCAAGAAAATTAGAGAATACATGAATGAAAAGTAAAAGTTGACAACTCTCAACCTACATCCCAATATTTCACACACGAGAAGGTGAGAATTAACACATTTGGTTAATTTTTGTTAACATCATCATTTTCTTATTCTAAGTAAATATTGAAATAACAAACATTTAACACTCCCAACAATTAAGTGGAGCATATACAAACACACATTCGACTATGCAGAGATGCAGAGTACATCCTTAGCATTACTGCATTATTGAATTCTCTGAAACAATATCAATTAAAAGAAGAAGAATTGTATATATGATCATATCCTCCACTCCATCCTTTTAAAAATTGCATGGTTGTGGACATGTTAATTTTGATGTCTGTCTTTCCACTTTAATATGATCAGCATCTAAAAGAACTGATTGTGTGACGAAAAAGTTTGTCCAAATCTCCAAGTTGAAGGCACCACACTGAGAAACACCAATGTCTTACCATCAACCAAAGTCATTTTGAATGAGAGTCTTTGGTTTCTAAGATCTGCGCTGCTTTGCCAGTTAGCACCCCAATTCCTATGCATTGGCAACCATACTCCATTTCTGGATCCTCTGATCCACACAGCCTTAACATCCCCACTACCACCAACGTTTGATATCATCACCATGTTGAAATTGGATTGCCCCTTCAATGTGAACCTCACTCCCCCTCTTCTTTTGCATGCCACCCTTCAGTGCACGAAATGGAAATCACAAGTCAATGAATGATTATTGATTAATTAAATGTACTCACAAGTTGGTTTTTCATCCCACCTTCTCCAACCTTTCCCCAATAGTTGGCCATATATAGTTGATCAATTACCATTTTCTTTTGATTATATATTAAAGAAAATGTTATGCTATTTTTTTTACATATATTTACTTTTCATCTTTATTATGCTGTTGTTAACTTGTTTGGTGGTATGATGTATAAGCACATTAATTAAAATATTAATGTTACCCCCTTTAAACATCAAAATGTAAGCACAACAGATAGATCAAGTAATTGGAGGCAGATCTAACTTACGGCATGCAAGTCAAATGAGAAAATAAATTCCTCACATTATACACCTTGAAAGAGAAGGAAATTTTGGATAAATGTAATATAGATAATATGATAAAAATATTAAAAAAATAGGTGTAAAATTAAATTGAAAAAATCAAAGAAAACTGTTTCACTTTCACACTTGATTTATTAAAAGATGCTATCACTACTTGACACAGATCTGATAGGAAAGAAAATAAAGAAGACCTCGATCCTTTTAGACAAGGGTAGAGGTAGAGGTAGGTATAATATATATATATATATATATGATCATAGATCAGTTGTAAAAGTACATTGAGATTCATGTTGAATATTCCAACAATCCTTCACTTGGTATTTCGTATGAATTAATCCTGAAAGTAAAGTTATGTTATGTTCTTTTGAGATGTAAAATTGTCATCAATCAATGCTGGTCTTCCACACTTTTATAGTTTTCTTGCTGCTGGTTTCATGGTAGAAATTATGATTTAAACAAATTTAGAACATAACATTTTATTATCTTATTTTTGGGCTATTTAAAATGTGTGTCTCTCTCTATATAATAATTATAATGATATATAATATCACATATAATATTAATTTTTTTTTGTTTGAAAATGGTGTTTCATGAAAGAAGTTGGAAGTGTTACTACCTTCTATAAAGGACAGGAACAATGCCTTCATTGCCTTGTCGTGCAATGCGTAAAAAAGCAGGCATGGACATGTCAAAGTGATGGTATGGAGGGTCACACCATCCACCATGGTTGTTTGGAGGGCAAAAGTTAGTAGCAGTTATTGTCACACTGCGCCGAATGAGGCACCATTTTGGGTCGACCCTGTAATCACACATCACTTGGTAGCAAGCACCACAAACCTCACCGTCTCTGAAAAGCATGGTGCTCACTGCCGCAGTGTTCACACCAAACCCAGCATGAAAGGTATCATCATAGCCACAAGCTCCCCCTGAAAATGTTACAGAATTATATTCAATGTTGTTGATCCAAAATCTAATATGAAGAACAATTGTTTGCTTTAATAATTGTCAATGAAGTATTTCAAGGATGAGCATTTCGATGTTATAATGTTCATATTGCATGTCCTATTATTATTGTGTTACCTTTTCATTGTTATATTGCATTTTAATTTGATTTATACCAATAAGCTATTTAGCATGAATAACATGGAATGACATTTAATTTACTAGTTTTGAGAGGAATATAGGTGAACAAAGTTATTATTTTCAAATATAATTTTGTTGATTATCATAACTATAAAAGTACTATTAGTTTAAAAAAATATACGAATAAAATTTTATCTTATTATGCTGTATGATCATGACCTCTATACACATGGATCAACCCAATATGACAATGCAAGAAAGTTAAGCGTATAAATTATGATTTTTACATAATAATACGACTTACCAAGGCTGGTGGGATTTTGATTGGCCCCATAGAACGTTGCATGAGCATTAAGCCAACCGTTATTAGCTTGGACGTGGATTCTAACTGCACTTACACTAAGAACCAAGAAAAGATACCAAAGAAAACTTGAAGAAAACATAAGAGGCCCCATTTTCACACGAAAGAACAATTTTTGCTCTATTTTTTCTTTCGTTAAACAATATATGTTACTACAGAGCTAGTGTGCTACGTATGATCCTCGGAGGAAGTGTCTGGTTTTATAGATTGCATACGCGGTTGTCGGTGAATATATATAATTAAATTGGATCTGTTAATTAACGACTTTGATGGGATTTTGAACTTTTATGAAAACGCGTTGCTTTACACTTCCTATGTAGTACGAAAGAAATGTACGGTGGGAGAAAGGAACTCTCAGACAAGAACATAAACAAGCACATGCTATGGCCTGTCCTCACAGCAAAGTTTTCAGATCCTCTCTCTGTCTAGTGTCTGTGCTCTGTGAGGAAATGAGCACCTATATATCTTTCACATTTTGACCTTTGAAACATCAAAAACAGAAAAGAAAACGTATTAATTACTAACAATTTGAGAAAACTGAAAATATAGATATTTGCATTGTATGCATGTTAAAAATAAGAAAAATGAGAAATTTATTAATTAGAGATAAATGACAAATTATATAAAATGCAAAAAATAATCCATAATTTATATAACAAATAATTTTTTTATTATTACTAATTTAATAATTTGATATAGGAAAATCTCTAAATGAACTGTCCATAATGAAGAAACTGTGACCTGATTTATGTTTTTTTTTATCTAAGATAAAATAATAATATAATGATTTATCTTAACGTTTGAATACATATAATTTGAACACATAACGTGTCTATATATATATATATATATATATATATATATATATTTTGTTTGAACCCTTTTAATATCTTTGCCTAGGCATTAGTTTAATGTTTATTTCTTTTTCTGTCGAAGTTTTTCATTCTCTTAGCATGTGCTTATTTATATGTTATTTACTTTTCTGAATTTCGTACAAAAGAGTAATAGTTGACACGCATATATAATATATAGACATGCATTCAATTTGATTCTTCGAATAAGATGCCTTGAATCATGTACACATGGAGGAAATAAATTTGTGATTAAGTTATTTAAGCAGATATTAATGAGCAGAGGATAGAAATTCGATATGTCTAAACAGAATAATATTAAAATAGAACCATAAATAAGGAATGCTAAATTGATTTCCTATCATGGTTATTGTAGATAAAATTAATCATAATGGTTTCCATACTATATAACAAACATTGACTATTAAAAAAAGTATGGAAATCAGAATACTATATGCAAATAATTACAAACATATAATTACAAAAAGGTCACCAAAGTGTTATCCAACAAGTTGCACCTGTCATTAATTAAGGTATAGTGTTGATAATGTCATCATCTTCTAGGAAATGATTTTCACTATGAAGACCGCGAGAGGCAAAAAATATTCATGGCTACCAAACTTTGAACCAGAGAAAGCCTATGATAAGTCTGTTAATTAGTCCTTTATTAAGGATGTTTTGCTTTTTTACGAAGATTTTTAAAAAAATACAGATAATGATTAAATTTTGAAAAAAGGTAGGAGAGTATATCAAATTTAAATTGGAAAAATTAAAAGTCTGTAAAAATAAAAATGGATAGATTTGTTTAGAATTTCAAATGAGCGATTAGTAGATAAAATTTATTTGAAAAGAAAATTTAAAAATAGTCAAAGATAATGGGTAGTTTTTTAGGAGAATGAATAAGATAATAAAGAAAAATAAATGGTAGTTACTGAGAAATAAGGAATGAGGAGGTGATTGAGTCTTTTTTTTATTTTTTTAATAAAAATAATATTAATCAAGAAAAGTTATAAATAAGAGAAAAGTGTACCTAGAGAAAAAAGAAATAAAAAAAGAGAAAAAAAAGATAAGGTGAGAAAGAAAAAATAACATTTCAAAGCTCAAGAAAATCAAAATATAGAAGAAACAAAAAGCAAAATTGGAGAGCAAAACACAATCTTGTTGTGTTGATATTATTTTATTTTGCACTTTCACTTTCTTTGATTCTTTTTCTAGATATAATACTAAATCCTAAAAAAAAATACATCAAATAACAACTTTTTCATTCTTTTACTCTTTTAACTGTATGTTCTTCTTCTTGTATAGTGTTTTAACATTTTTTACATCTTAGTTTTATTCATTTTTTGATCTTTTCTTAAGCATAATGAAATGCAAAAAGTGTTTCTTCTTCTTAAATAAAATTTAAAAGGAAAAAATAAAGCTCTTAACAAAATAGAATAAAATTATTTCATTATGATTAAATTAATAATTTCTAAAACTTATCCCAATCTTTTTATACGTCATTGAATTTTGTTTTGTTGTTACATTTTGTGAATCCTCACATTTTTATTTTTAATTCACAATTTATTAAAAAAAGAAGAGAAATTAAAGAAAACAATTTTTATTCTCTATGGTTAAGGTGTCCAATTCTGACTTCCCCAAAATGGCTAAAACACACACACCTTCAAGTTATTTTAATTTTTATACTATATTTATATTTTAAAAACATATATACAATTTTAATTTTAATATTATTTTATTATAACAAATGTAATAGTCCTAATTATATCTTTCCAAATATTCACATTAACCTTTTGTATAGCAGTAGTTGCGAAAACGTATATATAACTACACGTAATTAGAGTTACACATATATTTTTTTTTACGAAAGATATTTTTTTAACGAGCATGATTTAATTTATAGACTTATTTTTTAATTGTTTAGTTTAATTAAATTATTATTCTACTCTAATTAGAATCAAATTTCTTTAGTAAATTTGTTTATATATTCTTGTGATATTTGATTAATAATATTAAATTTGAATTATTTATATTTAATATCAGCAACATCTAATAATTTATTTTTAAATATTAAAAATGTCATTAAATCAACACAATCTATTCCTTATATTTAATGAAAATACAAAACATGAAATATTTCACATTATAAAGTTTATACGATGCTTCTCTTCTCCAAATTTTATCTACTACTTATATCTACTAAATTAGATTACATTATCTTAAAGGTGTTTTAAAGTTTTTGAAGCCAATTTATTTTAGCTTTAAAAAAAGGAAAGAAAATTCTTCATATATATATATATATATATATATATCTGTGTGTGTAGTAATATTTTATTAAAAATTACATAATATTATTAAATTAAATATATTAATAATATTAAATAATATAATTTTTAATAAATATTTATTATTTTGTTTGTTATGTGATTATAAATAATAATAATAATAATATTTATATATTTTTTCATATAGAAGATAAAATATAAATAATATGTTATATATAAAGAATAAATATAAAAATTTTTCAGAATAAAAATAAAATAAAGTGTAAATATATGAATTGAAATAAAATTTTGCGTCAAATATAAAAAACAGGTTTGACTTCACTATAACTCTATTAAGCGATTAAGAATTAATCTATAATAATATAATAAAAGAAATTAAGGACGAGACGAAAAAAATTAATTTTTTATAAAATATAAAAATATATTTAAATTTATAATAAATTAATTTTATATTTATTTTGTCATTATCGACACCAAAAGAAAGATGTAATCGTAGTTATAATTTTACCATAGTTGGGTTTTGACCTCAGTTAAAGTTAAAGAAGAGTTAAATTACATGTCTACGTTACCACGTATACTCTCGCTTTGCAGGTTATCGCTGATTCGTTTCTTCGTTGCAACGGTAATTGTTTTTTTTCGGGAAAAGGTTTCTCTCTCTGTCTCTCTGTTATTATTTTTATCTGTGTGTTTGAAATTTTTGATTCGGAGCTTTATATGTTTGCTCTTAATTCGTTGTTTCTTCGATATTGCTGGTGTAAATTGGTTTAGCAATTATGGAGTGATTATTGATATCATAAACAGGGAATTCAAGTTCATAATTGTTTGTGATTTTTTCTTTTTCCTCAAAACCTAGTGAGAGGTGGGTTTCTATGCTTCTTTCCCTCTTTTCTTTTTTCTCCTAAGATAAAATTTGGTACTGAATTTAAATTTTGTTTAATTGCCCTTAACTTTTTCTAATTGGGGTTGGGTGGTGGAGTTTATTTACTTTAGGACGGTTAAGATTTTGCTTTTAATTTTTCTGTGATGATTTTTGTTTGTCAAATTTGGTACTGAATGGAAATTATTTGAGCACTTGTGATGTTTATGGGGGAAAAAAGCTTTGTGAAATTTTGAAGTGCTGTAGATACTGTTGTATTAGATAATGTGAATGATAAGGAACGATAATGAAGAAGATTGAGCTTAAGGACTTTAAGCGATATCTCATTCCTTTTCGAATTTTTGAATGGCAAGGATATCTTCTTCTATTTGTCACCTGTTTGATTGCCAAATCTAGTAAGTACTTACACAGGGCACTGAATGGCAAAAACTCTGGTATTAATTGCATTTTTGTGCGATAGTATAGTAGATTCTAAGGGAGATTGCTTGCAGCATTATTCTGAAAGGCTTGAGATTTTGTTCTGATCATGAAATTCTCTTATCTTTGTTTCAAAAAGTCCTTGCTCTAAATAGATTTGTTGAAAGTGTGATTTCTGATGGAGATTAGTGTAGTTTGATCTATATAACTAACACCGTCATGTATTTTACTTTGTTGTTGTTGGTAATTTATCGTAATGTCTTAAAACCATTGCCTTTTTGGTGGTATCTTTGAAATAGAAGTACCCTAATCTCTACTTGATGATATTACTCCCATGATGTAGATATCTGGTCATAATGACGATTCACCTTTTTTTGCTTTACCATTTGAAGCTCTGGATTTCAACAAAAATATAATATGCAATTGTTGAATTCATTGTTTGATCCTGTATCAGACTGTATCCAATCAACAGAAGTTAGAGTAATTGGTTCGACATCGTATTTTATGCATATATTTCATTGTTATATGTGCAATCATATGGCCTTTTTTTCTTTGTTATATATGTGTGTAGTTTTGAAGATCAACAGATTAATATTTTGTATCTTTCAACTGGAAATGTTAAAACACTTGGTTCAGTAACAGTAACCAACATCTAAATACTCTGATGGATGTTGGGGGCACCTACATCCTGTTTGTGTGATTTATCAATTATGGAAGTGATATGGGGTTGTTTTTTCTATGGATTTTCTAGCCAAATTGCATGGAGAATGTATGCATCCTATGTTGAACATGAAAATCAGTTCTTTCTATACCTTTCTTGCCATGGGATGATATTTCATGTTAAAGTAAATCCATACCTTAGAAATTTTGGTAATGTGATTAAGATTGCCATATTGATGAAACAACTTACTATATTGTTTTCATTAATTGAGTTTCATCCACGCAAAACCCAACACTTTCTTCTTTTCACTTACATTTATCTCACTGGACTTGTAGCTATGGATATCGAAGATGCAGAGAATAAAGTTTCAGTTTCGTCTGTTATTCTCAATTCCATAGGTTATCGGCAGAATGAAGTTCTTTCTCCAGAAGATCTTGCCTGGGTTGATTCATGCCTAAATAAAGATTCTGACGTTTCAGAAAGTGATTGGATCCCTCTGAAAAATGCTTTATTAGAAATTATTAGTTCCCAATCGCAATCTTTCAGTGCTAATGTTGAAGAGACAAAAATTCCACCCTACAGTATTAGTTCAGAACGTAGTACATTAGAACTTAATCAGCAATCTTCAACTTCTCATGTGGAAAACTTGTCAGAGGCTTCTTCAACTTTTCATGTTAAACCAGTAAGTATGGCGATAGAAACAAGCAGTAATCAAATTCCTGATGATGAAAAGAGTGGGACTTTGCCATCCTTCACTTTTCAGGGAAATCCTTTTCTGCCAACTTATAATGAAGACCTGAAGGAGAATGAAACCATTGATTTTGGACGTAATCTGGATTCTTCCACGTATGAGATGGAGCACCTGGCCGAGAATATCTTCAAAATCTGGGATTTAGACATTCCATCTGAGGATGGTGAACTGGTTAAACAGTTGGACAAAGCCCTATCAGAGAATTCCTTTCAAACAGTGCCATCACCTTTTGATGATTCAGCGAAGTGGAAAGACATGGAGGAAGGCTCACTTGATGATCTTATTGCCAGTATTGCTGACTTGTCATTAAATAAAAATGTTTAGTGTTCATTTATTTATTTAGGTTAAGATTATTCTGTCAATTATGTTTACTTTTAAGTGTTAGTATTGAATTATCCTTGCAAAATAGGACTACTGTAGTATATACAAAACATTTCGTGATTAAGACAGTTTTGAATAGGGATTGTGAAACCGTGGAAGAAACAGGACGTATATGAATTAGTATTAAATTTCATTTATCTTTTTTAAGTTTAGATTTATTTTAATTTGAAAAATAAGTAATTTTGCTAACAGTTTTGCTCATTATTATTAGATCCTATTTTTATGTTTTTCTAAGGTTCACAAGATGTCATTAAACTGATTAATTGTTATGAATTTTTTTTTTTTTATTATTGACAATATTCTTATCCTTTTTTGTGTGCAATTAATTCATAATTCTAATTATTTGTTTTATTTAAATTTTATTTAATCTTCTAATAAAATTAAGAGTATGTTTTAGATTTTAGTAACTTTTGAATATTTTACTTTTGACTTTTTTAATAATGAGTATTTTCTATACTAATTTTAGCGGTCAGCAAAAAATTGTTAGGAAAGAAAGTTTTTTTATTTTAAATAAATATATTTTAAATAAATATTATTTAAAAACTAAAATATATAAATTAATATATTGATACAAATTTAATATATTAATCATGTATTTATAATTATAAATAATATATAATTTTTAATTTAAAATTAATAAATATTTTTTTCTTCAAAAACTCTCTTCTAAATGTCTTAAAGCTCTTCATTTAAGTATTTTTAAAGTAAAAAATACAAGTTAAAATAATCTCAGTATTGAATGTATTCTAATTTTTATTACCTAAATTAAATATTTTTAATAAAATAAAAATAATAAGCTTAAAACTATATGAAAATTTTGTTGTAAAACGAATTAGGTGGGATGTCGATTTCCAGGTTACTACATTCATTCTTCAATGAAGGAAAAATTTCATTGGGTTACAAATTTAGTATCTCTAAAACTAATTTTTTTTAACATTATATATAATATATATATATATATATATATATATATATAAGTTTACATAGAACAAATATTTTTGTATGAGTTTGAAAAGAGTCATTGAAGACTAATATATATATTTTTAATTATAGCATCTTCATAAATGATCCTTTATTTAAGCATAACTTAAAAGCTTGCCACCCGTGTAACTCCTCACACATTGCAAATTAATTATGAACTTAAGAAAGTTTAAACACCTAATTTTACAATTGATAACATATGTTGTAATGTTGTAATGTTTCACATAAAAAATATAATTATAATAGTAACCTCCTTCTACTCATAAATGGATTCAATTCTAGATCACACTATTTAAACTAGCATCAAGTGGAACATATGCATAAAATAAAAATATTCATAATACATTGTATTTTTCTCGTATCTCATGGCAAAGCTTAGCAAGTATCTTATTTTATTAGGTTTCTTGTTTACTTCCACAGTGGAAATAATCTTAGCCTGTGAAGAACATGAATCTTTACTTCAATGTTCAATACATATTGGATCTTGTGGAAAACAGATTTTTGAGTATGTTTTTGAGGAATTGCCAAGTCATGAAAATGGTACAATGTCTACAGATTGTTGTTATAAGCTTATTCAAACAGGTTATTCTTGTCACATCAGACTCACCATTTCTGATCTTCGAACAAATCTAAAGTTAAAACATGCAAATTGGGATAAAGTTCTAGCCAAGACTGACAGGATATTCCAGAAGTGTGATGAAATAACCAAGCCAGAGAATGATAAATTTTTGTCTAAGTGTGTTGAAGAACTAGGCGCTGAGTGTGGAACACAAGTCTTTAACAAACTAATTTTTGACCAGAATATTACAAAGCATTGTTGCAAAAAGCTTGTGAAAATGGGTGAATCGTGCCATATTAATATGACAAAAGCTTTGATTCGCATCCCTGACATGAGACATGCAGACGCAATTCAAATTTTGAGGAAGAACAAGATAATATTTGATCAATGTCATTATGTGGAATAACTTATTCAAGTGGAGAAATTATCTAAGAAGTAGAATAAAAGAGAATAAATCAATTAATTTTTACATTTTTTAAATTGTTTTCTTGCATACGCAAATTCTCTATCATCTTTTTCATCTATTAATTGTATTTGCAAAACTATTTAATTGCAAAGAGTGTTGATTTTTTTTTTAGCAATACAAAACTATGTGAGTCTTTGATGAGTAAAATAAAAGGCATAATTTTGTATTCTTTTCCAACAAGAAAACTATACTCAGGACAACGTTATTAAATTGGTCTATGCTATGTTATAGAAAGCAAGTAATGTAATTTCATAAACATATTTAATACTTTCAATAATAATATACTCTTATAATATTAAATAGAGCTAAAAATTCAGAGAGTAACATTGTGTCTTTCCTCGTTAAGACAAAAAGTTTGAATGTTATTTAGTTGTTTTCGAGAAGAAAAAATTTTAAACGAATGTGTGCTTGGTTTAAATTATTTTAAAGAAATAATTACTCATTTTTGTTATCCTTCAATTTTGAATATAAGTGATTAATCATTTTGAAACTGAATGAAGTAAAGCCCAACAAATATATGCTCACCAAATATAATTTTGTAAAAAATTATAGCATTTTAATGTTATTATTATATGATTTTTATTACATTAAGTGTTAAATTTTTTATATATAAATATTCTTAATATATATTATTAAACATACATTAAAAATTAATAAATTATAAAATAAATTTTTAATCTATGTTTGAAAATATATAAATTTAGGTTTATTAGCAAAAAAAAAATTTAGGGCTTTTAGCCCCTTTATCTAGCAATATATATATATATAAGTATATTATTTTTTATTAAAATAATAAAATATTATAAATTTAATATATTAATTTCATTAAATACTGTATTATTTTATTACAAAATTATATTAATAGTATGATTAAAAACACTTCAGGAAATTAATAAAAATAAATTAATAAAAAAAACACACTTCAGAAAATCAATCATATAATATCATAAAGACTTGGTAATTGACTCAAAGTCATAAAAGCGTGCATAGGAAAATCAGCCTACTTCTTGTAATTTATTTCGGACAATAAATGTAATTATTTTCATTTTAGGAATAAAAAATGTAAAAAAATAAATGACACTTAAATAACATTGTTTCTATAGCAATTAATTATTTTGTCTTTTTTTCTTTATTGAGCTATTCCTTCCATTGAAGGTGTTCAAGAGTAATCAATAAAAAATAATAATATATTATAAAAAAATATTAAGCTATAATGTGACTGACAAGTCAGATTTTTTTTATTTTATATTTTTAATAAAAATTTTCTATATATAAATGTTTACTTTATATTTTTAAATACACTTTAAAATAGTCGTTTATCTGTATAAACTATTGAGTTCAACTTAAACTAAATACTATACAAATAAGAATAATTTTTATATTGCACTTCACATATTATCGTTGGAGATGGTTAAGATTTCTTTCACACTAATTTTCACTCTTGCTCTTATTCTTATACGTTTAGTAATTATTTTCTTTCATATGCCTCTGTTAAAATTGTTGATTATAATTGTTTTTTAGATTGAAAGTCCAATATTTCAAACCACAGTTACCAAATTTTTGAACTAGTTTAAATGATTAGTTCATTTGTGTAGAGTATCAAAATGATTAACCACTAATTAAATTACTAGATTAAGGATTTTGTGACTTGATTTCGACCCCCCCAATCCAAATATTTTATCAATCTTTTATTTATTGATTTTGATAAAATAATACTCGGTGTTGATATTTTTATTAAAATAAATTTAATTAATTCAATTGTTGATTCTTTTAATATTATCAAAAAACCAAATATATAAAATTTTATATAATTTAAATATTTATAGATATATAATATAATAATAACTGTTAACTTATATTTAAATAATATATCAGTTTTTAAATTGGATAAATTTTGTAACCTTCATTTATTTGTGTTAAATATATATTAAAACTGTCACTTTATTAAATTTGACATTGAATATCATTTAATATGACATTTATTTATAAGTTTCTAAAGTTATACATTTTATATTTTTTAATAAAACTTTTTTATGCATAATTTTTTACTTTATATTTTTAAATACACTTTAAAATAGTCGTTTACTATAAATTCTTGAGTTCACCTTAAACTAAATAGTATACACACAAGAATAATTTCTACACTGAACTTCTCATATCATCGTTGGAGATGGCCAAAATTTCTTTCACACTAATTTTCACTCTTGCTCTTATTCTTACAGGTTTAATAATTCTTCAATATCTAATTTTGTTTCTTATGTGTTTCTTAAGACTGTTGTTTGCCAAATTTATGAACTAGTTGAACTTGATTGACTTAACCTAAACCAAACTAGATTTTGAATGATAAGTTGTATTGTGTGTAACTTTGGTTTTGCATTTTCTCAGTTGCTTCAAGGGCAAGTTGTGAAGCAGTGATAGAAAGGAAATGCCAGAAAGTGTTGGATGAAAAGAAGTGCAATCTTGCTAAGTGTCAGGACGATTGTGCTATACAATATCAAGGAATTGGACGATGCATTGGCAGAAACCCTTACAAATGTTATTGCATATACGATTGTAATGCATGAATGATCCAATTTCAATATGAATCAATAACAAAATCAAGTTAATATATTTATTGCAACTGTTACTTCTCATATTCACTGTCACCAATTACATTTCTAAAATGCTCTGTCGCAGATCAAAACATAAACATTTTACACCCAATTTTTGGTTGTTTATATATTTTAGATTATGGGAAAGGGTTTTTCTCTCTCTCTTTTTTAATACATAATTTAATATAAGTTTAATTTATTATTTATTTTTATAAATAATATATATTAATTTAAAATTAAATATTTACATTTTCTTTCTTTTTCTTTAAAATTTAATTTTCAAACAAACATAATCTTTAGTGTTTTCGTTGATGAATTCATTAATCTTTAAAAGAAAAATAAATCCATACTACGTCTTGCGGTCATTTTTTCATAGGATTTTGAAGCTAAGATATGAGATTGCGGAGGGAATTGTACAAAGAATAATTTTAAATTTTTTAACTTTTTATTCTTATAATTTTTTCTTAATTATTAAATGACAAATATTTAATATAATAAATAATTGTTATAATATTTACTTTATAAAATAATAAAAAAATTATTAAAAAATATAACATTACTCTTTGCCAATTGCTAATAGGTCAATTGACTGACGAAAATTAGGACAAGGAACATTGAATGAGTTATTTTCGTTGGATAGTATAGACACCAAAGGAATTGATATTGGCCGTAAGATCTGTTGTGGCAAAATTTTTACTTAGAAAAGATTCATAATATATATGAAAGCCTTTAAAAATTATGAAATATAAATAACAATTCTTTTATTGAGTTATAAATTAAGATTTCATTTATCTAAAATAAAAAATAGGTAAAATGAGAAGGTGTGAGAACCTATTTAGCTACCATTAATTTTAAATTAGTTATATTTATAAATATTTTAATTGCAAATCAAAATACTCTGCCTAACATCAAGTTTCGTATCATTGATGAAATAAGAAAAAAGAGATAGAAAGTAAAAAAAAAAATTATTTAAAATTGCATTCCAAACGCATATGTTTAGTGAAAAATCTAATGTATATAAAAAATATAAATATTTTATTAAAAAATAAGAGTATTTAAACCTATTTTTGAGATTTTGAACTCATCAAACTTGAATCTATATTATTTTCATAAATTTAGAACTTCAAGAAACTCAATTGTTATTAAATTTTTTAACTAAAGAATCTCCTCTTTTAATTGAATTATTTTGTCTTTTACTTTTTTTTAATGTCTTTGATCTATAAGCAATTCTCTGTGTGTATTTTTAACAACTCTTCAAACGTGTATTAAATTTTATTAAAATTAATAACTAGAAAAATATAATTAAAGAGTCTACTTTTATATATATTATAAACAAGTTAGAAAAATGTAATTATTTTAAACAAATTATAAGCAGAACAGATGACATGAAAAACTTATAATCTAGTGATATTTCATTTTAATGTTCAAGTAACTTCCATTAGTTTGTTTTTTACATTTTTGAAGGCAGCATATATGACATAGAAATATCTATAATTAAAATATAATTTTACGGCAAAATTTCAATTTGGAGTGGTAGCAAGAGGTCTCAAATTATTAAATAAAGATTAGATGACAACATATTTTTCAATCTAAAAATATCATTTTATTAACATATTTAAGTTTTGTTCAATTTATTCATAAATGATCTTTAATTTGAACATAACTTAAAAGTTTGTTATCCGTATCTCATAACTCTTCAAGCATTGCAAATTAATTAAGAAGTTAAGAAAGTTCAAACACCCAATTTTACAATTTGTAACATATGTTTTAATGTTGTAATGTTTCACATTAAAAATATTGTAACTTGCTACAATCACACTATTTAAACTAGCATCAAGTGTAACATGCATAAAACAAAAATATTCATTATAGAGTGTATTTTTCTCATATTTCATGGCAAAGCTTAACAAGTCTCTTATTTTATTAGTTTTCTTGTTTATTTCCACAATGGAAATAATCTTAGCTTGTGAAGTAGAAGAATCTTTACTTCAATGTTCAATACATATTGGATCTTGTGGAAAACAAATTTTTGAGTATGTTTTTGACGAATTGCCGAGTCATGAAAATGCTACAATTTCTACAGATTGTTGCTATAAGCTTATTCAAACAGGTTATTCTTGTCACATCAGACTCACCATATCCGATCTTCGAACAAATCCAAAGTTAAAAGATGCAAATTGGGATAAAGTTTTAGACAAGACTGACAGGATATTTCAGAAGTGTGATGAAATAACAAAGCCAGAAAATGATAAATTTTTGTCCAAGTGTGTTGAAGAACTAGGCAACGAGTGTGGAGCAGAAGTCTTTAACAAACTAATTTTCGACCAAAACATTACTAAGGATTGTTGCAAAAAGCTTGTGAAAATGGGCGAATCTTGCCATATTAATATGACAAAGGCTTTGATTCGCATCCCCGACATGAGATATGCCGATGCAATTCAAATTTTGAGGAAGAACAAGATAATATTTGATCAATGTCGTCATGTCGAATAAACGTGTGCTTGATTTAAATTATTTTGAAGAAATAATTACTCATTTCTGTTATCCTTTAATTTTGAAACTAAGTGATTAATCATTTTCAACCATACTCAAGTGAATCCTTCTCTTAACTCTCTTTGATCCTCATTGTTTATTGCTATAGAATTGGTTCTTTGATATTAATATTTGCCTTTGGGAATTACTGTATAGGTCATCGTTTTTGGCCAAGAAGACTTTTACATGGCAGGCAAAGTTAACATAAAGGATTACTCTGTTATAAACCTTTTTACTCTTTCACGATATGTCTATTTGTCAGAGGTTAATTGTCCAAGTGATCATTCTCACCATTTTGGGTTCATCGAGGACTATCCTAAGAGGTATAACACCCAAATTTTAACTCTCTTAGTGAACCAAAAATAAAATTATGTTGTTTTGTTTTATTAAAAAAATTTAGACTGAGTTTGAGAAATAATAATTTATTTTAAATGATTCTTTCTATTATGGGAAATTTTAATTAAATTTTGGAAATAGTAAACACGAAATAACCAAAATGCCCCTATATTGTGTATTTAAGGCCTGTAATTTAATTGAATTCACAAGATATTATAAAATTAAAATAAATGTTTTTTCACAAATTAATATATTAGGATAACCAACAATATTTTTGGAAAACTTTTTAGTTTTATTATTTGAAGACAAAAATGCCACTAGCTATTTTTGAAAATTGTGAAGCTGCCCTTTGGATATTTATCACTGCGTGAGTTGGGTCCAAAAGCTTTCATCAGCTGAAAATATATCTCAAAAATGATCTATTTGGCTTGATATGGGGAACATAAACTATAATCTAGTAACATCATTCCATACTTCATCATAAAATAAACATCATCATAATCACAATATATACCAAAATCTACTATCCACATGATTGCACAACCTGTAGTATATATCCCTAACAGTATCAATATTCATAACTGCACACTAGTGCCTATACATTCAGTGAAATAAAATGGTCTTCAAAATAAGAGAAGACACAAAAGGATACAACAAAGAAGAAAGATAGAAACTCTGTTCAGAGACTTGTCAATCTGCATTTCTTGCCTTCTCATTCTAGGACTGCCACTTCCATTATGAGGGTAAGCAAACAAATTTGCCTGTGAGACTCCAAAAATTCTTGTCAAGACCATCTCCCCAAACATACCAATCACAGGGTTAAAGAAACTAGTCATAGCTGCACCTCCAAGATAAGGTAATCCATTGGTACCATAACTTCCATAAAGGTGAGGAATGTAGTGTTCATAATGAAATGGCCGTGATTGTGCCTGGAAATAACTTGGATGGAGTTGCTGCCCGGGATGCGGCTGCCGCAGCCGCGGACGAGTAGAAGTTAACACTGCATTCAAGTTGTAAGGAGGTGGCCTGTGAGGTATTCCCAGACTCTTCTGGATTTTCTTGGATTCAGATTCTGAATTAGATGTTCCGCGGCCATAAAGGGGGACTAATGAAGCATGAGATATCTCAGATTTACAAACCGGGCATGTCTGATTCTGATCTGATTCATCAGAAGAGCTTTGGACATCAAGCCATTTATATATGCATGGCCAACAGTAAAGGTGACCACAGAAAGTGACCACAGGGTCATGTGCCGATTCCAAACAAATATTGCATTCAAAGCAACCATTGTCACTAGTAGGGATTTTTGTCTCCACTGAAGCCGATTTCAGTTTTTGCTTTAGTGAGACTCCCCCATTAGAGTCAAAGTATGAAGAGTCCATTGAATTTTCTCCACAATATACCCTATTGAAGACTTCAAAAATGTCAGAAAGCAGCAACTATTTTGGACAAAACAGATCTACAAGCAGAACCAATGAGATCAGAGATTTAGAAGACAAATGAAACTTCAGATAGCTGCATGTTTTCCAGTATTCTATTGTAAACATATTAAAACTCTGTGATGTTGAATAATGTTTCCATTCAATGGGTAACTTGTGGAATTATTAATTGATAATTTACACCCAATGAGCATGGCACAAAAGCTATTCAATAATTGCAGGCACACCCAAATATTTGAAATTAGCCTAGAAATTTATGATGATGTTCCACAATATAAGGAAAAATATGTGGATCACAAACCATATTTATTAACACACAGGTTCCTAAGGCCCCTTCAAAATCAAAATCACTTACATATTAACAGATATTTTGGGTTATGCAGCAATGAGTTCACAACATTGATTTCTTAAGAAATGATCATTTCTACGAAATGCAACTAAAAAAACTTTGCCAAAGTCCAATATATCCTCATGTATTTCATATTAATTTATAACATTGAAAATGCAAAGATCAAATTTCTATACCCCTAACAGAATCATACTCTCATTTTAGAATCAGCAATACTCTTAAACCCCAAAAAACACACCATTTTTTAACAATTTCAGTTAAAAACTTGCAACAGAATAACCCCTTACCAACCTTACCGCAAAATAATAGGTGTTTATGGTGCCCCAATTTCAAGAAAAATATCCCCCGAAAAAACCCTTTATTCATCAAGAGAAAGAAAACAACGATTTAAGAGAAGGGGGAATCTCAAGGTCATTTCACAATCATTCATCACTAATATCAAATTCCCCATTCCAGTAACAGAAATTGAATAAAGACTTAAGCTGATTCCATCCTAAAAAAAGAGAGCGTTTTGAAAGGAACCTTAAACGTTACCCCACATGAAAAACCCAATGCATGCAAACCATTTGGGAAGAACATCAAGAAACAAAACCAAAGACCCATGTCAAAAAACCCTATTTTGATGCCAAAAAACCTTAAGGAAAACTAAAATTCTTCATATCACGTATCATAACAAGAATAACAACTCAACAACCCAAGAGATAAGAAAACAAAAATACCTTTACAACAAACGGAAATTCAGATGCCAATGAACAACCCAGTGGTTAAAAGGAATCAAAAGCAGAAAAAAAAATAAAAAAAAAAGAACTCCAAATAGAGAGAAGATGAAAATGGAAAGAAAAGGGGTTAAAGGGTGTGAGAGAATCGGATTGAAAAGGAAGCAACGGATGAGAATGAAATATGGATATGAAGATTATGTATTCTATGTATATATTTATTTTTACTAATTATTAATTCATTAAAATAAATAACTTTGTTTTTATTTACTTTTTCAAAAATCATTATGAATAATCTTCTCAATAATAACGCCATTTAATTATTATTTAAAATTTCAAAGGTCGGTTATATTAAGACACGTAGCACTGTGGGGGTTCAAATCATAGCTTTTTGGGAGCGCTTTCTTGCGATGGAATAGGCTTTTGATTTTTTCATTTTGTATTATTAAAAACGTGCATTAATGAGTGACACATGCTACTGCTGTTGTCTTCTCTTCTTTTTTCCCCACTGGAAAGTCAATAATTCACTTTTTAAATATATTCTTTTATAATTCATTAATTTTTATGAAGGTAAAAATATGTTTTACATTATAATTAATTTATGAAAGAGGTGTTTTTTATTTTTTAAAAAATAAACTAATTACAGAGAATATATTTTAAAAAATTAATTTAAATACAATTTTAAAAGAATGCACAGTACTATTCAATTATGAGTTGTTATCAGACTTAGAATCTTTAATTTTGGTAATAATTATCATTAAAATCATGCTAATTATATTTTAGTGATTATAGTGTAAAAGTATTCATACTAATAATATATCAGAATTAAATTCTTTAAAAAATGTGTTATTAATATTTTTTTTTAAATTATTTTAATTTACTTTCTTAATCAGTATATTCAAAAATTAGTTAAGAATAAAAATAAGTTTTAAAAATTACTTTTTCTTCCTTACTTACTGCTCAATATTTGTGAATTTTAAATTTTTTTATTCTTTATTTTTATTAATATATATATATATAGCATTACACATAATAAAAATTTATATATAATAAATTTTATTAAAAAATACATAATTTATTATTAGATAATATTATTTTTTTATATATTACACAAGTTAAAAAATATTATTATAAATTCTTCTAATTATTAAATAAAATAAACTTCTTCTTGTCTTTTATAAATCATCTTTTAAAAAGTTTTAATGATATTTTTTATGAGATATTGTATATTTTTTTATAATATTTTTATTAACTTCAGTTTTTAGAGTTGAATTTAAATATCTATAAATAAAAAAATTTATAAAAAATATATATAGTTCTTATATTAAAGTTATAAAAATATAATAAATATTTTTTTGATAAAACTCTTTTTATAAAACGTTTATTATAAGCTTTTTACATTACATCTAAAAAGTTTCACTGCCGATGGTATTGACGCTAGGTTTCACAATACTGTGTGTGTGACTGTAATCCGTGGACAGGAGATTCTACGTACATAATAAAGCATATATTTCCATAAAAAGTTTAAAATAAATTGTTAAAGTATTTAAATATTCATTTTACTTTTTTTTCAAAATAAAGCATATGAATTTTTACTTTTATTATAAAATTTAAAGCTTCAAAATAATTATACATATTTTTATACGAAAAATATATAGTTTTAACATACACAAATTTCTTATACATATTTAAAATCTTACAAATATTTTGTCTTTTTTAATTTTATACTTTTTAATTCTACCTAAATTTCAAAATGCTCGTAAAATTAACATATATTTTTATTTTATTGGTTATCGTTCACAAGCGTTTCTTGTATAAAGGAAAAATCTCTACAACATATGAATTTGAAGGCCTCAAGAACATAAGGGAATGATTTAAAATTAGGACACTAAACCCTCCATCACCTTCATCTATTGACTATTACTATCGTTGCTCAAGAATATTAGTGAGGCAGGTGTAAAAAGATTTGGTGGATGTATTGTGTAATGAATGTTCCTCATGTATTATTCAATTAACAAATGGAATCGCATGAAAAATGTTGAAACTCTAGAAAACGTATTGTTAGAGATGAATGAGACACCTTAGTAATTGGAAAAGTTAGAGGGTGTTTGAGGATTAATTTAATTAAAGGCTTATTTAATAAGCCTGTATTGTAAAATTATATCACAATTTTATTATAAAATTTGTTGATTTAAATTCAAAATAATTTATTTTGATAAGCCATATAAAATATTTATAAAAATTAAAGTTATTTTTATAAATTTTTAAAAAAATATTTTTATACTCCCTCCTCTCCTATTTATGAGAAATAAATAACAAAATCATGAAATTTAACAAAAATAGTTAAATGATATAAATTTATATATATTTAAAAATATTTTTTTAATTTAAATATATTAATAAATAATTTTTATAGATGAAAACACCAATGGTCAATATCGACCATTTTGTTATCATTGGTGAAAACAAAAAGCTTGTTGGCCCAAAATATTAATGGAGATGATGCTGTTGTTGCATTAAATTTCGGGACAAATAATGATTTTGTTTAGATTGCAAAAACTTATGCATTTTGAAAGTGGTTACAGCTGGCACAATAAATAACATTGTGTGGGTCTTTGGTTGAAAGTCACCTCCTTGATGCAACATTAATTTTAATCTTATCTATTGTGAAAATGAACCCTTTGTTGCAAAAATTCTACATGAATTGAGTTTTGAAGCTTATCAAGATAAATAAGTATAACATAACCAATCTTGTAAAATTAAAATTATTAATTAACTCTAAGAACTGAACCAATCTTATATTAAGGAGAAACAACTTGCTTTCCTTCAAACTGGTAACTCCCAGAGAAGGGAAAGAGAATTCCCATCGATCATACACTTGAAACATCCAATAAGGTAATTGACCCTTCATCTCTTCCACTTTTCTCCTTCAATCAAAATAATTAATTAATTAAAAAAATTAACTACACATAGATAGCATTCAGCATTTCTTATTATTCACTTGATACGTTCCTTTCATTTTCCTACTAACATCGTCTGAAGGCATATCATCATTGATGCAAGATACTGATTTTCAGGGTTTCAAATCCCCAACATTTGAACTGCAAGTTGCAGTTAGAGAGAAGCAGACATGAAGCAAATCTCAGTTTAGAAATTGCAGAACCCGCATGTCCGTTTATTATCTCTCCGTAGCTGCAACTGCAATTCTACTGTATGCTATACAAATTCAATTTAAAGACACTTATGTATAAGCAAAATTTCATGTTAATATAGTTATACATTATTTCCCTTAAAGCTTAGTTGATGAGAGCCATGAGCATACCATTTCAAATACTATTTGTTATTTGTTCTTTCTTTTTTTGGTGATTAACAGTATCATTAGTGTTGTTCGAAATTAACAAAAAACTGAAGCCTCTAACAAGTTAAGTACAAATGTAGCTGAGTTACTCCACAAATGGAAGATAACAGCAATATTGAAACATCCACTGGCTAATAGCAAATACAAAAGAGAGGCTAGAAGCACAGAAAGTTTAAGGTCAAAGAGTCAATAACAAAGATATGCATGTATTTCGCTTCAGCCAAATGCACCAGAGAATTAACGTTACATTTCCAAATTATCCATTTAATATCCATGAGACCTAATAGATCTAATTTAAATTATCTAACTTATGTTTTATAAACATATACCCCACGTGTCACCAGTGTTCAGTGAAAGATTAAAAGAAACAGAAGCCAGCCAAAGATGTAAAGTAAATTTAAAATGCGCTATGATCAATGGCAAATTCACTTAGTAACTAGAATAATCTAAAAGCAGAAAATAAGATTGCATCTGATAACTGTACAGGAACATAAGTATTTGAGTAAACAAATCACAGAAACTTGGGACATGGGCTTAGAACAAAATAAGCTAAAAGGAAAAACAGCTGTACTTCCAGCAAAAGCCTTCTTTACTTACCACCTCATAAGAATTTTTCTATGCTTGTGGTCAATGTTGACTTGGGCACAGCACCAATAACTGTATCTTTCTTCTCGCCATTCTTGAATATCATAACAGTTGGGATGCTTCGAATGCCATACCTTGTAGCAGTTGAAGGGCTCTCATCTGTGTTAAGTTTGTAACACTTTAGCTTCCCAGCATATTGCTTTGCTAGCTCATCAATTATAGGGTGAATCATTCGGCAGGGACCACACCATGGGGCCCAAAATTCAACCAAAACGGGAGATTCAGATTCAAGGACAAGGGATTGCCAATTTGCATCATTAATAGGAGCCACTGCAATATACATGATAAAAAAATCATTTCATTCCAATTAGTATTTCTCTACCAAACAAAATTTACAAATTGTTACTTCTCAAATAAGCAAAATTTCCCTGGAAGTGTATCCAAAACTATCTTAGGATCCTCAAGAATTTTATTACAATAATGAAGAGTGCTGAAATGGTGAACATGGAAACCAGATAAAAAAAGCACAAACAGGCATAAAAAACACTACTAAAAGCAAGCTATGCTTATGTTGATTAATTAGAAAAAAGAAAAACTCCTAGCCAAAAATTAGACCTTGAAGAGTCAAAACAATTATGTCTTAAGGTTCCATCTCCACTAAACACACCTGCAGAAAGAGGTAAAATGCCTTAATCGGGTCTAAGTCCCGTCCCGAGTCCAAAATAGTCAACATAAAACAGTGATCAAATGCATCAATTCTGTGACCATGAGAGGTAGGCATTGCCACTAGTGCAATTCAAACCAATCCTACACAAATGAAAACTTTCTATAGGATGAAGTTCTCACAAATGAAAACCAATCATTCACATCGTTGTTATAAAATTTAACATAAATCCAAGATCACTTACTACCTTCTAAACATCTTAAAATTAATCCACACTGTACTTTTATGAGAGTATGTTTGACAATAAGATTTTGGAGGGAAAAAAGAAAGATAATATATTTTCTTTAAAATTATGAATGATATAATATTTATAAAATAAATAATAACTAAGACATTAAATTTATATTAATTTATCATTTCATTTTTTATTTTCAAAAACTATTAAACTATAAAAAATTATTAAAAATAAAAATTTTATCCCCTCTTTCTTATCCCTGAAAACCCCCATTCCCAATAACACCCTAAATAAACAGAAATATAAAAACAGTAGATCACGAAATAATTAGTTATATTTCAATGGTTAATGTGTTCAAAATATTTTCTGTAAGAAGTTGTTGAGTGGTGTCAATTTGTCTTGTCTTAAGTCTAATAGTGGACAATTGGACATGAGAGGGAAAAATATCCCAGAAATAATAACCCAAAACCAAACAAAAATATAAAAAATAGGAATCGAAAATGAAAGATATAAACACGCACTTTAGTCCTTCAAATTACTTTAATTCCTGATTTCATAAAAAATTTACTTTATTCTTCAATTTTCATATCAACATTTGTTTCAGTCTTTTGTTCCCCATAAAAATGACAATAAAAAAAAAATACTTACAAGAGTGATTTAATATATATGAGATTTTTGTAAAATAAAAACTAAAGTGATTGACGACTATCAATTAACAAACTAAAATAGGCATTTATTCAAAATGAAAGCAACAACAAAATAAAACAAAAATTTAAAAATGTTTTATAAGAATAAAATAAAATAATATTAATAATAATAAAAAGAAAAAAAAAATCTGACCATCGAGGGCAGTATCCTGAGCCTCGCAGACGATGCGAGCGGTGCGGGAAGCGATTCTGGGAGAGGAGGAAGGGGCGAAGCGAGTGGCGGCGAGGGGTCTGAGTTTGAGGCCGGCGTAGTGGGGGAACTTGGCGGTGGTGCGGCGGGCGGTGACCGGAGAGAAGGGGGCGGAAGGGAGAGGAACGACGGCGAGGGAATCGAAGAGTGTGGCCATGGTGGAAGCAGAGATGAGATGTGGATATTCTTAAGCGGCGAAGGAAGAGAGAAGAAGAGTGTGGGCAGGTGAATAAGGATGAGGTTGTAGTTGTGCTATGTCGGGTTGCGTTTTCATGTGCCTTCCCCAATGGTTCCACGCCATGTCACCACTCCCAATACTCACTTCGCAACTTGTGTTCCATAATAAATCATGCTTTTTTCTTTTCTTTTCCAAATATTATAGATGTTAATTAAAAAAATTATTAACATATTTTAAATTTTCAAAGAGGTGTATGTATTTGCTTTATTGGGATAAACTGAGTGAATTGATTTTTATTAATTAAAAGTACTTCTTGATTAATGAATAATTGTCTAATTTTATTTTTATTAATTAATATGTATTTGGTTGAAGAATTTTTTTTTAAAAATGATATAGTAAATGAGAGGTACGATGAAAATTAAGTAATATTTTTTTGTAAAATGTTATGCGTCAAAGAAAAAAATATAAAAGGAGTGTGTTTGAAAATTGTTGTATATTTTGTTTAACAAATTGCATTATTTAAATACTAAACTAAAAATAGTTATGGGTTTCATTATAATATTATATTTATTATAATCAATATTTAATTTCTTAATTGAAATTTAATTTTATTCACAGTTAAAAAAAATTGCAATGGGCTTCTTAATTTCATTAGAACATTTCTGAATTGTGTAATGCCAACGCCATCTGAACTTTTATAAATCCCCCTAACGATATATTACTTGTCTTAATCATCACTATTGTTAATACGACCCAAGTCCCACTGAAATTATTTTCTTAAGATTAAAGATACATATTATATATGTAACTAAAATTTTCATTCTCCAACGTGTATGTTACAACGTACATGAAAAGAGAAACTAGCTCAATTGCCGATGCTAAAAATTAACATATGTTATAAATTATAACACTCGTACTATATTGAAAGCAACAAAAAGAGTTACATTAAAAGCTAAAAAATAAAAATAAAAACCATATCTATCTGTTATGTGATGTGCTAATGGTTAATTTATATGGCTTCACTGCCGCAACTGAGTTCAAGACAAGTTCCTCTCACGCATTAGAGATTCTATCTTTTCAACATCTTCAGGAGTGTCAACCCCATGCGCCTCATGATCAACTTTTATTACCTACAGCAGAAAATAAAAATACAAGCTGAAGTGCACAACAATGATATGAATAATTTATCCCACATCAGATCAGATTATTAAAATCGCAATCATCAACTACAACTATGAGTCTATAATAGTTCTAAATTAATTAGCAGCAGCTATAATCTTGAGAGATGATGTAAATGTCACTAAACTTTAGAAGAACATTTTATTAACAGTCCATTTTTTTATTCCCTGGCATTTGTAAATGAATTTAAGGGGAACGGTGCAATTTTCTTTGTCCACAATTTTAAGTGAATTCCTATCACTCAGGAAACCTGAAACTCCATTACTGTTGTCTAGAAGACTAGAACACATCCAAGTACACCTCAAAATCAGGTACTGGATGCTATAATCAGTAAAACATTCCACTTGAGAAGGATTTCAAGATTACTGCAGTGCAGAGGAGCGTTGAACAGTAATAATAAAACATCTAACCAGCTAGAGCTATCATCAAGTGTTCAGTTTCATAATCAGACAACTTCATTAGAAAAGCTGAATATTTTGGACAACTCCCGTCTAATGGCAAGTTGGTAACCAAACCTTGCACTTGGAATAATCAAGTAAAAAGTTGCAAATCGGTGGGATATAGATAAAAGAATAAGGGCCAATATAAATAACTTAGGTACCTTCATCTTGTAGCCATTCTCAAGGACTTTAAGCTGCTCCAAATCCTCCTCGAGTTGCAATGGAGTTGGTTTAAGTTCTGGGTATATCTTTAGAAACTTTGCATCATAGCTCTGGCAGAAATTATACAAAAAAGAATTAATTCTCAACAAAGCAAATAATGGTAAGAGACAAATAAACTACAAATAAGCAATGATTGTTATCATGGCCAATTAAAAAGAATTTTAACATTAGTACCTGAATCCCAAGATGAAGCAAATATGGGAACTGTTGATTGACCTTCCCTGACCTATACAGTATGTATGCAGGCATTTTACAGTTTTACAAAAATATGTAGAACAATTTCACAAGATATACAGCAAATAAAGGAACAATTAAGAACAAAAACCTGAAACTTTCATTTCTTCTAACTTACTTGTTAAATGGGATTAGTCCTCGTGAAAAATAGATGGCATAGCCACGATTATCTACCACACATTTCACTCTATTTGGATCATGTGCATCTTCAGGCTTTAAAGACGTGACTGCAGTGCTGAAAACTGCATCCGGAGCTGCCTGTAGGATCAGGATAATGAATTCCTTTGGCCACAAAGTCACAATAGTTCAAAGTGAAAATTTTCAAGATAACCTGATGCTATATTAAATGAGTGATTTGGAACCATTGACTCACCATTTTGTTCAGAAAAAAATGCACAAATGTTTATTAACAAACTAAAACAGGTAGTCATTAAGAATTTAGTCCTTACACCTAACATCCTTTTTTGTTTAGTCTATATGAACACTATATTTAGTCCTTGCATGAAAAACCGTTGATGAAATGGTCCTTTCCATTTGTCACGGTAGCACAGTTTTAGATTTAGTCTTCATACTTGATAGTATTGTTCATTTTAGTACCTATATGAAATAAATTTACACTTTGTTTTGATCTCTACATTTTGGTCCTTACACCTAAAAATATCTTTTTGATTTAGTCCCTATAGGAAAAATATTCTAACACCATTATAATGTCAACAATCAGTTAAGACTAATTTGTAAAAAAAATCCATCAAGGAACCAAAATGTAGATTTTTTTTTTTTTGGTGGTAGAACTAAACCAAAAAATAATGTCAAGTACAAGAGCTAACTATTTAATTTAACCTTACTTTGCCAATGGAACAATATTTGCATTTTCTATGGAATGAAAAGAATAAATTTAAGAAGAAAAAAAAAACATACCTGCAAAGCTTTCACAACACCATCTATTATCTCAGGTTCTATAAGTGGCTCATCACCCTGAATGTTGACAACAATATCATATTTTTTCCCAAGCTTCTGTAGGGCTTCATTGCAGCGCTCAGTACCTATCAATGAAAATAGATAGTGTTAAGATGTCCCACATTGGTTAGGAATAAAACCAGAAACTCCTTATAAGGGTTAGAACAATCCTCTTTTTATGAGCTAGCTTTTGGGAGTGAATTAAGCTCAAGTTTCTTAACATGGTATCAGAGCCTATTTAATTTGAACGTTGGGCTACCCATAGCTGTCCAGTCCTATTGGGTCCATCTTGCAGATGTCCAGTCCTGCAAATTTCACGTACAAGATATCCAGTCCTGGGCGTGAAGAGAGTGTGTTAAGATGTCTCATATTGGTTACAAATAGAGTCAGAATACTCTTTATAAGGGTTAGGACAGTCCTCTTCTAAAGAGCTAGCTTTTAAAAGTGAGTTAAGCCCAAGTTTCTTAATATAGTATCAGAGCTTGGTTAAGAAAAGTGTCTGTGGAGTGGTTGGTGGAATGAGGTATTTGCATGGGAAAAGAAGGAGAGAATTTGGAAGAGAGGGAGGGATGGAAGATCGACATGATTCACAAACAAAGCGAAATTTGAGAATATCTATGTGATTGTCAAGAGATTTTCCAATCTTGGGCCACAGCTCTATGGGTAGTTCAAACCAATCTACCTTTTCATCCATGGCTTCAATCAAAGATTTTGGCTTTGTTTGTTGACTTTGCTTTGCTCTATGCCCTAGATTTTAATGGATCTTTATGGGGTTTTTATGAAAGGGTGGGTAAAGTGTCTCTGTTCGTAGAAGTTTACATGTAAATTTACACGAAGGTGAGAAGTAAGGACAGTCCTCCTCTTATGAGCTAGCTTTTGAGAATAAGTTAGACCCAAGTTTCTTAACAGAGAGTATGAAACACTGAAGAAAAAAGCTTTGAATAGCTACAATCCAACAAGCAAGTAATTTGCTTACCATTTCTGCAAGATTCTGATGTCATAATAACATCAGCTCCAAATTGTCGACAGCAGTCAGCAATCTTTTCATCATCAGTTGCCACAACTAGAATTAGAGAAAATTACCAGTTAGACATTGAAAAAGTACCAGTCTTTTCAAGATACTGCACATGTATGTACACATTTACTAAATTGTAACACTGTTTATTACTTTATTTGATTGAATATGAAGCATCAGATGACATGCATACAAAATGAATTCAAATCTACTTATCACAATCCAACCATCTCATGATGTTCTTGAGTTAAGTTGCCTATAAGTTCAGAAAGGAAATGCAAAGCTGCTAGATCTTGGAAACATTTGAGGATTTCTATCCTCAAAAGCCCAACATGTGGCTTACATGCATGTACAAATGCAGAAACTGTAAAAGATATATGCAACTTAAAGTCATTTATTTGTTTAGGATGTGTTTGTGCATAAATTGGGACGGTTCTCAAAAGGAACACATTGATATATGCATAAAACTGAATTTCAATTTCAGTTTACACTCTAGGCAAAGATTTTCATATATCTAATTTAGGATCTCTGTGCCCACATGCAACAAATAAGACATGAATCTCAGTTTCACTTAGAGGCATAAATTTTATAATACCCCTTTCAGAGATTAACCCAAGACAAATTATATATTAGAGCTACCAATGCCAGATTGGAGGAAGATCATGTGGTTAAACCTACCAACATGATCCAATGTAGCTGCCAGCTTTGCCCTTTCCCATGTTCTCTGTAAAAATTTAGCCCAAAGTAGGTAAAATACATCATAATTTGACCATTGAAAGAAATAAGTGTTGGGAATAGTTTATATCCAACAAGTCAACTGAAAATTCTAATAACTGAATATTGGACCAAAAAAAAAATTTAGCTAGTTGTGAAAGATATACAAGTGATACAAAAGCAATAGTTGAGAGATGTAAAAACATATTTCATATTTGCACATTAATTCAATGAGGCTCAGCATTACACAAAAGTGCCACGCTCACATGGATTTACACTTACCATGCTTATTTTAATTAGTGATCAGAGTCGAGTTAACCACATGTGCTGAAATTCATTGGAAGACCTTGTGTTTGACAGCCACTCTATATTGATTTATACTTTTCTTTAATTATTTCTCATTTGTTGTCCAAATTAACTCTGTCTATGTTCCGATATCTATTACCAAACCCAAGTAAAGAATTGTGTTAGACTTTTGATAGTCAACATAAAACTTGTCAAATCATACACATGATCAATCACAGTGTTTTTTGTACAAATTCAGAACCTGAAGGACACCCCAAAATGCACCTATACAAGAGTTTCAGTACAGTTCGTGTTATGCATATGTCCACTTTTGCTATTCATTTAAATTTTCACAAAGTGGGTTCCAACATGTAATATTGTTTTTAATTTCCTCAAATAGGATGATAGTCACATGTTATGTTTGATGTAAATTCCATGGTTGCTCTGCACTTCAGAAGAGAATTTGATTAGCCTATTAATTATTCTCCAAATTTATCTCAACTGATACAAAATATCATAGGCTTAACCCATTACCCATCAAAACTTCAACTCACAGATCCATATTTTGAATCACGACAACACACATTCGGAGGCAACTAGAAGGAAAAGGAACTTCATTCAAAATTTTGTCCATCAAATAGAAAGCTGATTGAATGAATCGCTGAAATGTCTTTATTGTGAGTTAACTGAACAAATTAACAATGAATGAGTAAAACAAAACGGTGCAACTTTTTCAAAAGACAAAAAGCAAAAGTGTCACAAAAGCAACCTTCACCTTTCAATTCACGTGTAAAAGCTACCCCTAAGCAGAGTCCAGACTCCAGAATTTGTTAGCATTAAAGTTATTATTATTATTATTATTATTATTAATGAAACGACCCTTTATCCCTTTTTAGATTTTTCATTTCCAACCAACATGAAAGCTAAATTAAATATAATTCATGAGGATTCACAACAATCCACTTTCAATTTTAAAATAAATAAGCGCATATGTAGTTTAACTTATATTTATTTTTACTAATTTCTTGAGTTAGTTTTTAAAACATAATGGATTATTAAAAAAAAAACTAAAGCAGAAAACGACCAGCAAATAATAAAAAAAGAAATTGAAATAAATAGACATAACTTAAAATAATATTAAAAAAATATATTTTGGGAAGAGAAGAAGAGGGTAGGGAGGTGAACCTGAATCATGGGTTTGCCAAGGATTTGAACTAGAGGCTTTCCCTGGAAGCGAGAGGAAGCGAATCGGGCGGGTATGATACCAACAACTCGACTCCGAAATTTGTTGAATCGGGTCATGTAAGCGCGTGCACCCACCGCTGCTGCAATCGCAACTCCGGCCACAATGCCATGGATGATCCATGCCTTTGAGTTGTTGGAAGAATCAAACGACGACATTGAAGAAGAAGAAGAAGAAGAAGATGATGATGATGATGAAGAGGAAGCTGAGGAACAAATTGCCATGACCCAAGAAGAAAATTCGAATAGAGAGCGTTGATTTGGAAGTAGAAGAAGATAATGAAATCAGTGACAGTGCTAATTGGCGTATTGGACCATTAACCTTAGATGTTAGATCTCCCTTCGCTCCAACGTATTACATTCACCAGCTTTTTGGAATAACAATACTTTCACTTTAATAAAAATATAATATTTTTTACAATCGTAAATTATTATCAATCGCAAATAAATATAGTTAGATTAATTTTTTTTTTCCATTTTAACAAATTCTTTATTTTAATTTTTAATACTAGTCAAATAAAAAATGGACAGATAACATTTTAATGAATCAAATCAGCACTAGAAATTAAAAATAAAAATTTATAAAAAGAACTAAAACCATATTTTAATTTATATTTTATTAGAGTTAGAAAACCACCTGTATCACCGGAGAAAGTTTCTTTCTTATGTAATTGTTTTTCATAAATTTTAAAATTAAACCAAATATTTTTCATAAATTTTAACCGATAACGTAATAAAATAGTTTTTCGTATAAAATGGTTTTGTGATCCTCTGTGGCCGACAGAGTTAGCCATCCTATGGTTTCAGATATTAGGATTATGATACAGGTGTTTCATCAGGTCCTACCAAATCTTCGTGTGTGAATATATTATTTAAATAATCAAAATTAAAAAATACATATTCTTTTAAAAATAATTGCATAATTTTTCATTAGTTTTTAATTTTAGTTATTTATGTATAGTTATTGATATATAAATTAACTATTTCAAATAAATAAAAATATTGAAGTTTGTAAATTTAAATTTTGTTAAATTATATGAAAATTTAATTTTAATGTAACGTCGTTATAAATTTTTTTAATATAATATTATACATATATTGTTTAAATTAAATATTATGTAATAATGTTATATTATAAAGATTAATTAAGTGAAATCATAAAAAAATACTGTTGATTACATACAAAGAAAAAGAGAGAAAGAGGTTTTAGTAATAATAATGATAATTGAGTTTATTAAAAGAAAATTATGTATTTAACATTTTAATTAGAGTAAAGATACTAATCTATTAATTTAGTTAAATTTAAATGATTAATTTTTTTTTATTGTTCATGTTCAATACACAAATTAAAAGACATTTAAATATATATTATTTTATATTTTTTAATAATTTTTTTACCTCATAAATATTATTCATTTGATATAATCAAGTTTGAGTTAGATAAAATTGTTATGAAAGTGGCATAACATCTTAATTTAATTTTTAATATTTTCTAAATAAATTAATTTCACAATAAATAAGAATAATAAATTTGTCATTTAAATAATTTTTAATAAATAGTTTCATTAAAGTATTTCTAAATAATGATGGATTACAAGTTTGAATCAAATCATTACTATAAGACTTAATTAATACATCATAATTTTAAAAGAATAGTTTATTAAGTCTTATAGCAGCTTCATCTATCCCTTCACTAAACCTGGTATTGATTATCTTAGTCACCTGAAAAATAAATATAAAGGTGAGTAATTTATACTATTCTACACACACAAGCATAGAGACCCATCTTACACATTTCGCATGTTTCTAACATAAATCATGATATAATTTAATTCATTCATTGAGCAATCCTGAGTCAATTCATTACATCAATACGCACGTCAAATCACATCAATTCACACACGAGTACACTTATTGTACTTTCAATCAATTCACAAACATACGTACAGTAGTCATGCTTACTATAGCATTGTAATCATAGATTTCTGATACCCTCAACCTCAAGGACTTATTTAGTTTTACATCATGGGTGGTCGTTGGTTAGTCTCCGCCTCACGGATACAATGTGTGCAGTCATATGCCTCTTAGCAAAAGTGCTAGTTAGAGGCCGAGTCAGGATGAGAGTGTGTGATCTGTGGTGCACCCACGCTCACTATTGGTGTCATTACAACTCTCTCTTCTCTAAGGTATTTCTATCATCCTCATCTTTCATACCCCTAGTATATCGCTATAATCATTCATAGTTTTCAATCATGTCATTTTCCAAGCACTTCACCCACATTCTCAATCATTCATCGTATTCACTCTCACACATGGCACATCTACACATATACACATATTTAACCACACTAAGTTCCACACAATTTCTATTACACTCATTACAATCAAGTCATTTCCATCTAAATATACACATGTCTACGTTTTATTTCAATCACATTCCAAAACATAGCAATATAAATAAACTATAAGTACAAAGAAATAGGGTAAAGTCCTCTCTTACTTTAGATTGAAGACTCACAACACAAATTAACAGTAGAAAACCTTCCCCACATAGTTCTTCGTCCTAAACACATAGAAAATTTTCATGAGAATCTGATAAAACGAAAAAAGGGACAAAAGCCGAAACTCTAGCTTTCAAAACTTACCTTCAAGCGTCCCAAACGTGATTTCAACCTTCAATTTTGCACCTAAGTGACTTTGAAGACAATTTAATAGGTGAAATAGGGTTGGAAATCAAGAGAATCGAAAGAGAGATGAAGAGAAAAACTGAGAATGTGTTTTCCGAATCTTAAACCGCTCAAATACTCTAAGAGTCATGACTCTTTCGCTACAACGAGACATCTTTTACTACAATGAAACCCTTTCTCGCTGCAGCGAAAATCTCAAACGAATTTGCACTTTGGTTTCTGCAAAATTTCACTATAGCGAAATTGTACCTAAAAAATACTCTCTCTTTGTTGCTTTCTCGCTACAACGAGAGCGCAACAGAAGCATGCCCTCTGCATAGGACATACTTGCTACAACGAGATTCCTTTTGATGCAGCAAGAATGCCCTTACAGCACACTCTTAGCTTATTTCTCAATCAATTTCAGCCAAATCACAAGTCCACACTCACATTTCAATCATAATATACAAATATATACACATATTCACATCACCACATAATTCAAATGCACATTCAATAGTAATTCGTATATTTATATTAATAAACAAAATGCTATTACAAAACTCGAGGCATTACAAGTGACAAAAGTCAATAGTATTTACTAAAATTTAAATTTGAAATCATAACTTAAGATAAAAAAATTATTATTAAATAATTTACGTGCACTTTTAATTACTTAAAAATAAATATTAAATTATTTTTTAAAATATAATAAATATTATACTTTTTAATTAAAAAATCAAATCTAATGATATAAAACTGTTAATAAACTTTATTTATTTATGATAAAAATAAACCACTTAAACTTTTCTAATAACAAATAGTATAAAAAATGTTATATTTTTTAATGTTAAAAAGTAACATGGGATATTCATTCTAAAGTAATTAATAACTATATTTTTTATTAACAATTTATATTTATTTATAAATAAATATATTTTTATTTAATATTTTATAATAATAATTTTTTAAATTTTAAATATATAATTTAACACATTCTATAATATTAATTTAATGTTACCGTGCAGGACGTGGTGATGTGCTAGTATAATTAAAAGTACTATTTCTGTTTTATTATTGGTATATTTAAAAGAATAATACGTATATTTAAAAATAAGTAATGCTTTTCATATACAACTTATTTATTATTTCTGAATATGATTTCTGTTATTATTATATTTTATCATATATGATAAGTGTGTAAAGTATTCAGAAATTAAGTAAAAAAATAAAAATACATTTAACTAAATAAGAAATAATGATTAATATTTTGTTAAAAATTTGAATAAATAAAGAAATAAAAATGAAGTTTTATTTCAAAAGTACTACATAAATTTTTTTAAAAATTACAGTGGGCGTTTATGTTAGAAATCATGCATTTAACTATTATACATAAAAAGAGTTAAAGAATATTTTTAAATAAATTTAAAAGCAAGACAATTGATTTTTAGACATAATTTCTTATAGAATTTTAATGTATAAAAATAATTAAAAATTAATTTAATTATATATTATTATTTGATAAATACGTTAAGTATTTCGTATTAAACGGATACTTAAGACATTTCGGTCAAAGAGAGAATAAAGAACTAATAATCAGATAAAAAAAAACAGTGAAAAGTTGTAACTGTTGGTCTACAAGATGCAAAATCATACTTATTTAATATTTATATTATTTTTTGCTAATACTTATATATTATTCTTTAATTGTTATTAATATTATTTATTAATTAAAATTAAAAAAGTTAATAAAAATTTATATTTAATATTATCACTAACTAATAAAATAAAACTAATTTTAATTAATAAACACCACCCATGATCCTTGTGCCTAAATTTTGTTTATTTGTGAATCAATGCGTGCGTATATCCTCATCAGTTTTCCTCTTTCGACGTGTGCCTTTAATGCAATGCACTTACAAACAAAGAAAACAGATGCGTTTTTCCGCATAGGACAATTAACCAAAAAAGAAACATTAGAATAAAATCATTTTCTATTTTTTTTATCTAATTAGGAAAATAAAAAGTTACTAAAAGTATATTTATTATAAAGGATAAAAGTGATTTAAAATATTTTTAAAATATATTTTCAAATCTAACTGTTTTTACAATCTAAATTTTAAATATATTCTTTCTATTTCTCTTTCATTTTCCTTTATATCAATTATCACATTAATGACTCTCTATATATTCTATCCTTCTTAAGATAACATTATGGATGCATTTAATATTAAATTTAAATGTATACTTAATGATACATGACTGTAAATTTTTATTGAAATTTATTATTTATTGATTTATTATTATATGTTATTCAACACCAATTAAAAAATTGGTTTAATATAAGTTAACCAATATACCGAGCCATAAAATAAAATAATCCAAATAAAACAGTCATGTTAAGCTTTCACACTTGGTTTGAAACAATCACACACCATGGACGACAACAACATGAGAAGGGTGTCAAGAATTCTTATGTCTCCATCACCACCGACCCCACCTCTAGTTTCCTTCATTGCAACTCTTGCAATTGCAACGTTAATCTTCCTGTGCCTCTATGTTTTTTCAGCCATTGTTTCTGTGGCCATACTTCTAGCCCTTTACATCACATCAGTGTTCCTTTGCAAGTTTACTCGTGACAATCGTGAACTGAATGCTGAATTGAGAGAAAGAACCTCTTTTTATGCCCAAATCCCTCCAAATAACCAAAGGGTAGTGAGAATTTTCAATAAGCTTTTCTGGGTTGTTGAGGAAAAGAGGGGAAAGCAAAGGAAACTACTAATAGGATCTGTTGTGTGTTTTGGAAGCCAAGAAATGGCATCATCAAGTAGTAGTGAATGTGCAATTTGCTTTGAGGATTTCAAGGAGGGAGAAGAATGCCTTGTTTTCTCAGTTTGTGGCCACATTTTCCATTGTGATTGTATCCACCGTTGGGTAGAGAAGAAGCCCAATTGCCCAATTTGTCGTCATTGTGTCCCATCAGCTGCCACCATGATCACTAAATCTAGAAGCATAGAACTGCTGGCAAATTTAGTTTAGTGTTTCAAAGTGATTTTTGGTACGTATATATGTTTCTGTGAAGTCATAGTTACAATTGAAAACTTTGGTCTACTTTTTGGTCATCTCTGGAAAAAGAATTTTCATATATATTTTCTATTTTTTATTGTTAATTATTTCCCATTATCGAGAATTAAGTTTAAGTAAGTTAATTCACTTTCTCAATTGTTAACTCTGTTTACAGTCTCTCAACTGGTTTTAAATTTGAATAAAAAATTTGTCAAAACTCATATACGAATCACTTCTAATGAATCTTAACAGAGGTATGTGCAAATAACTACCTTACTTGGTGAAAAAAAAAAGACTTTTGTTATTGTTAGCTTTTGTCATGTGATTCAATGTTAAGAACTTGTCCTTAATTAGTTAAAAATCACCTTCAAATTTTTATCATATCTATCAATTTTTTAATATCACAAGTGATATAAAAATGACATGCTTGAAATCTAAATAGGAAGATACTATAGCATGGAGTGACAATTAATGAATGCTTCGAGAAGATCTCTTTTGGAGTAAATTGGAATCCCTGAATTTATGTTGTTATACTCATTTTCAATTTACTTATATTCTAAGAATGGTTAATATGGTTACATCACTTATTAAATGAATTTTTATTATTAATTAAAAGTTATTAAAATTTAAAAAATTACAAATAAAATTAATTAAATTAAAAATAAAATTTTTATAATTTTTTAGAATTCTCAATAAAATTTATCATTTATAAAAATGTTGCAAACATTTCTCTCGAACAAGAATGAAATATGGCAGCATTTTGAATCCATTCCATTTGTTTCTACCAATTGAATGTATCAAACAGGAAAGAAACAAAGATTCAAAATAAAACTCAACACATAACAAACACAACTCTAACTCATTTGAAATCGATGAGTCGATGACTAACACTCGATAATTAAGAAAAAAAAATAAAAAAGTCACCATTCATTTCCTCGCCTTCTTCCCTCGACCTTTTCTTCTTCTTCCTCTTCCTCATCCTCATCGTCTATGTCATCATCATCAAAATCTTCGAACACTTGATCATCATCATCATAATCCATATCATCATCAACATCGTCCGTATCCTCATCCTCATCCTCATCGTAGTCGCTCCTAGGAGTGCCACGTGTCGGTGACCTACCAGTATTTACTTGCCGAGCGAACGTGACGGGAAACGTAAAGGTGGAGGTTTTAAAGAGCGACAAATATTCGGGTCGGGCAACCGGGGAAACGGGTCGGGTCAGAACAAATGCAGGGTTACGGAGAAACGACAATGGAAGAGTGAGGCTAGGCTTGATTTTGAACAGCGTTCTGGTTGCCATTTTTGGCAGCGTAACAGAGGGTGGTTATTTTCTTTTGGTTTGAGCTCTGTTTCGTTGCCACTGAGGGAGTGAAGGTGGCTATTACTATTAGTTAGAATATAAAGATGGAGGGGTTTAGGGTTTTTAGCAATGCCGTGGCGCAGTTCTTGAATGACACGTGTCTCTTTTGTGAAAAAGAAGGTTCTGGAGGTGCAGACCAAGATTCAATCCCTGCCAAACGATAAAAGGGAATGAAATTTTTTTAAAATTACTAACGTTTTGAGAGACATTTTAATTTTTAATAAAAATAGTAGTTATTTTATCAAAATATATAATATTTATTTATTTTTAAGATGATAAATATTTTTTATTTTTTATTCTCAACTCGACTAAAGTTAACATTTTTTTTTTATATACTCTTATTTTAATTTTTACATCAAGAGTATTTACCAATTCTGATTCATCTTTGACACAAAATAATCTCTGCAAATCATTAATAGTAACAAAATGGCAATTTATAGAGTGGAAATCATTGATAAAAAGAACTGAAATGTTACAATTTGTAATCCTCATAGAAGAGGAAAAAGACATGCCAAAGGGTGAGTCATTCTGTTTTCTCAGCATCAGCATGTAGCATACAATATTTCTTGAGAACTATCCCTCAGTCACAACTGACACCTTTTCATATTTTTCTATACCTTTGATTCTCCAAGAAAGAATGCTGCAACCACCAAAACGTTGTTGCAAATAGATAATTACAGCAAACATCAAGCTTACCAAAGGAATGATTATATCACAAACAGTGGAGTAATAGTCTGCAATCTCATCCTCATATAAGGATGAACCATCAACATAAACAAGAGACTCAAAGAGATCATATGCATGAGGAAGCAATCTCACCAAACTGATTCCAAAGTAAAATGAAAATGAAAGAGCGTTCCCCTTGGAATTCCAAAACAAGTTAAACAAAATTTGAGGCAAGAGAAAGCCATCTAGTACCAACCCTGAATAAGATTTCAAGTCCTCCCAATATGAGTGCTGTTGGTGGTCTAAAAGGCTAGATGAAGACACCATTTCACCATGCAAAATATTGTTTTGGTGTACAAGCAATGCAATTAAGAACCCTGCTGCATATAGAGGAAAAATCACATAGAAAACCTTCATCTCAGCAATCCAAAGGTCCTTTTGCTTTATATCGGCCTTTCTTGATGACCAAGTTACCTGCAGGAGTCGAAGTTGCAACAAGAAAGCTACCATTACAACTAGCCTTACAGCAATTTCATTTACTTCAAGCCATTCATTTCCAAGTGAAGCGCTTTTCTTGTCATGATTTTGTGCAAAAAGGGCTTCAAAGTTCAGAACAAGAGGTATCATATTTCCCAAAGTAAGAATCAATAGCATGACAAAGGAGACTAAGGGAAGCATATCGGGATTTCTTCTCACATGGTAAAGTTGTAAGCCCACAAAAACACATGCTAGTGTGGTACAAACCAGAATCATTATGACCTCCATATCTATTTTCCTTAAGATTTGTGTTGCTTCTGCTGTGTAAAATGCCGCTGAAGTCATGTCCAACCGCTTGAAGTAAAGAGGATCTGAATTTCCGCGCATGCTTTCAATACTTCCCTTGATATAACCATTGTTCTCTGCAGGTAGTGGTGGAAACTGAAACTTGACAATAACCTCACAATCCACAGAATTTGTTGTTGGTATTTGGTTCTTTGAGCCAAGATATCTGCAACCTACCATACATAAGCTTCCAGCTTCAGCATCATAAAATCCCTCAGCTGAAACATTCATGGTCTCAGTTGCATTTGTTGTAGTATTTAACATAGGCTTCTCTTCTCCTAACTTGCCATTAGGTAGTAGATTGATGCTGATTTTGTAGCTAACATTGTAGAAGCCAGAGCTGCTGGAGTTTGTAGAGATGAATGGATGTGCATAGGTGGAGTTAGAAGGAAAGGTTTCATCGAAGTCCCACAGTTGAATCTGATCATTAACAACCAATGGAACAGAATAACCCCAGGCAATTCTCCTCTTAGAGTTTCTAACTGACATGTCAAATCTCATATCAGGAGAATATATATCTGGATACCTTATTCCCTTGTTCTTCAAAGGTTCTTGTCTTGGACACATCTTTCTGACTTTGTCCAATTGGCTATACTCATACTTTATGCCAGATATTTCAATCCTTCTGTCCTGAGGAGTTCTTAAAACCATCCTCTTGAAATAACCCAAATCCCCCTCAGTTTTGTTGCTCCAAATTTGGCCCACAATGCTACTTGCATCTTCGATTGACCATATCTTTGGAAACCTCAAGCTCATTCTTGTTGAACAATCACCCACATGAACACTAGCCACTGATTCTTCCATGCCCAAGAAATGACAAGCAACTATATACAATTGGTTATTTTTCTCATCCCACCACCCTTCTCCGACAAATGTAGCATTAGGATTGAAAGACCAGCGAGCACCACTATTGCGAAAGCCAATCAACACTCTCACTTTTTGCTTAACATCTGAACAAACCAATTCTCTCAGAGACACAATATAAGGCAATTGGTTGGCATCACCCCTATTAATAGGACTACAATTCTTTGCAGAATTGCAATCCCTATTATATTGCAAATCAAATTTACCATTAATCATTGAAAAAATATTTGAGCAAAAACCACCCGGATTAATGGATAAACCTGGCACTAGACCTTCATCAGAATACTCATTCTTAGCTTCTTTAGTATAATTATTCAAAGTATATTCATAATCCATTCTTGGAAGAATAAAAATAGAAATGGGTTCAAAATAACTCACCTCATGCTCAGAACTCAAGCTCTCCAAGCTTCCAGTAAGCAAAGTAGAAATAGTATTCCTAGAATTGACAACATTGTAAAGCTTGAAAACAACCTCAAAACGTTGCATGTTATAGCCAGATCCTGTTCCAACCATACAAAGCTTCCCTGAAGATTCTGACCAGAACCCATCAAGCCTAAAGGTCATTGAACTTGGAAAACGCTTGTGGTTCTTCAATCTACTGCCACGTGTGGAGTTTCCCACACGGTAGTAGGAAGAGGCACTACGTAGGATCAATGTTGCTCCAATGTTGAGTATGCCTAAGACATCAGTTTCATACACACTCTTGACTCTAAGGGTAACTTGTTTCTGTCTCAAGGTTCTGATAGAGTCAGCACCAACAATTGTGTCACCACCAAGGTAGTAACCAGCTTGGAATTGACCATGTGGGAAGAGTTTGAACTTGGACTCGTTTGGATTTGAGTATAGAACCACAGAAGCACAGTGATCTGTGTAAGTGAGTTGAGAAGCATAGGATGAGAAAGTGTTAAGGGTGATGGTGGTGAAGAGAAACAACGACGTGAGAAGAAATGATGATATTGTTGGGGGCTCCATGATCAGTGTAGCCAAATTTCTCTTTAGATGAAAGATGGAGTGGAACTAGAGATTCATGAAAATCTCTTATAGGGAGAGAATTTGAGCTTGTAAATTTATGTAAACATTTTTTCATATCAAACTATATAAGATATAATATTGTATCAATTATGTAAGCGATTATTATTCTTGAGTTAAATATGTTATAAATCTTGATTTAATGAAATATTTTAAGTTTAATTTTTATATATTTAAAACTAATTCATTTTAGTCTTTCGCAAATGTGGATCGAAGAAGAAATTAACACATAATAACCAGCCATTTCATTATTTAATATTAATTAAAAATTAAGAGTAATAATTTAAAAAATATATTAGAATTTGAATAAAAAATATTTTTATAAAGATAAAAATTAAATGTAATATATTTCAAAATAATAGAAGTTAATGATAATGATAACTCACCTTGAGTTGTGGTGTAAAATTAAGATCACACTTCATGTTCTTGACGATAATTGATTTTCCAAATTTATTTAATTTATATGTTATTAAGAGTTACCTGCTGCCAGCTTGATGAGTTCTTTCTTTCCTTCTTTTTTATTTTGGTCAAAAGCTTGGTGAGATTAAGTGAACATTTTTTACATTCGTAATCGTAAGCCATGACGTCAACCAAAGGTTTTAAGCAATATCCCCATTTCCCAACAATAAAAGAAGATCCGGAACAGGCCCTGAAAAACCATTTTTCTTTTAGATTCTTTGTTCATAGCTAAATATTCTATTCTAACTAGATACCCATCCACGTATTGTATGAGTATTTTAAAAGTTTCTTAAAGAGTGTTTAATGATAATTTGAGATATTAAAAGTTTTAAAAAAATACTTATATATATTATTTGTTTCATTTGTTAGATAATCTTATTGTTAATATAATTCTACTTGGATAAACTTAATGCTTAGTTTAAAAAAGAAAAGAAAAAACTTACCTCGATGAATATTATTTTGAAGATTAAATTAAGGTTGTTAAAGGTTAAAATTGATGAGAAAAGTAAAACAAGTAAATTATATATATCTTTCTTAAACTATAATGCTCATAATGGTTACTAATAAAAGAAATTAAGAAGGAAAAGGTCAAGTTTAAGCGACCAAAGAGATTATGATAAACATTGATCGAGAATAGATAAAACTAAAGAAACAAAACTGTTTTAATTATTTATGAGCAAGGAAGATGTTTAAGGGTAATTATAGTAATCGCAAGTATGAATGTGAAAAGAAAGGAAGAGAAAGAATGATTTGAGAGGAGAAGAGAGGAAAGATTAAATCAAAACATAATACAAATAATAAATTGATGATGTGGGGAAGAATTGATCCACTAAATAGGTAAAATCTAAATACTATAAATTAATTGATAGGTAAGCTAAAACATATAATCAACCCTTTTATTGTAGAAAATAAAAGATAAAAAATCATGTTCTAATTTTTTTTAAAAACTATAACTGTTCTCTTAGTTTGATATAATAAGTGTATAGCCTTCTATATGTTTCTGTTAGTAATATGCTATTATAATTTTATTCTAGACTCAATAATTACTTTATTCTAGACTTCGGCTTTGCAAAGTTTAACCAAATAATTTTTTCATTGAAAAGTTTATCTAATCTGAATCTTAATATAACTTATCAAACTAAACTCTTTTTAGCCTGTTGCAAGAAGTTTTATGATCAATTTTATTATATAAATTCTCATGTAAAATAGCTTATTGAATAAGCGGTTAATTAAGTGTGTTTCAAAATGCATCCTCCTTATTCGTCTTATAATCCCCATAGAAACATTATGAATACAGCTCATTGTTATTGATATCACAGTTGTTAAAGATGGCTAAGCTTATCATTTTGCTTTAGGTTTGTTCATTTCACAATTTTTAAAATCCATCCATGCATGCTGCAAAACTTTCAATAGCTTTTCCTATTTTGTATTTTTATTTTATATTTTAGTTATTTCAAGGACAAGCGAAGCAGCTGCATTTGAAAAATGAACAAAATTGTTACAATTGATACACTGCAATCTTGCAAAATGTAAGAGGAATTGCTTGCTTTCTCAAATATAGAAACTTTCGAGGCTTCGGAAAGTGCATTGACAGTGGACCTTACAAATGTTTTTGCTTCTAAGATTGTTTTACTAACAAGTTTTGAACTCAATTACATCCTAGTTTAATATAAAATACTGGTGTGATATTACGAACTCTATGGTAGAGGGTGAATGAGGGAAGATTATTGGAAGTTAGTGCATAGTAAGAGTATGGATACCTCAAAAAGTACTATTTTCAATGTAAGATTTTAAAGGGTGATGATTATCCGTTAGAGTGGGAGAGTTATGGATGGGTAAGAAGTGTATGGCTGCCTTATGTGGGCTTATGACTAAACGTTAATTTGGAAAGTAATTTATCATATAGAAGCATTTTTAAAACAAGTTTATCATATACAGCTATAAACCCAGATTACAGATAATCAGAAAGTGGTATGTTCAGCAACTGCAATGACATATGATTCAGGGACTAACGAGGCACAATGAATGGTGCAAGGAACCGTGACAACTTAAAAAGAAAGTGTGGTGGACATGAAGAGTGGTAGAAAGTTTGGATCCATGGCGATAACAGTTACCACCAATTCTTTGAATTGTCCACAATCATACCCGAGATTCTCAAACGCGAAGGGAAGATGTTTCCCTAGCAATTTCTGGTTCATGTAGCAGTTAAATTCATCCTAAATAGAGACTGGAGATCATGATAAGAACCTTGAGAGAACCATGCTATAAAGGCTAGCCATTGTAGTTAGAGAGTTCATGACCTTATAAATCCCACGTTAGAATCTCATACTTCAAATGCGACTAAGTCTTTACCTTGCAATTAGATCCTAAGTTGTAGACCAAAAACTAGCCTATTCTACCTCTTTCAGTCAATATAGAGTCGTAAAACGTCTTTATATCCATAACACCAAAAACAATGGACTAGGAAATATACCAATCTTATATTGCAAATGAATGAACTTTTTCAAAATAAGAATTTTATAAAACCTGAAAGACTAGAATGAGGACGAGAATTATCCAAAAAGGGAAAAAAAATTACGCAATTGAAGCATGAACACATGAATGGAAGCCAAAATCTAATGCAAACTACAAAAACTACCACCAATTAAAAGAAGAAATTGAGATTAAAAAATAAAAACAAGAGAAATTAAACGAAAAAAATTATAAAAACTCCTTAAATAAATAATGCGAAGCATTTTGTTTTACATGATTGTGTCAGTCGTTTTGACAAACACGTGAGGGAGGCGACCGTGGGGATAGGCTAAGAGGGGGTGCTGGTTCGGAGCCTATAAACGATGCGTCCTTTGGAGGAGTCGTAGCGACTTACCTCGACTCTGACTCTGTCGCCGGGAAGGATCCTAACGTAGTTTTTTCGGATTTTGCCGGAGATGTAGCCGAGGATCATGTCCTGGTTGTCGAGGCGCACGCGGAACATGCCGTTGGGGAGGGACTCGATGATGAGGCCTTCGTGGACCCACTTTTGTTCGTCGGACTTGTCGGGTTTGGCGGCGGGAGAGAGGGTGGTTGGCGGAGGGTGAAGCGGAGGAGGGCGGAGGAAGGAGTGGGTGAGAGGGGAAGTGAGAGTGAACGGGGAATATTGGGTGCGTTTGGATGAGAGAAGAGGATGGTGATGATGATGAAGGATTGGGGTGTGGAGTGAGAAGGATAATGAAGGGAGCATATCTCTCTGTTGTGTAGTGTAAGATTGGGTGTTGTGTTTTGCAGACAACAAGAAGCTTTGAAGTTTGGCAGACTGTAAGGGATTGGTGGTGTTCAGGGAAATGGGACTTCTGCTGGGATAAGGTTATTAGTTTTACAATCTTCAAAATTTTGTAAAATTTCTTTTTATGAATTTTTTTTTTATCAAATTCCTCTGTATATGAGTGTTTTGTTAGTTTTTGTATTATTTTGTATTTGATTTTATATAAATATAATAATTTTTATTTATTGATTAAAATAAATTAAATAAATAAAAAGACAATTTAGTAATTAATTTTTTATAAAAATTCATTTAAAAAAGTAAAAATAAGGAACCACATGGTAAAAAAAATTACGATTTTTTTAGAGAATAAAACTTTAGCTTAACATGAAAATCTATAAAGTTTGTGATGTTTGCTTAATTCCGGTCTACATGTTTTATCTACTCACCAAGAAAATCTATGAAGTCTGTAATGTTTCCTTAATTATAATATGTGAAAACATAATATAAATTCTTATAGCGGCGACAACAATGTGCATTGTAGTGACTACAATATCTGCAATCGCATTAACCGCAACTGCGACCGCACACTGAGAACAAGTAATAATCAACTGGCTCATTTCATATGCTGGTACCCCCAACATACTGGTTTACCAATGCGAGAGATGAGCGTCAAAACACACAGGCCAAAATAAAATGAACGAGGGTCTTATGGAATATCCTAACAATGCATTGATTACTCATCTGCAAATATATACAATATCCAGAATTATGTGCATGTAATGTTCATGAAGAGAAGATATTCTACAACGAGTTCAACAATTAACAAAAGGAACATAAACCTGCTATCAGCTGTATAAATTAAATGTACTAAAATCCTTTATCAAGTCTCAAAATTTAGGTTCATTGAGAAATTGTAGCAGCCATAGGCAATTCACCCAATGACTGTTTCCCTGCAGCTGATGGAGACAAGAATTTCTCACAGTCCTTAGCTCCGATGTGCGTAAACACTCCAACAAGCATATCCACATGTGCAGCTAAAGATATCTTAAACTGCCTGGAGCAGCTCTTGTCACCCTGATCAACATCCTGAACCCCACCTTTGACCAAACAGCCAACCTGAGCACCATCCATGTATGCTTTACATGCCACCAGAATGTCATGAGCTCGGCTGCAGAAGTGTCCCACAACAAAATCCTCAAAATTCTGAAAACAAAAAACAACCAAGGTCAACTTTTTAATCCAAAAACAGAAGACAGTTACAAGTGAGGCTAATTAAAAGATTATAAATATGTTGATGATGAATGTGCATTTAACCACCGATGCACCAAGTTCTTCCCGAATAACAATGCAATAAACTGATGCAATGTGTGTAATATGGAATTCACTGCATGAGAAGATATTTCAAAATCGCATGGACGTGCATCATTATTGATGATTTGCAATAGTACTTAAATTTCCACAACACACAAAATACCAAGGTATTTGTAAAGCCTAAATGATTTGGATGCAGAGACACAGGTTCTCTGAAGCAAGGCATGTATTTCATGAAAACAAAATCATGCTTTCCAATGCACATTAGGTCTTATATTAGGTCTTATATTCTCTCAATAATTGAACTTCTTGTTCAGCATAGGAAAGAAAAATAGAAAGACCTAATGAGAAAGCAACAAACTATATTGCCAAATTGTGTGCAGAGGTTTAGTATGTTTATAGCCTATTCTGAAGTATCTTGATTAATGCAGCTAAATTATGTGGACAAAGCTCTATGACAATATCTCAACTAAGTGCTAATGGAAGTATATATCCTTCTAATATACTTCAAAAGGACTGAATCAAAATCCTCAGAGTTGTTTGCTTATATTTGCTCTCTTCATTGTTCTAAAATGTTATATTTGTTTCCTAATGTAGCTTGCCAACCCGCACAACAGGAGCATTCCTAGGCATTACTTCCTTGAGGAGCTATGAATGAACACAACAAAGCACATTTTTTCAAACAATATACCTTGCTTGATATATATAGAAACAAACCAAGAGAAATTTCAAAAATCAAACCTTTGGTGGCCTCCTTATTATATACACCATTGTCCTCAATGATAGGATGAATATTTCCTCATTATACTGCAGGGATCTCATTTCACCAGCTGCTGAGCCACTCAGACGTGCATATCCAGGCTCATTAAAGTAAGGCTTTGTATTCAAGATTAGACCCTGTATAGAGACTAGAACCTGTAAAATTGTTGAAACACCTGGAAGCCACTTCTCATTCTTATGGCCAGACCAGGTGTTAAGCAGACTAAGGCAAACTTTGCCACAATTGTATAAGTTTGGGTTGAGCCTAAGCCCACCAGAGTGGTAGTGGACTTGCTGCATTGAAAAATGTCCCTTGTGTTAAAACTTGAAAATAAAAAGAGTGAACATAAATAATGCAAGTCAAATACTGCATCATAAACCACATACCGGGGGTACATTGGGATAGTCACCGGGGAAGAAAACATCAAAAAAGAAAAGACCATCATGATAAGGAGTTCCCTCTGCTCCAATAATCACAGCCCTTAAAAGATCAAGTCTTGATTCATAAACTCTGACAAATATTGAATCTGTTGAAGATAAAAAAAAATGTTAAAGAAACAGAGAGAGATTGAACAAAAACCCTGTGACACACTGCTCATTAAGATATTCAAAACATAATTTACAGCTATTTCTAACTTCCAATTTCAGAATAAGTGTCTGGACTGCACCAAGGGAAAGAATGCCAAGCAGCTTTCCATTAGGATAGATATATATATTTTAAGAAAATGCAACCATGCAGATGGTCTTTGGATTTGACAAGTACCCGCTTAGCATATTAAATGGAGACAATCATACAATACAGATCCACAAGCTTGAAAACGGAAATCAAATATGAAAGTGACATGAGATGATGAAAAGGAAAATATTTTTGCCAATCTATAACAAGAATACTAAACAAACAAACAAACTCACCAGGCAAATCCTTCTCTAATAACTTCCACTCTTCCTGGATTCTTTTAGGCCAATTCTTTGAATGCTGTTCAGGAAATAAACTGACAGTGAACCTAAATAATAAAGCTTAAAAGAGAAAATAAAAAGCATTAAAAAGATTACCTGATTCATGGAAGAATTAGCATGAACAAAGTAATGGTCTGAAGTGTCTTCAATGGTGTCAAATTGTTTGAAGTTTAGAAATTTCCTCAGAATTTCATCCCTGGCTTCATCAGATATTGTCACAACAGTACTATCTGCAGTTGTTCCATTACTTCCATGCTTTGCAGAATTATGAACCCAAGAGTTATCAAGCACTTGCTCCGATTGGGCATGAAGCGGAACAAAGGGATCAAAAAAGCTTGAATTTGCTGTATAACTAGGTAATGACTGAAAATGAATAGTATTCTTCAACCACCAATCGTTAATAAATTCAATTCCCGCAAAATTCAACGATCCATCAACAGGTCCAATGAAATTTGAATGATATGAACTGCTACTTCCCGCTGCTTTATTTGAATTTGAATTTTCAAAATGTCCCCAATTTGGTGCCTTGCCTCCATGTGGCAGCTGCTTGGCCTCCAAATTGTTTCCAAAGCCATGGTTAGCTAAAGAAGTACAAACAATATTTGGTTTCTTTTTACTTTCAGAAGGTCCTAAACACAAATTAGATTTAGATGATTCCACTCCTAATGCCATCTTTAACTTATGCCTCCTGTGTTGTGAGGCATTAGGTTTCTTCCTCGTCAGGGCAGTTTGAGAAAAGAACGGCGGAGAAGATAACTCTTTTCCAGAAGGGTGCTTAATAGCATCCATTTTGATTTGCAAACTAGAACTACCTGCTGAAGGTCCTTGGATTTCAGGGTTGGTATGCAGTAATGACAATGAAGGCTGGGATGAGTCAGTACCATGAGAAATTTCAACATCAGATTGAGTATGAGACCAAGGATACAATGAATCATGATTGGTCTTCTGTGAACCTAGATCATAGTCTGCTAACCAAGGAATGGGTGCCTCAATTCCAGGAGGTATATCCACATTATCAAAATGTGCCTGTAGTAAAGCATAGTGATCTACATCCATGTAATCATCAATAAAAAGATCAGGATATTCATCGTCATTGTCATCATCATAATCAAATGAATGGTCAGAACCATGGCCATCAACATTGAGTAAATCATCTGATACTGGTGTATAACCATTGGAAGACTCAACCTTGCTACCTGGTCCAGATTTATCCATAACAGTAGGACAAAATCTATCATCAAACACTTCCTGAAAAAATTCATGCAAAGTGTCAGTCTTTTAATATGTTGGAAAAGATAACACCAATCATCTGCAAGAAAGTATAAATCCTATACCATAAATTGATGATCATCATAACCATCATGAATGGATTCAATCATCTTCCCCTTGTTACGGTAAGCTTTACCCACATTTTCACCAACTAACGCTAAATCTGGAGAGCCATCCTCATCGTCAATATCAATCACATCATGAAAAATGGCCTGCAAAAGTAAAATATGATTAATATATCTGAGTCTGAGTAAGGAAAACACAAGCTCATAAAGACATCATTTAATCATAGAAAAAAAACAAGAAAGCAGAGTGAATTAGATCAAAGAGAACAATTGTGCTTTTGAAATATATGTCAAGGAAATACTGATATAATCCAATCAATTCAGTCAATTTGAATATATCCAAGTCAAAATTAGGAAAGAAAGCAACACTATTCAAAATTTATGATACGATGAAGACAACAAAATGTTCATCAGCAACAGAGAAGAATCAAACTGCTCAACTTGGAATTGCAATCAGGAGACATCTGTTCATAGATGAAGACTTTAATGACCTCAGCATTGATGACAAATCATTAATGTTAAGCCTACTGAGCGTTACCAATTGAAAACAACCTAACTTAAACAATAAAGATGGCTTTGCACATAATAATACCAGCAAAATTTCAGAAAAAAAGAAAAGAAAGAGAAATGATAGACAGAAAAAAATAATAAAAAAATTTAATTATTTTTCATGCTTGTTAATTCTTGGATTGGTGAGAACCCAACCACTTCATTCCATCCAACAATAGAATAATCCTGTCAAAGTTCTTGCTGTTTTTCTTTTTCTGACTACATAGCTCGCAAAAAAGAAAAAAAGAAGATACGATCACAACTACAATGATGATATCCAATCTTAGCTAAATTCCTAACCGATGTACCAAAAAAAAAATCGCTACTTCAACTACTCTTGGTAACAACAGTGTAACCATCAATAAAAACCCGAAATTAATATCTCAAAAAAACATGAAATAATTTTATTTATAAAAAAAAAATGGCACCAAAGCGCACTAAGCTGTGCAGTTTCCAAAGAAAAATTCACACACAAAATTACAATGCTGCAATCAAAACACCGTCCATTCACTGAATTTTCAACCAACTTCAACACCCCACTCCTCCGACACAAGACAAACAAAGCTCATAGCATGCAAGCAAAAAACTTCAGAGTCCATGGAATGCCTGCGACGACGACATCAAAAAGACTTCAAAAGCAAAACGCGATCATCTCCCAAGCCCCAAATTAAAAGAGAACAAAAAAAAAGTTTAAAAAATCAAAAGTTCAGAACTTAGCAAAGAATAAAGAAAGTAAAACAAAAACAACAAATCGTTAGCAAAGAGAATACTAAATTAAATTTAAAAAAAAATCACGGAGGATACTGAGATTAAGATACCTCTTTCTGCTTCATCAAATTGAGAGGGTTATGCGACGTTTGAGGCGGAATCTCGATCACATCAGGGTCCATGAACCGATGGGAACTGCTTCCAGAATATACTATTCCTCTGCGAAAAGAACAAGAGTGTTTTCATGCAGAGAATTGGAGATAGAGAAGAAAACAACAAACACGGAGAGAGAAATAGAGTGATGACTTGGAACTCCGAAACGAATGAGTGGAAGCGGTGACCGTTCAATGGATGGGTTCATAGAGCAATGAAGTGAGAGGAATAATCAGGAAATTGTGTGTTTGGGCAAACAGAGAGAGAATTAGAAATGTGAAATGAAGAAAAAGGTTTTTGTGACAAAGGGTTCGCGCCTTGTCATGGAGAACATAAGCATGGGTTGCGACGACACCGTCTCTGTTCTGTGCTTCGCTTTTAACGTAAAAGAACGCGCTTTTTCTCAATTTTACCGTTTTGCCACTTCGGTTAAGACCAAAGAGTGTGTGTGTCAGCAAGCCCGTTCCTCTGCCTTCGGTTTTAGCTTTCTCTCTCTTTCATTCACCAATCAAAACAAAACTGCTTTCTTCATTATCTTCATTATTACTTTTTGTTCTGTTCTTCAATTTTAGCAGAATATGTGCTAAGTTTCATAAACGGTGGGTTTTATGTTATTTTGCAAAAATATTTTTATTAAAAAAGGTGTTCAAAATTGAATAACTCATTAATTTCCAATATATTAACTTTAACTTTAAAAATAAAAATTTTATTATCTTAATACATACATTTTATGAATGTAGTCTTCCTAAATTAACTAAGCTAATAAATTTTTTCTCTTGTGGAAAAGAGAGTCAAAGGAAAAAACCATTTAAAACACTTTTGTGAATTTCAAATTTTATATTTTTATCTTCTTCTATTTTTCATCTCTAAATAATTAAAAGGTTTATGTAAAAAAAATAAATTATTTTAAACGAATTGCTTTAAATGTTTCAATTTTTAATATTAAAATAAAAAAAAGAGCTACTTTCCTTCTAAATCCTTTTTTTTATTGAATTTGTATAATTATTAAATACAAGCAAAAGAGGATAATAAATGTTAGGAGTTAAAATAATTAATTGTAATGAATTCATTAAAGATAGATATTGAATGTAATTTGTCTCTTTAGCTAATATTTATTATTTAATTTAGTTTCACAGTTTGAAAGGAGCATATTAAGGGACGGTTGAGATTGTCTGAAGGAAGATGCTACAAATTACAAGGATTGAGTAGCCCATGGTTTTGTGTTGACCCAAATCACAAGTTACCAGCCATTGATTTGAATGTGAACGGTGGAGATGAAAACTGTGATGGGGCATAGAAAGTGCAATTGTTTTTAATTTTGGTATAAAGTATATTTGTTTGTTTGTGTTTCTCTTAGTGTTCTGTTTGGAAAGGTGTTATTATATTTTGAATTTATTTGTAACAGTCCAGTAGGTGGGGCCCAATATATGTGAGATATGGGAAAAGGAAAATAATAATAATAAAAAATGTTAAGAAAAACGTAAATTCAAGAAACGTGAGAACAACGTGAAATGAGAGCGAAATTGTGTATAAAATTTTAATTCATTATTTTATATAAAATATTATATTTTATGTGTATTTTGTTATATTCTTAGGATTTAATTTGAATTTAATTTCATATTAATTATCAAGCAATAAATAAATAAATTTATATAAACAAACAAGTTTCTATCTTCAATTTAAGATTATAGATTTGAACTCTATTTTATTTGCTTTTTTTTAATTATCGTGTGTATTATGTAATTTACATATAACTAAATAAAATTATTACAACACTGTGATAAAATTATAGCATTAAAAAATAAAAATATTTATTTATATATAAAAATTAAGCTTTTAATATGCTCTAATAATTTTTTGTTAAAATAATAATAATATATTATTTTATTATAATTATTTCATTATAAATTCTAAAAATTAATTTGTATTTAAATAAATCTATTTATAACTGATCAGTTATTGTTGTATTATTACATATTTCAAAATATTTTTTATTCATTTATTTTAATATTTTATAATATAATTACCACGATGAATTTTTTTTATTAACACGATAAACGTATATTAAATAAAATTTTCATCTATAATTTGTAATTGCAATACCTATTTTAATTTTATGTGAATATATAACAAAAAATAATAACTGATAGGTTATTGATAAATTTATAAAATAAATCAGCAATAGGATTGATTGTATGAATTTGTCTTTATAAATACAAATATCCAATAATCATTTTCCATGTTGGAACCTATTTTGGGGTCTACACTGTTTTGCCCAATTCAACAAAACTTGACCCAATATATCCCTCTAATTTTAAATATAGATTTACTTGTATCCTAACTTGATACCAAACATGTTATAAATCACAGTTTTGGGTGGCATGAATTTAGGGAAACATATTCTTATTCTTCACCAATGATTTGTCATCTTTCATGTTAAGTTAGAATCTTTTATTTATTATTTAATTAAATTAAATTATTATTTTTACCTACTTAATACTAACTAGTTGTTTTACTTGATTGTTGTCTAACATGTTCAAATTATGGGTGACTTCTCTGTGAATACAGGATGACTTCTTTCATTTAGGGATAACACCTAAATTTGAAAATGAAAAAAAAAATCTTTAAAAGTTTATTCATGTTAAAATTAATTAAATCAAAACATGTTTTTTTATTCTTAACAATATATTTAAATCCTCACACAATATATTGACATATTAGATATTTTCCAGACCCTCTATTGTATCAAAGGCTGCAGCATAGTACAATTTATGGATTCCTTCCAAATTGAGCATAATCTTAATAATTCAGTGCTGGGACTCAAACTATGTGGCAAACAAATTATAATCATGATAAGTTAGAACAATGCAATTCAAATCACAAATAAACTGAGTCTAGTGTTCAGATTTCAGCACTTATCTGGCATATATATGACATCCCCTTCAACAGGACAAGCCAAAATCAAGCACAAGTAGTAAAATGGGTCTTCCCCTTCTTGGATTGTGTTTACACAAATCAAGTGGGCAAGTACTCTGGCAACTCTAACAAGAACAACATCATGGATAAAGCCAAGGACAGCAAAAAACAAAGATGGAAAGATTACATAAGGTTGAGCACTCAAATGAATCTTAATGAAGATAATATATTTTTTATAATCAGTTTAAATATGAAAAAAGAAAGAAATAAATTTTAATGGAAGAGAAAAATACATTATTTGATTCAAAAATAATAAGCAAATGTCATAATACTAGAAAAAACAGAGAAAGGTCATAAGAACAGTCAATTACCTTGAGGCAGAGGCATCATTCATAACTTGGTAGCATTCAGCAACTTTCCTCTGACTACAGCTTTTTCTTGTCTCTCACTCCTATCTCCATCATATCTTATTCTCTCTGCGGCTTTCTAGTATGCAGAGAATATGTACTGGGAAATAGAAATAAACCACAAAAATCGAAATGTTGGTTGTGAGAAATTATTTTCTAAAACAAAATTATATATTTTTTATTCAGAGAAATGAAAAAATATATGTAATAACACGAATAATATCACTGAAAAAGAAAGAAAAACAAATAATTTATTCTATTATAAAATTATCAAAATTTTCTCTTTTTTAATTATTGTTGTTTTATAAATAATTAATTAAAGATAAATGTTAAATAATATCTTAAAGACATTACTTTAATTAATTAAATTTAGGAAATTAAAATTGAGAAACTATTAATACATTTTTTTATAGTTTTTAATATACTTTAATGTAATTTTTTATAATTTTATTTGTTTTTATATCAATCCTATTTAAAACTAATTAATAAATTTTTAATTGTTAATTAGTATTATTTAACAAAAAATAATATTTTTTATTATAATCCAACTTAAGGTAACATGCTTCGACTTAAAATTGACATGTGGTAGCAACTAAGTTAACTATGTTGGTTTTGGCCTCTTGAATTATATGATCCAGCTTAAGGTAAACTCTAAAATTACAGTATAATATAAATTGTAAAGTTTAACTTATTTGCTTGATTTTGAGATTAAAGTTATACGAAATTGTGGTCATAATGTTGAACAACAACATTGCGCAGGACAAGTTCAAGTAGATGGGCATGAGAGTAACAATTTAACTATAGAAACTTGTTGACATAAATTGAAAATAATTTATTTTGATAAGTTATATAAAAAATTATTAAAGCAAACTAAAAATAACCTATAAATATTGTAAATTATTTTCATAAGTTATATATAAATTATCTTAAATCGAGGGGTAGGCTCCAAGCACAGCAGGTAGAGTTGAAGAACTTAGTATCTATTGCTATCTTTGGTGTTTGGAAATAAAGTATTGGATTGTCAACTGTGATGTGAAATGAAATTTATGTTATTTTGTTTCATTTTATCCTTTGTAGTAAAGATCAAATATAGAATTGGTTTGACTCTTGTTACTGTTTATTTACTTTTGTCCGAATCCACTTGTTTAATTCTAATTTAATGATTTAAGAGTATTCTTATACTCTGTTCATGTTTTGTTTCAAATTAACTAAAAAATGGGGTTGCTGCTTAAGTTTGCTTGATTGTTTACAGATTTCCCCCTGGTTTGGACAGAAGCAAGAGTTAATGTGACCTGAAGCATTGGATTTCTATGGTGAAAATGACTTCTCATTCTTGCTTAAGAGGTGTTACATAGCCTTCATAAGTCTTCATTTTTTGTTTTTATAGCCTTCATAAGTCTTCATTTTTTGTTTTTGCTCTTTATATGTCAAGATTTTTGGTCTAAATTGATGAGTCTTTATCAGGTTAGTGATAAATCTATACACATAATGGTTTGACCCAGACCTTTAAGATTTAGTTTAATTTTTTTGTAAAAAGAAAAATTGATAATGTAGCCTGTGGCTTGGCCCTTTCCCATGGAACTTTGGATTTGGTAAACTATTAAAATTATCAAATATCAAGATTAACAAAAATTCAAAATCATGTTTTTTTAATAGTTAGAAGATTATTTTTTTAGACATAATTAAGTGTTTAGTCCTTTAAAATTTTGTAATTTCTTTATTTAATTCCTTATTTTTAATATTTTTCAAATGGCTCTTGCATAAACTATTTTGTTCTGTTTTTTATTTTTACATTTGGTACTTTTAATATCACAAAATTTTCATTTAGTCCCTCATTTTAGGATAACCAAATAAAAAGACCTCTCTCAAATAAAAAAAATCCATGATATTAGATGGGCTAAATAAAAAATTATAATATTTAGAGAAACCATATAAAAAATAAATCACAAGGAGACCATTTTGTAAAAAAGTATATTATGAAAAACTTGTTTAAAAAAATTAAAAACACAAATTTTTGAACATCTCAAATACTTAATTAAACCTATTTTTAAAATGAAATTGAAATAAATATTGACCATACAACCTAATACATGGGGGCAAATAGCTATATAAAAGAGCTTTTAATCGTATTCGGGTTGCATTGTACTCAGGATTACTGTAGTACTATTTATGCAAGAAATGGAATTGAAATGATCATCAAAATTCTCACCTTCTTAGGCATGCCTATACAGCAAAATTAACCCTTTCATTCCTACAAAATTCTAAGATAAATGCAATTTATTCTAAAACTACATCCACTTGATCAGAATAAATTGATAGTGACACTAAATTCTTGCATATCTAAACTTTAAACCCAAACACAAGAACCCATATTTTCCAGACAAGCTAAGCTCCTGATAGGAAATCTAAGGGACCATTTGGCTGAGACATCCTACCTATAGACACATATCTTCTGTAGAATAAGTATAATTGAAAAAGGAGATTGAAGAAGTAAAAAAGATGACAAAGAAAGAACATTGATTTCAAAGTAAATAATGTACTTTATAAATTATAATCAAGCAAAAATGATAGTAATGTATCAATTGTCATTATTTTTCAAAAGAGAAAGAAAGAAATTGAAACAAAAAGTCCTGGAATCTAAGAATATCTATATGCAATTGTCTCTCCCAATAACCAAATTAATTGACATTAGAGGCGCAAAAGGGGCCCACTCTCCATGATTAAATTCCTTCAGATAACATTCTCCAGAGGAATTCAGCAACCCCTCATAAGCCGTGTAAGGTCCACAATAAAAGAGAAACTCCAATCAATGCTATGTCTTTAGTAAATTATGCTCTTTCTTCCACTATAAATACTGGATCATGGTTCAATGCTTGAAGTCATAGCAGCGGCATACAAAGCTTTGAAATCTACAACCTAAGTTCATTTCTGGTTTTTTCAGAACCAAACATGTCAAGCACATGCGGCAACTGTGACTGCGCTGACAAGAGTCAGTGTGTGTAAGTGCTTTATTTCTTTTCTGAATTTATCTTGTACAGAAAAAAGCTACATAAATATAGTTCATGTTTCAATCACTCACCACAGAAAGCTTGAATGATGCCTATTAGATCTCTTATTTACTTAAGTTCTCATATGCTATGCTATTCACCAGGAAGGGAAACAACTATGGTGTTGACATCGTAGAGACTGAGAAGAGGTAAAAGTTTGTATTTGGTGTCCCTTGTATATGATTATCTGTGCTTTGATGTCTCTAATCATTCCAGGACACATAATGCAAAGCCAGAAGATTAGACCAAGAAAAAAATGCTTATTATGTGTCTTCTTCTTTTTTTCTTCCAGCTACATCGAGACTGTTGTCATGGATGTTCCAGCTGCTGAGCATGATGGGAAGTGCAAGTGTGGTACTAGCTGCGCTTGTGTGAACTGCACCTGTGCCCATTAAGGAAAATATGAACATGTATTGGCCATGTGTTTGGCAATATAAATCTCCTAATAATGTAACATCTACTGAACAATAAATGTGTGTGCTGTTATCCTACTTCAGGTCTGTATAAGTGATGCACTCTGAATCTGAATCATGCTCAGTTCCTGTCATAATTATGTAACAGCCATGGCTGTGGCATTCCATGGTTAAATAAACTAAAATAAGTATAATCCTGTTTAACAATCTCTTTTTGTGCTGCTATGAACACTATCATCTTCATCGGCATAAAGCTTTTATACACATAAAAAAAGACAAATTTTGGAAGAAAAATAGTGATCACAGGAATGAAATCTATTCAATGTCAAGGTGAATGGACATGACACTTAACTGTTCAGACTTCAGAAAGTCGATAGTAAGTGTAGATGTAAAGATAATAAAAAGAGTAGCACTTCTTTGCGGGTGCTGTTTGTTTATCATCTCCATATCTATACTCATTTGTATCTTGCAGATTCACATTGCCTGAACTTAGAGACAAATTGAATTAGTTTGTTAAAAACATGGGTAAAAAAAACACCAATATACTATCAGGTGAAATTGGCCACAGAAATCACCCGATGCTATTAAATTTGGTTAAAAAATTTTGCAAAAATAATATTTCATTTAATAATATTTTTTGAAGTTCTTTTACGTCCCCTTCTACTCCTCTTCACAAGACTAAAATCTATGCAATTTGCTCTTCTCATTATTCCTCCAATGACCTCCGTACATGTTCAAACTATTTTAGTCGATTTTCTGTCATCTTCTCTTCAATTAAATATCTTCTTACATAAATTCATTTGTTATTTCTTTATTTCTTTTTTTTTTTGTGATTACATATTCATTTTAAGATTTTTATTTTTGCAACTCTTTTCTTTTTCTTCTTGTTCCATTCCTTTAAAGCCCAAATAGACTACTATAGAAGATAATTAATCATATAATAGTACAATAAAACTCCCCTTTAAGCTTAATTGGTATCAATTAGAAGAAAAGAAAAAAATTGTATTTCTTGATTGCAAAATAATAGAAAATCAGAGAGATATCTCTTTTCCGAAGGTTTTTCCTTATTTAAGTCATTGACTCCCTAACTAACTAACTACTCACTCCAACTATTAATAACTAATTTTCTCTCCACTCTCTCTTAACTCGTAGTGCAGTTGCTAATGCACAAATTTTATAATATTCAGCCTATATTGCCCATCCAATATACACTTGCAATACCCATCTAAAGACACTCAGTTAGATATCTATGCATCATGATTTACTCTATTGCTCCAGCGCAATTTGGTTCAAGTTTCAGAACAAAGCATTGTAAACCTTGCTCCATATTCTAGTGCAGCACATAACCACAAAAGCATTGAGGGAGAAAACAATAAGAAACAATGACAATTCCTGCACCTTTAAATTTCTTTAATAACTATGCTTACTAGTCGCTCTTAATGAGAAGGGACAAACAAGAAAAAGTGGAGGAAAAAATGGGTAAGGAAATTTCTGCCAACCAATTGATTTGAGTAAAATAAATAAATAACTGCTACACTCCACAACATAAACTAAAGCGCAGCTAGCAAGTGAAAGCATAAAAGTTTGTATTTTAATTTAAATATTTCAGTCTCAACAAAACTAACGGGGTAGTACCTGCTGAATCACAGAGCTAGAAGTTAATAAATTATGAATTGCATGTTGCAATCAATTTCACTATATTTATTCAAAATTTCAACAATCAACCTGAAAACTGTGTTCCAAAATGTTTATCAATTTCATAAAATCAATTGAGTTATTCTACTAATTTATTTATTTTTTCTCTTTTTCCTCATCACCAACTCAAACATTGAATCCCTCAGCACGGAGGCACAGACGGTGAGCCTCAATCCATTTTGCACAAGCTGCTTCACCATGCTCCACTATGCATTCATCTCGCAACCTTTTAGTGTCAGGGCAAGCACAGCAGATTTTCTTCTTAGGCTTTGAATCCGCACCAGTTGCTACGGTAACTGAACATTCATTTTTCTGTGACCCTTGTAAGGTCGAGGCAGGGGATGCAGTTTGCAGTTGCACACCACTCATTGTAATCCTCCAAAGAATGAAACAGTAATACCGGAAAACAAGTGCAACTCAGACAGACCTGGGGCAAGAGAGGGGAGATTGAGAACACAAACAAACGAAAGTTATTTAGAAACAATTTGCCAGAGGGACACAAGCAAATATAATAAGCTTAAATAAACCTTAGTATAAGGGAATTTTTCATGCAAGACATATATCACTTCATTTTCAGCTGAACCAAACATAACCTTAAAATTCAGGAAGTTGCTATTCTACCCTAATGGATATGGCACACAAGACAAGTTATTAAGCACTTGTTGAATGGCGAATTTTTAATAAATGTTCAAAATTTTACACAATATAATGACTAGTAGCAAATGAAATGCTTGATGGATGCCATACACGAGAAAAATAAAAAGAACCACAGTTATGCATATACTTTATAACAAGACGAAGAGCTAGAAAAGAAATAAACCCCTTCGGACCACGTTTAGTGTATTTCTATCCAGTTCACCTTCCCCCATTAAAGTACTGAACTTTCCAATCTCACAAATAACCAATTGGCAGCGGATGGAACATCCACTTGAAATGGAAAAAAAAATTATAAAAAACGGAAATTAAATTTGTATATTATGACTGATCATCAAATACCAAAATACCCAATTTCTGAAAATAATTTGTAAATACACACATAAATCATAAGAATTCAACATTCGATGAACCAAGTCAAAGCATCAATTAATTACAAATTTCAACCCCCCCCCCCCGCCAAGAGAGGCTAAAAATCTAACCTTTTTTCTAATTCTGAATCTAGCACACAAATGGATTTGTAGAAAGTTTTGCATAAACTCGAGAAGAAGACAGGGAATGAAAAATTCAGCAGAAAGAGAGGTATAAAACGACGAGTTTGAAGAGGAGTTGAGATGGGTTTGTTACAGTGTAGAAGAAAGAAGAGAAATAGAAAAAGTGGGAGAAAGAAGAGAACTTACGATCCTCTGAGGTATGCAATGCACTGTAGTATCGGGGGCTTCTCTTGTTCTGCTATTCTAACTCTTCTAAAGAATAAGAAAGATGATTCTGGGGTTTTGTTACATCGTATTTAGGCATGCTGTCAATATAACAATGGTATTTTCCTTTTTTATTAATTAAGCTTTTGATTCTCACAAATTTATGATTTTTACATTTAATTCTATATAATGTTTTTAAGAAGCAGTATTTTATAATTCTTATTTTTTTATTTGATATTTTTAAATATTATAAATTTTTTTGTTTGATCTATTTAAATATCATATATTTTTAATTTAATTAAGAGACCATATTTTAAAAAAATTATCATCAATTTTTACATATAATTTATACATATTAATTGTTAAATAAAAGTATTTTAAAGAGAAGTTCGTGTAGAAGAAATTTTTTTATTAATACAAAAATAAATAAAATTTCTCTAATAAATGATAAATAATTTATACTTTTTATTTTTTTTAAATTATTTAAATTTTCTAAAATTGGAAAAGATTAATTATTTCTAACTTATAAAAGAAATTTTTTATTTAATTTTTTAAAATTTTCAATAGATAAGTTGTTTATAATTTATATAAAAAACTTTATTAATTTTATATTGATTATTTTTTATAAGAATTTTTCTAAAAATTTATTCAAATTATGTCATAATTTCTCTCAACTTTACGAATTTAAAATTTTTTATTATCGCTTTATCTTTTTCTTAAAGCATCTTCAAAAGAAATAAGTTATTTAATGTGGTTGAACACTAAATATGAATAACCCTTTAATCTGAACATTGAAGCCTTAATTCATCACTTAGAGGGACTAATTCGTTTTATTATCAATAAGTTGATTTCAAGTGAAATTGCTTGTAAAATTAAACTAAAATTAATTTTTATTAATTAAAAATCAAACTTTAAATGAATGGAATGAAATTGATGCAAACGATATGTTTTGTAATGTTTTATTTTATTTAAAACTAACATTTTCAAACAATATCAAAGATAAATGAGTTAAGCATTTTAGAGATAATATGACTTTGGAATATCAAAATCCTAGGCAATACATATAATTAAAAAGCTTTAAAAAGGAAGTAGAGAATAAACGTCATTGTCATATACTTATAATTTATTCTTTAAAAAGCTAATAAATTTATAAAAAAATGATGACTGCGAAATGAGAGCATCTGCTTTAGATAAAAGGAAAGGATAAAGAACAAATTAACATCATGAAAGACAACACTTGAAGTTCATATCCAAGAGAGAAAAATTCCTTGTTATCGTCTCCAAACTTGGAAATATGGTATTTTTCTTACCATAAAGATTCCACCTCCTTATTGATCAAATAACAATATGTCAATCAGACATATTTGCACTAATTTTATGGATGCAATACTGAAAAACTTGCACTAAAACTTACACAATTATGCCAAAACGGATGAGAGAAAAACAAATAGTACATTTTTTGAGGACACAAAGCAGAAATGAAGTATACGCTAATTACTCGAATTCCCAATTGAAACTGACTAATAAAGGAAAGTTGCAGAATTTGAGCATAGAATCTGTGCAACTCAGAACCAGAAAGTTGACCCAACAAGCTATTCCATCCTCTCTTCGAAAAAGATCAGAGCTTTAACAATGGTTCTATATTTATGTTGAGAATTCGAGCATTCACTAGGCCAATTGAATCCAAACATTTTTCTCAAACAAATGAGCTCTATTTATCCCTTTGAAATGCCCAAACAACTTGAGAGCCTGAAAATATTGGTTGCTTCCAACCAAAACCAAATCAATATTTTTTTGGACCATGTTTCCACAAGCACCAAAACTTGCAAATCAAACTAATCATATTTTTCTCTCCATGAATACACAAGAAAGAAGACCCATGAAATGGCCAATGCAAAGTCCCCAACAGCATGCCTAGGCCAGTCATATGCCAGATCTTCAAGCTTTCTCTCAAAGAAGAATCTCCACACTGCCATGGAAATGTGAAGCAGCACACACCCTTTTGCAAAGAAACTCTGAAATTCTCTATCCTTAACAAAGGCAACCATTAATAGAAGGAACCCAATTGTGAACAACAACAAGCCAGAGAAGGAATCAGAAGTCTGAATCAAAAGCTGATCATGTGGTGTTGACCCTTGAAGCTTGCTTGCAGTCTCAGGTCCATGGCCCAACACAGATATCTCTTTAGAATAGAATATCATCAAAGATCCACTAGTAAGAGCTATTGCTGAATGAAGAACACAGATAAGGGTAAACACCGAAGAAACCATTGATCCAACTTCACTTTAAAGGACTCAATTGAGCTTCTATACCTACAATGGTAGTTGAAATCTCTAGCACTACTTTCTAGTAGTGTAAGACATCCATGACCAATTCTGATGCTGGTTTGATGCACATGATGATCTATTAGACCCTTTCTAAGAGTTGAAAATTCAAATTTTCTACTTTCAATAAACAAAAACTGCAATTTTGCCTTAACAAATCTTCCAAACAAAGCTCAAGAAAACTTACAGAACCCTTTGAGTCAGAGATATTAGAGAGAGGCTGGAAAGTTGAATCCTAAATCATTGCCTATGAAGCTGCGAAGATCAAAAGATATGGAACAAAAAAAAAAAGTTTGAGGGTGAATAGGTCAATAGATCAGAAGGGTATATAAAGGGGTTACTGTTTCTACCTCAGGGTACTTACATAGGAACACGATTAATCTTCTAGATTGGATTTGTATAGGGATTAATGAAGCCACAAGAACATGTTGCTTCTTATGCCATAAATAGCACAGAAGTTGCTTCCACATTCCAAATCACATGCAAAAAAATGCCATTCTTTTCTCTGGTTGCTTCCATTTTTGTTCTGATAAACATTGAAAATGGAAAGAATAGCACTAATGGCCAATGGGGTCATGGAAATGGGTCTACATAACTATTGTTAAAAGATTATTCAATGCATTGTGTCATAATCTTCCGACTTTTGAACATGAAGGGGGGCCCATATGGAGTTACTCATTTTAGACTTGTGCCATCTAGAAACATTTGATTTTAGCTAAGGCTCTTTCATGTCTTAATATCATTTTTGGTTAATCGATATTTGGATAAGCATAGAAGCCACTTGATTCTTAATGTTTGATATTTTGTATTCATCATGTAAGTTGTTCATGACACAATAATTACGTAGGAGAATAGTAAGTTGTTGCACTAAGAATCAAAGGTGAAATGCAATAGGAAAATGTAGCTGACCCTTTTTGAATTCAAAGCTGGATTTCATATTTTTTTTTATTTTCTTGAAGTATGTAGAGCAAATTTCTTTCAACTAGATTCATTCAAATTTCTTTAAAATAATAAATTCCACAGTACCTCTTTATTGTGGCATCTTTGCTTTGATGGCAATATTGATATTTGTTAAATTATTAATACAAAACTGCTTGGAAAATCTAATCATTGAAAATCCAATGATAAGTTGCAATTTGTTCCTATTAACTTTGTTTTCTCATTGGTGCACATAAAGTAAAATCAATCTCTAAAATTTACCCAAACAGGTAATGTGGCATGTTCTGAATCTTCTGATTCTGTCCACTCACCTAATGACAACAATCTTATCGTATCACACAAAGTGAAATTGTATTAAAGGGAATGCCATCACGGGTTTCTACCTTACAACTAAGGGACATGGAGAATTTTCCTTTTGAAAATTAGAAAAAAGTTAAAACCAGAGCTCACCTTCCAGGGACAGTGATCTATTCTCCAACTAAGTATTTTAATATTTTTCTCCTTCAAACTTAAATTTTAGAATTTTTTTTATAATAATATATCAAACTATAAATTTTTTTAAAAAAATTATGACATACAGAAACTTAAAAATTGTCGTTGATGTTTTTTGGCGCACGTGTACAAATTTAGAAATAAAAAAAGTTAAATATCAAAGAAGACTTATTAAAAATAAATTAATTAATTAAAGAACTAAAAAAATATCATATAAAAAACTTAAATTTTAAGGAAATTAATAATTTAATTAAAAAAGAAATAATTTATTATGATTTTTATATTTTTAATAAAAATATTTAAAATTTATGGCTGAGCCATCTTGTATACTCAAGTTAAAGCAAAGGCTTGGCCTAATGTTGCTTTCTTGAGGTCCACGACACTGAGGTTGCAACAAAGCATGTTGTGCCATTAAAACTTGAAATCGTGCTCTACACACTAATTCTCTGTACTTCCCTTTCAGCAGAGAAAGCTCCACATCATTATCTAAGCAACGTTTGACTTCTTTTTTTCATTAACTTTCCTTTTCTTAAAAAAATACTATATATAATTTAGAAAAAAAAAACATTTTTTTTTATAAACAGAAGTTGCAAAAATAATCTTTAAAAAATGTATAAACATTTTCCCTTTTTATATTTTTTCTGTTTTGCAAATCCATCCACTTTAAGTTTCCATCCTTTTTTTATTTGGAATTAATCCAGCTAACAATTCCATCAGAGTAAAAGGAAAAAAATGAATGACTTAAATTTATTTTTTATGGCTGAGTAATTTTAATTTTAATTTATAAAAATTTATTGATTTTAGTCCTTTGAATGTCTATTTATGCTACGTCAAAGATAATTTTAAAATAACAAATAATGTGACATGTTAATTATCAATGTGATAATCGATTACATCAAATGATATTTTAAAGTGACAAACAGCGTAACGTGTTTAACCTTATGCTACATCAATGATAAATAATGACACAAACTATTTTTTAAAACTTTAATATTTATGAGGATTAAAAAATATATGTATATAAGATTTAAATTATATTTAATTATATTTATCAAAATAAAAACATTATTTATGTTTTAAATTTTCATGTTTTTGTAACAATTATGAATCAAAGGGTTGAATTTATAAAAAGTAAAGAGAAAAATAAAAAATTATATTATTATTTAATTATAAATTAACATGTTAAAAAACTTATTTTTACAATAATTAATATAAAAATGTAATATATTTTAATCAATTAATAATATTAATAATATTTTGCTGGCCTACGTGTGTTGATTAGGCTTGGACCCCAAGTTAGGTTCAAATAGTAATTGTCTAAACATTTATAATATTTCTCATTTTTTGACCAAAAGTACAAATCTTTCTCATTTTTAACTTTTAAGATATGGAAATTAAAGTTTATTCAAAGAAATCACTAAAAACACATTAATCCACTTTTAAAGTATTTAAATTAAACATAACATTTTCAATATAATTGGTTGATTATCAAAATACATGACAAAAATTAAGAAGGAATTCAAAACTTACAACCATGTCTAAATAACTTGATTGATTGAACAACTTTCAGGTAATATTTAATTAATTAACTATCCTACAGCAAAATGAACTGTTAAAGAATTATTAAGACTAATCCATCCTTCAACAAATATAACACAATAAGCAAGACATATCATTGGATTAGAAAACCAATGCGTATCTGAACATATAAACAAATCATATATATGGGATTCAAATTATTCATAAAATTTATGTTAAATAAATGAGATCAAGATCTAATAGTTCTTCCTATCACACTTCTTTTGGGTAGATCTGATGATGCCAAAATAAAAAATGGTAATAATTCATATTAATTCAATGAAACTAGTGGATGTGTGTGGCCCAACAAAACATGTGAGGGTGGCATGTCCCATTGGTCTTTTGGAGTGAGACTATCTGATTTGAATTTGACTTTGTGTAAACATTATTACAACAAAAGTTTACACAAAAGTTTGGGTATCTATATATATTGTACAAACAAAGAGACCTATGATTGTGGAAAAGCTTACTATAATGTTAGAGTCCAAAGAAGACACAAAAATACACAAGGTAGCACTTTGACCCACCAAACCATTCAACCATGGCCCCTCCCACTCGTTGTGTTGTCTCAATGACACAATGCAAGGTTATAAATTTTACCTATGCATTATAATTTGGATAACTATTCATCATTAAATGACCATAGACAATAGTTGTTAGTGGGTGGCAAGTAGGAGCACCTTCAAATCCATGTCTAGGACTTCATTTCTTCAATTTGCTTTTCAATAAAATGAAATATGAAATTTTGAAGAGAACTTTATCATTTGGTTGTGAGCAAATTATATAAGAGGAAATTTCATTTCCTTTTTCCAAATTAATTTATGTGTGGGTTTAGAATTGCGTTCAGCCAATCAAAACAATGCACGTCAATTTATACGTTACTAAGAATAGCTTTCAAACATTGAAGCAAGTGATTATATCCATTAAATGCATTTTTAATGCTCCAAACTTGTTCTTTAAAGTTTCAATGTTGCTGGTCTTGTAAGAAAATCCGTGGATTTAGCTTGCTTTACAGGGGATTTTCTCATATTGAATAAATATTTAATTTAATTATATTTTTTTTATTTTTTAATTTATATGTAACTTTAGTCTATCATTTTAATTGCTCATATTTTTTTATAATTTTTAATTATTCAAATTAAGTCTTTCATCTCAAAATTTTATTTAATAAATGACAAACAAATATAATATAATGTTTATTTATATAAATATTTAAATAAAAATATATAATTAATTGAATAGAAATAAAAAGAGAAAGACCTTTATAATTTTATTTATTATTTTAAATATTTTTTGTATATTTTTTCTTACTAGCTTTACAACAACAATATGTCACATTTTCATTATATTTTTGTTGATTCTTATATGAGATTTTAAGGTGAGAAGTTTAAAAATACTAAATTAAAGTATAAAAATTAAATTTAAAGAATTAATATACTATAAAAAAAATTCATTTCAATCACATACTTTTATACATCAGATATAAGGCTAAATAATTTTACTTTACAAAGAACTAAGTTGTATCTCAAAACTTCAAAATCATGTTAGAGAAGCCTTTTGAGAAGGATGTGTGTGACCCTTAGTCATATGTGCCTTATTTTCTTTTAGTTAAATACTTCATCATCAAACACCCACCAAATGCTTGTTTAAAATGATTTTATCATATGCTCCTTTTAAAATTTATTAAACTACCTAAAACTAAAGGCTATAAAAATGTTATTTTTATCCTGTTTTGGTCCCACTATTAAGAGGTTGTGCATTGAAAAAGAACAACCAACAAGAGCACGGATGGAAATGGTTTCTTATGAATCTTCAATACTTGGAGGTTCTTAAATTTTCCCCTTAATAAATTTATGATTGTGATAAGTAACATTCTTACTTATTGGTTGCAAATGGATGATAATATATAAGCATTGGTCTTGGAAAATAAATAAGAAAAAGAAAAGGTAAAAATGGAGACAAGTTAAGTGGGTTAGATGTGTGATACCAAAAATTGAGAAGGACATGGCAATGAAAGATTGTTTATATTATTATATAGCAAAAGGAAAAGGTGTAAGGAGGATGATTGGGTGATCTGAACCGTTGATTATGGGGCATAGAATGAATAATCAATAATAAGGAATCTGTGGGTATCCTACTGAACTGAACAGTTTGCCATTACCTTTTCATTGTATGAGTGATTGCATCATAATTCTCTCACCAAATTCAATTTTCAACTCTGTTCATAAAAGCAGTGGAAAAGCCAACGACTCTAAGCTGCGTAAAATGTATCTATTTATTTATGCACCACTTTCGCTGCAAGCACGTGCCTCCACGCGTACCCATAATGTAAACAAATAGATAATATGTTTTTTAAAATGTAAATAAATCTCAATTATAACATTATATAGGCCAAGTTATTTAATTTGTTTAAAATTTGATATAATTTAATAATTAATTAATAAAATTAAATATCTATAAAATATATTATTATTTTTTAGATAATAATATATACTGCTGTGACGGCAATAGTGAGCTGTCTCCTCCGGTTTTGATTGAGGCGCGTGGGTGTTTGTTGTCATGAATAGGAATGATTTTGCTTTGGGTCAAGATTTCACTTCATAGACCTTTTTCTTTTCTTTATTTTTCATCTCTTAATTTGGCTCCAATTAATTTTTTTTAATTTGACAGAGATTAATAAAAATAAATTTCATAGAATTTTAAGTTCAAGTTTTATAAAAAAATTGTGAAAATTTGTCCCTATAAAATAGTTATATCTATTTCATTCATATTACTGAATTTTAATATATTTTTTAAATTAATTTTCTTAAACAAAGTTTTAAGTTTATGTTTTATAAATAAAGGGAGAATTTTATCCTTTTAAATTATATCCTCTCATTCAACTCGAATTTCTTTTTAAAAAATAGCAAACAATTGATCCTCGCAGAATAGATAAGAAATTAAAGGCATTCAATGTGTGCGTCAAAGTTCGTATTCACATATAAATAATAATTAATTTTATATTGTTGAATTTTCATTTTGTTTGAAGTTGAAAAATGACGCTTAATGTGATTTAAAGTTGTCGAAAGTGCAAACTAAAATAAACAATTTATTTTATCAAATGGTATTATTTTAATTCTATGTATTTATTTTTATTTATCATACTAGTTAGAAATTTAAGATAAATTAATTATTATATTTATAGTATGCTTTTATTTAATGTTTAAATATTTTATACATTTATCATAAATAAAAAATACTATATTAAGAAATTTAAAATGATTTTACTATAAATAAAAATAAATTTAGAAATAGCTTAGCAAGTAAAATAAATGCACACAAGCAAGCATTAAACGACTAATACTTTTTTAATCATGTTATTTTATTCTCAAACCTTTTTATTTAAATTTATTTCAATAATAACAACAACATTATTATTGTTAATTATAAAATAAACGTATGAATTTAATTTATTTTGAAATTCATATATTCCGGTTTTGATCTAAAAAATATGTGTATATGAATTTCATTTCTATTATTATTTTATTTTCATATTTTCCGTAATACGAAAACACACTCTTCGGGTTTCTCTCTCTCTCTCTCTCTCTCTCTGTGAAATCCTTGTGATGCTGCCCTAGATCCATGGCTTCATTGCATGTGTTGCTGAGTTTCAATGTTACCACTTTTTCACTCTTCCTATTTGGGTCCTTGAAATCCTTTTGTGGGTCCCACATTCAATCCACCACAAAGCTTTTGCAAACACACTTTCACCAAAAACCTTGTGAAGATCTTCCTCTTAGTATTTCTCACTCTCTGTTCTAAATTTCCAAACTTTGGTGCTTCCTTGTTTGTAAACTACCGGTTTTTCATTGGGTAAATCATTCCGCTGTGTATTTTATCTTATTTTAAAGATTTTTTAGGTTTGGTTTGTTGAATTTGAGGTTGTATACTGTTTGGTAGCTCATTGAGTTTTTGTGGATTCAGTGTTTTGAGATCACATTTGGGATTATATAAATACTGGGTTACTGTTGTTATTATTATTACTATTAGAATCTGGTGTCTGTGTGTGAAATTGGTGTTTATGGGGAACGAAGATGAGGATGTTAAGCATTTAGGATAGTATTGTGGGAATGAAATTAAAGGGGTGAGGAATATTGAGATTGAAACTTAGATTTTGGGAGAGGGGTTTGCCTGTTGTGCATAATGGGTTGCGTCTGTTGCAAGCCCTCTGCCATTGAGGATAGCAAAGAGAGTCCAAGAGAGCGTTTGTCAAGCAAGGTTTCGTTGGACCCTTGCGTATCGAGGGGTACTTCGTCGAGGAGGGAGGAAGCATACAGGGTGAAGGATAGATATGATGGTAATGATGTGAGAATTGCCTTGATTGATAAGCAAGGGAACGGTTCTGTGCGGTTGCAAAGTGATAATAATGTTGAAAGGAAGAAGGAGAAAATGGAATATGCTGCTGCTCAACCACATCCAGGAGTTGGTAGTGTTCCCAAAGCTATGGAAGGAGAGCAGGTTGCAGCTGGGTGGCCCTCTTGGCTGGCAGCAGTGGCTGGAGAAGCTATCAAGGGATGGTTGCCTCGCCGTGCCGATTCTTTTGAGAAGTTGGATAAGGTATGTTTCTTTCTTGATCCAGTGTCATAGTGGAATTCTGACAATGCTTTCTGTGGTTATATGCAGATATTCTTGCTTTAGTTTTACATTTGCCAATAGAATATTGATTCAAATGTTAAGTTTTCAAATTTGTTTTGTGTGTTAAATTTTTTGGTTTTTCTTCACCCCCCTCCCCCCTTCTCTTTTTCCTTTGATTATCTATGTTTCTAAAATTTGCTCTGCACCAAGTATGGACATCAGGAAACGAGTTACCAACTTCTCCGCTGCTTTCTTTGGTTATGAGTACAATAGTTGGCATTATGGTTGGGCTTACCTATATTTATATATCTACGTTCTGCTGGCAAATAGCTGATCAAAATTGCTTGTTTCGATTCACTGTTTTGGTAAATTATGAGTCTTGTACCTTATTTCACTATAATAACTCTTGATTGAGAAACTTCGTGAAAGGGATTTTTAGAGAACTCTCTCTCTTATCTCTTTTGTCCTTCACAAATCAGTGTAGTTTGTCATTTTTTTATTATAACCCTCATCTCTGCAAAATACACAAGTAACACAACCTATCATTTTTAAACTGATTTGAATTTATGATCTTACTCTATGACAAATCTTACAAAATTCTTGGTTGTTATTAATTATTGAATTTAAGATGCTAATAATGTTATGCTTCATTTTTTTAATGCTTTTCTTCAGTAAGGTCAAGATCAAGATACCTTGAATTTGGACCTAGTAAATTCTGCTTCTGTTTCATTTTAATATTCTTCTTACCTCTGTTGTATTTGAAAAAACATTGAGGTTGATTTGGGACATGTTTTGCTGTAGTTTGTAGATTTTTAGTTAGATATCTTTTTTCTCTCGTTGATATCAGTTAACTAAATGATGACATTATCTTCCATCTGCTTTAGTTGGCTGTGAATGATGAAAATTTTCCTCCTTCTGATTTTTCAGATTGGACAGGGAACTTATAGTAATGTTTATAGAGCTCGTGATCTTGAGCAAAAGAAAATTGTTGCTTTGAAAAAAGTGAGGTTTGATAATCTTGAGCCAGAGAGTGTTCGCTTTATGGCAAGGGAAATTCACATTCTACGTAGGCTTGATCATCCAAATGTCATAAAACTGGAAGGCCTGGTTACATCTAGGATGTCTTGCAGCTTATACCTTGTTTTTGAATACATGGAGCATGACTTGGCCGGGCTTGCATCACATCCTGGGTTGAAGTTTACCGAAGCACAGGTAATTTTGAAAGCTTTAAGTTTCTAGTTCTTCCATTCCGTTTTACAACAGATTTAATTTATGGCTTATTCCAAGAAGAATCTTGTTGTATGATGTGATATTCAACAAAATTGAATTTGTCATATTTGTAATTTAAGCTAATAATTGAAGACGTTCATTCTGATTGTCATAGAGCTTTAATTCCTTTTTTATTTTTGGGATTGAAAACGAATATATTGAAAATAAGAGGAACATATTATGTACCACTAAAGATAACCATAGATAAAGACAAAATGAAAAATGATCACTGAGGTTGAATTACATTTTTATTTTGGGATTGAAAAAGAAACTATGAAAATAAGGGGATGAAATGAATCTACAAGAAAGAGTTTGGGACTTCCTCTAAAACAAACCTGGTTAAAGACAAAATGCTGCACGAGCACAGAATTCAAGGAGAAATTAATTTCTTATTGGAACTTGGCAGGTTAAATGTTACATGCAGCAGCTTTTACGAGGACTTGATCATTGCCACAGCTGTGGTGTGCTGCATCGCGATATCAAGGGATCCAACCTTTTGATTGACAACAATGGAATCTTAAAGATTGCTGACTTTGGTTTGGCAAGTGTTTTTGATCCCAATCAAACTCAGCCTTTGACAAGCCGAGTTGTCACCCTTTGGTACCGGCCACCAGAGCTTTTACTTGGAGCTACATATTATGGCCCTGCTGTAGATTTATGGAGTACAGGCTGTATTCTTGCCGAGCTGTATGCTGGCAAACCTATAATGCCTGGAAGAACCGAGGTATATGAACTAAAATGTTTCTGTTAAAATGTAGCATTAATGGGTTTTGTTCTTTTTCATCTGTTAAATGTCTACACTCTACAGTGCTCTGTGAATACTTGTTCTTCATAAGTAAGATAAGAAATTTCAGGTTATACTTGTGTATTAACTATAATATGTGGTGGCTTTTGAACAATTACAGCAACAACCAAGCATTTTCCTACTTTGTGTGGTCAGCTACATGGATCAAATGACCCCACAATTCTATGATAAATCGTGTTTATAGATAAATCATATTTTATAACAATATTAATACTTCATCATAAATCATTTGTTAAATGTCTACACTGTACTGTGAATACTTGTTCTTCAAGAAATTTTGGGTTATACTTGTGCATTACTTGTGATGAACAATTGTTAAAACATTAATTAGGATATGTGACATTGGGATGTCAGTAGTGTAGTGCCTTACAAAACTGATAAATATCATGTTCTGTACAATTACCTACTGAAATTCTTTTTTATGGTTCTGTGCATCAGTGGCCTAGTTGTATACTTCTATTATTAAGATGATTGGAAGGTATTGTCTGTCTTCTAGGTGGAGCAGTTACATAAAATTTTCAAACTTTGTGGTTCACCTTCTGAGGAATATTGGAGAAAATCAAGGTTGCCCCATGCAACAATATTTAAGCCCCAACAACCCTATAGGCGTTGTGTTGTTGACACATTCAAGGACTTTCCTGCTCCTGCCTTAGCACTCATGGAGACCCTTTTGTCCATAGATCCTGCTGATCGTGGTACTGCAGCATCTGCTTTGGAGAGTGAGGTGCGAAATTCATAATGAATTTTGGAGACATACCATATTATATTTTATAATGTTCACTTTACTTAGGTTGTGGCCAAAAAATGCCAACCTTCAAATTATTTTTTTAGCATCTTTGTGCATATTTTCTCTTGCTTCAATCAAATTAATGGTCTTGTTCATCATTGCTACAGTATTGCTCCATGATCTTAATATAGCAGAAAATTCATATATATATTAGCTAATTGATATTTTATCACATTCATATGTTGGTGAGTATTTATTCATTCTCTTACTTAACTGCATGTTGCATTAATTTCTATTTTATTTTGGATGTAAATCATTGCTTTTGATACTTCAGTATGCATTGGTCATGATTGTCTCCTTTTGGTGTACTTGCTAATGTAGTTCTTCATGACAAAGCCTCTACCTTGTGATCCTTCAAGTTTGCCAAAGTACCCTCCTAGCAAAGAATTTGATGCCAAAGTACGAGATGAACAAGCAAGAAGGTGTGTTCAGTTTTAGAGTGAATATGTATTTTGTCATTTAAGTTAGGTATTGCCTAATGCATTAGCAATATTCAGTTCTGAAGGGTGCCTCTGCATGTGTGTTTTCATGTTTCTACTTTAAATATATTTTATTTCTTGTAATTAAATTCTGCAAATACTCTTTTTGCATCTTATGTCAAGATTTTTTTTTCTTATTCTTACTTTTCAAAGTGCAATGACTTCATGTTTGTTGATAAACTTTGACCAATAGGAAAAGAGGAACGGTTATTGCCTGGATGTGTTTTTCGGATTAAACATTCCATTAGCTATATTAATTGAACAGTGGATGACATTCCATATGACTATGACATAGGTGTATATTAAATCAGTCAATTAATAAATCTGAAATGTATTTAATTATTCTGATTGGACTGATGCTTGTTAATCATGCTTTTTAATCCATGTGGAGAATTTTCATTCGGCATTGTACTCTTTGATTAGTAGCTTGTAAATTTGACTGTTAGATTTTTATTTTTGGTTCTGATGTTTGCAGACAAGGGGCAGCAGGTAGCAAGGGCCAGAGACACGACCCTGAAAGAAGAGGGGCAAGAGAATCTCGAGCAGTCCCTGCACCTGATGCTAATGCTGAACTGCCCATGTCAATGCAGGTGCCCATAATTAATCATGATATTAACTTGATTTAATGGTGGTAATCTGTATTTCCTGTCCTGTTTTATTAACTCTACTGGTCATGTCAGTGCATAAATATCCTTTTAGATTTGCAATAAATATCTCCATGGCATCATAGTAGTTAAAAATGCTAAAATAAAATAAGAAAGAGAAAGGGTGGTTGAAGGTTGCATTACTGAATCATATTTCTGTTTCCTTCCGACATATTATTTTCTTTGCATCCTGTGAGAATAGTTTTTGTACTAGCCCGCGTCAGTTAATGGGATAAGGCTTGATTGCTGTTATTTTGGTCTAACACTTTTCTTTTGTTGAAACCTTAAATAACCTTTTGTTACAGAAGAGACATGGTCAGGCTAATTCTAAAAGCAGAAGTGAGAAGTTTAATCCTCATCTCGAAGAAGCTTCTGGATTTCCCATTGATCCCCCTAGACAGTCACAAGCTGTAGAAGTAGGCATAGAAAATCAGGTACAGCAACATAAAAGATCCTCCCATTCTGGTCCACTGGCTCACCGCACTGCATGGGCTAAAGCTGGGAAGAACCAGGATGATGCTCCGAAGATTTCAGTTGGGGGTGATCTATCAACATTCTCAGGCTTAGTTGCAACCAAGAGTATGTTGGCAGATGATCGCAGAGAAAGGGCTGGATCATCACAAATGGAGGCTTCAAAATTAATAGGCAGGTTCCCAGGATCATTTAAGGATGTCTCTGAATCATCAATGCAACAAGATCAAAGACATCATGTACAGGGTGTAGTAGGTGCTTCTCAAAAGGAAGAAGGGAGAGGCAGCAACAAAGACCCAGTTCTTGTAAGTAGTTCAATGTCTGCCCTTATCTGTTCTGACTTAGTATGTGTTTTGGTTTATAATTTATATACAATCTTTTTCTTCTTATTTTTAAGCCACACATAAAATAGTTAATAGTGGCCCAAATTCTGGCTTCCAGGTTCCAAGCAATTCTTGGTCTTTTAAAACCTTGCTCTGATTAACTCCTGTTTTAAAAACAAACAATTGGTTCAACATGTGCGTAATTTAGAAGCATGTCAAAAAAAAAGTAACAATGAAATAGCAAAAAATTAGTAAATGAAGAAGGTAATGCAGTTTACCTGTGCAAACTTGATTTTAAATGATCATGATTTTGCAAAATTGATTTGTGTTAAAATCAAGTTTAAAGTGATTTATGTTTGAAATTATTTATGTCAAATGCAAGTTTGTAGTAAAATTTAGTATAAAATTCTCAATCAAATGCAATGACTATATTAGTCAAATGTGCTTTTTGGGACATAATCACGTTTGATAAACATCCAAATATGATTATTATTTTTCATCTAAATCACGGATATATGCTGTGGATGTGCATTTGTCGTAGTTAATAATCCAAACATATTAATTACAATACTGTTGATTCCATCTTGAATTGTACAATTTGTTTTTGTATATTACTTTCTATGGATTTTGCTAAGTTGATCTTATGTCAGCACTTTACCGTTTTATAAAATGGATCTGAAAGTGTTTGTGGTTTAGTTTGGTCTTGTATATTTCTTGTGCTCATTTTTTCCTTCTCCACGTAATGATGCAGGTTGGATATGGGTCAAAGGGTCATAAAATTCATTATTCTGGTCCATTGCTGGTTCCATCAAGCAACACAGATCAGATGTTGAAAGACCACGACCGCCAAATTCAAGAAGCCGTGAGACGAGCACGTTTGGATAAGGCAAAAATGAGAAGACTTCAAGCAGAAGGGAACCAGATCACCAATTCATTATTTGTTTCTGGTCGTTGAGATGCAGCAAAGCATCATAAAGAGAATATTTGATTCTTTTTTTTAAGTGGGGTGCCTGTATAGGGAGAAAGTATCCTTTGCAAAATGCCCCCTTGGCCATGTTAGGTAATTTTATAGCTTAGAAATCTCTCTCCCTTCAAAATTATCACTCATCTTTCTACTCACAGCTGCAATTTGTGGTATATTATGGCCATTCTTGTAAAGCCTTATCAGTTTTAAGCTGTTAGAATACTGGGGAAAAATTATGTTATGATAGAGTTAATATTCACTTGGAAGAGGCCTAAGTAAGTGCATTTGTTCTATGCCTCCTCTCATTCTCTCTGATGCATCACTACTTTATTATTGAGCCCCATATTGTGTGATATGGTCGGTCTATCTTTTCATTCTGACTACGTGACTACTATGGGTCGGACTGTGGGTTTTGGGCAAAAATAAAAAAATAAACTGGTTGCTTGATTATGGGTTGGGTCAGGTTAAGTTTTTTTTAAGTCTAAACTTATGTTACCCTGTCATGCTGGCTTTAGGTTTGGAAAAGTTTAGGGTAAAATTTATGAATTGTTTTGTAAGTGTTATTAATGTTTACCAATTACAATTAGAGTTCCTTTTTGGTTAAAAGGTTTGCATTTGATATGATCATAGATTATAGATTATTGAGGTAAAACTATAATTTTGATTGCTAAAAGCATCTAAGTTTTGTTCAAAAGTTTATTCTCATGCAAGATTAGGGAAGACTATTAATTTCAACTAGATTTATAGTAAGTATTACATACAGTCTCTTACTACGCTGTATTCTAAGGCTTTCTTTAGTAGTTTGGAGGAAAAGAATTAAAAAAAAAATGAAAAAAAAAGGAAGAAAAAGGAGAGTTAATACAAAAGTCTCTAAATTAAGAGAATTTAAAAATATGGGATTGGGGGGGGGGGGGGGTTTTATAAACTCTCCCTTGTCTAAAACTTTCAAATATGGATAAATATTGCACAAGTCTTCTCATTTTCCTAAAAAATTAATTCTCAAACAAAGCTTACAAACAAACTCAAGTCTTGATTTAATAGAAGTGGAAGATCGATTGTTAAGTGAGTCAAATCTTAGTTGCAATCAAGATAGAGGGGTTCATAATTGGGTTAATATTGTTTTTTTTTACAAATAAATTGTCAAAACGTAATAATTTTATACAGAGGTTTAAAGTTTCATACTAATATTATTTAAAAAAAATATTTACGTTGATTAGCTTGAAAAAGAAATCAAATTCAATGTACAAATTAATTGAGGTTATATTATTTATTAAATAAAAATAAACTTATTACTTGTCCCGTTTATTTTTTGATTAGTTTGAGATATGCTTTATCTTGTGAAACTAAATCTCAAACTGATTTAGTTTGATTGAAAGAAAAATTATTTTTATACTCCTTTTTCTTTTTTGTTTGATTGCACTATCATTTTCTTGGAAAAGGTGGTACCAAATAAATTTCAATTTGGAAAATAAAAGTTATCTAGTCAATTTTTTTAATCAAGAATTATCAAGTTATTTATTGTAATTCTTTTTTATTTGTTTGGCTTAGATTTAATGAGATATTTTTACTTTGAATAAAACTAAAACTTTTGAAGATATAAAAAAAAAAAAGAGTAAACTTTGTATTAGTCTCCTAAATTATATATGTAGGGTAAATTGGTCTTTTAAATTTAAAAAATGAATTTATTAATTCTTAGTTTGTTAAATGTTTTATTCCAATTCAATATTTTTTTTATTATCATAGTGTTAACTTTTATTAAGATATTACATTAAGTGACATTTATGATAATTAATATGGTCAAAATAATTTCATTTAATTTACAAAATAAGATATTTAGACTATAACAATTATTGTGTGTCACTCTTAACATTGTAAAAACAAAAATTGTTAAATTGAACTGAAGGGTCTAATAAGAATCATGTAATATTATCTTTATTATTTTATATGTTAAATTTCACATAATTTAATTTAGATATTTATAAATGTTATCCAATGTTTAATATTTATTTGTATTTTAATACTATATTATATGTTAAAATAAAATAATCTGATAAAAATCTCTCTCTCTCTCTCTCTCTCTCTATATATATATATATATATATATATATATATATAATATTTTTAAAATTAAACAAGATATTTTTTTATTGTGTCAATTTTGTTCACAAAATATTTCTCTAATTTCAGTTATTAAACTAACCTGCATTTTAGAAAGGATTTTTCTTTTCTAGATTTATAGAAAAGGAAGTTATGAAGACAGAATTGTCTTTGCAAAAAAAAATAATAATAAAAAATCTGAGGAACTTTCACTATGTAGTGATTTATAAACCTTGAAGAATTAATTGGAGATAAAATAATCACGTTTCATTATAATCACATTCTCTCCAGAAAAACAATAAAGAAAAAAAATAGTGTGTGATTCTGTAGTTTGACGCATGATTCTGATTTTCTCTGCTAACAAATGAAAATATCTTGTGGGCACATTCTGTAATATGCTTTCCATTTTCCAATTTCTCATCACAATTTTTCTTCCTTTAAATTTATTTATCAAACGTTTCACTTAATTTTTATGGTTTCTATGGCTTATGCAAATTAAGTATCGTCGTTATCTATCAATTAATTAATTAGTTAAAAAAAAAAACAATAGAAGGAAACGACAGCCACAACTCTGAAAAATCATAAATTTTGGATGTTGTTTAGGTCCCACTACCAACCCCCGTTTTGTCATCAACGAAAGATCCAATGATAAATAATGATAAAATTTAGATATAATTTTTTTAGATATTTTCAACATTATTTTTTAATTGAATTAAAATTTTACAATTTTAAAAGTATGTTAACTTTTTATTTATATAAAATTATAATTATAATTAAAAATATTTAAAATATTAAACCAAAATTTTATTCATAAACAAAACACTAAAATAATATGAGAACAGGTGAGCATCTTTAATAAAGGCTACATTTATATACTTGTTACCTATTACAACAAAACCCACAAATGGTTATAGGTTCCAATTTTGTGGTTCAAATCAAAACATGTAGGTCTTATATATTGCCATACAAAATCTAAGGTGCCACTTCCATGTAACTTATGCTGCAAACAATGTCATTATCTATCTCTCTTGACCCCTTCAATAAATGCAGGCTGACTAAGGATATATTTCATAAGTTATTTATTTATTAATGGCATAAAAGCATGGGTTAAAATCATATATGTTTGAATTATACTTTTGATGAGTGACAAAATATGATTATGTTAAAGAGAGACATTTTTTTAATAAATATAATTATCAAATCTACAATCCACTATAATAATTTCTTATTTGATAAGAATTTTTGTATTTTACTTTTTTTAACACAATCGATTATATTTAATCTTCTTGACTACTCAGCAATATAAAATATTCAAATTTAATAAATAAAATAATCATTGAAGTTAAATGAGATTAATGTCTAATGGTCTAGCTTTTTCCTCTGCGGTACAGTGGTTATGTTGAAAGTTAATTACCAATGGTAACTATGAAAAGAAAGGTAACCATGATAACAATAATCGCAATGATTAAAACTAAAGTTAGTATAAACTTAATGCATATCATAATCGAGTATGCTATGTTTATAAAAAAAAATTTTATCATGATTTTGTTATATTATTTTTATCACATTATTCATTTTATTTCATAAGTTTTTTTCTATTTTTCATTATAAAATATATTTTATTTTATTTTTTGTGTGAGAATAACATTATCCAACACGATACTGGGCGACCCACAAATATAAACAATAGTTGATACTTATCTAAATCTATAAAAATAGAAATCTTTTTAATAATATTTATTATTTTATATCGAATACTTACTTGATCGTCAGAGTGTCATTGCAGATATCTTTTTTTATGGATAAAAAAAATTTAAAATATTTTATAATGACATCACAGCAGTACATAAAAACAGAAATTATAATAAGTATATTATTACAGAAACAAATTTAATTGTCTTTTCTTTGACTTAGATAAAATAATTAGGTTAAATAATTCATCAATGAGTGTTTGAGTGAGTGATTTAATAAAAAGTACTATGTAAAAACAATTAACATTTGCTTGTTTATTTTAATAGTTAACGTAAGAAATTATAACCAGAATATCATTTTGCATGCACACTAAATTTATAATGAGCGTTTATACTTTGATTTCTAAAGACACAATACGTGGCCACAAATTTTGATGTCAATGGTCAAAGAATTTTTTAAACATTATTTTGGCATTTTGGTTACATGAGTAATCACAAATTAATGCAAAGACCCTTTTGATTTGACTTTACATATTTCCTGTGTCTGTGGTGAATTAATGCATAACTTTATTGGTGAAATGACATGGGAACTGGTAAAGCTATTTGTCTAGGCTTAGTGGCCTCTTTTGAAATAGACATTTGTCTGACAGTCTTAAGTTTAATGATTAAATATTTTTTAGTTATTTTAAATATAATTAAATTTGATTTTATGCTTTTTAAATAATTTTTTTTAGTTTTTTTTAAAAATGGTTCTTGTTTATCACCTCTAATAATGCTATATGCATTTAACTATATTTTGTTAATAACTATTTTGAAAAAGTAAGTGATGTGACTCATCAATAACTAGTAATAAAGATTATTTTTAAAATTCTAAAATTTATGAGGAGCAAGATAATAAAATAATTTTAATAAAAAAATCGATGATGAAAGGTGAAGAGACTATGAAAAAAATGATGTAGGGTTAGAGGATAAAAATGCACATAATATACCAAATTAATTAAATAATTATAATCATAAACATTATGCTTAGTTGAAAGAGAATGGAGAATAAATGCATAGTTTATTTGTTTGGTTTAAAACTTTGAAAGAAAAAAAGGATTAAAATAAATTGAAGCAAAAATTTTCTCTAATTAATTTTGTTTCTCCACCCGAATGGAAGATTTTGGAAGGAAAAAAATTATTATACTAATTAAATTATATTTCTTTTAAGATAATGATTTGATATAATTATTTATTTTATGAATATAACAAAAATTATTATTTTTTATCATTTCTGGTGAACATAATAATGTGTTTTTCTTCTCTCTCTATCGTTAAAGTTCTTTCACTTCTTTCCTTGTTATTGAAATTCATTGGTTTGATCATCCTTCTTTGAATCAAAATATAAGAAAAATACTTGAGGAAAAGTGATATGAAGCACAAATAAAATTAACAACAATGATAAAGGGTTAAAGCAAAAGTAATAAACAATAATATATATATTTAAATTTCATTTGACCAAACTAATTAAAAGGCGTGATCCTAAAACACTGAAGTATTCTCAAATGGTTCAACTGAAAATCCATTGATGATGACATAAGATATTAGCAAGCACACTCCATTGCTCACATAATGGTTAACAAAGAATCTCTGCACAAGTTTTCCAAACTCATGCCAGACTTTTGCAATTATCTATTTAAATATGTAATTATTCAATGATTACTACTGTAATTATGAAACATTATTTGCACCTTTGTTGATTGTGATTGGTCTTCAATCCAATAACCAAAACACATACAATTATCTTTACTATATTCGGTGACACTTTTACCGAACATGATTACCTTTTACTTGGTTAAATGGATCAAATGACAAATACAATTGGCGTATGAATATGGATTCAATGCAGTTTCCGTCAAATTTTGTTATGTGTTTTTGTATTTTACAGATCATCCGAGTCCTTGGCATATACTACTATTTTAAAAATATTTAACACCACTACTTGTTATTGTTTATTCTTTAACCTTGTTCAAATGTTGAGGCCATGGCAAAGCCACGTCGTGTGTGTAGAATAAAGTGTTCAAGGCAAGTACTGACATTTTAATAGATACGTTAAATTAGTATTGATTAATTTCGGTTTTAAAATTATAAGAAAGTTATTTTAATCTTTGAAATTATTAAATATAAGTTTTTTTAACATTCATTATTATAATTTCAGAACAAGAATTGAAATAATCTTTTAAGCCTTAAATTCATCCTATTTTATATTAGAAACTAACTTATCTGAAACAAATTAACTGTAAATTGACAAAAGACTCAACGAGGAAACATGGTATGGAAAATAGGAAATACGATAGAGTTATTTTTTTGAAGTTAAATATTTTCATGTATGATCTGTGTTTTTTCATTCATTTATTTATTTTATGTGGGGGAGGTTTGTTTGGTCTAATTTGTTTAATTTCATTTTTTCTTTTTTATTATTTCAAAAATATTTCGACATGTGGTGGATTTATGCGTTTGTGGAGGTTCGGTGTACTACGCAAGTGCAACTGGAAACTAGGAAGTTTTGTAGTGTTATTCCATTTTCAGGTTGTTCTACTAGAAACTGAAGATCTTTCTATGGTGATACACCTCTCTCTCTTTCTCTCTCTCCACGTATCTTTCTGCTCTTATATTTTCTCAGGTGGACGTTTGGAATCCAATGGAAAAATTTTGATCCATTGTAGGGTCTACGTTGATTTTCTATGTGTTAGAGCTATTACGCTATAATTGGGAAATCTATGCAGAGAAGTTTTTAAAAAAATGTTTTTTTTGTTTTCTAATATTTTTTATAAAATAAAGTGCTTTTTTTTTCACTTCTGATGAATTGGTTTTTCTTTAATGGGGTGAATTGCATGCTGATAAAGTTCATGTATTCACGTTGGTAACTTTGCAGGAAGTTGTCAATGCATTGTGTGGCAACAAGCTGAGAAATTGGTATTGATTTTGGTCCATTGGGTATCTTTGTTTACCACTGAAAATGAGTTTGAGTTATAATGGTGATAGTGGGGTTGGTGCATGAGTGTGAAACATGTTGGTTAATTACACCAAGTCTTGGACGTGTGTTCCTTGGCCTTCATGCAACTCTTAATGGATAAAGATGGAGGGTTCTTCTTGGAAGAAGTGTTTCAGTTCTACGGCCTTAGATAGTTTTGGAGGCTTAAATAGGAGCCCAGAGCCTCATGAAAGAAACCCCTTTTCTGGTGAGGAGTCAAAGGATTCTAGCTTCAAAAATGAGAGAGACAGGGTTGTGTTTGCACAAGGTGATAAACATGAAAACCTTGGTGGTTTTCTTGGGGATGAAGAAGTAGGGGTTGACCCTTTTGTTTATGCTATAGAATGTGGTGATAATAGCTTGAGGCTATGGTTAGACAAACCTGAACGAACAGTGAATGTTTTAGAGTGCTTGCACATTTTTAGGCAGATAGTAGAGACTGTTCATGTGGCTCATTCTCAAGGACTTGTTTTTCATAATGTGCGGCCCTCCTGCTTTGCTATGTCGTCTTTCAACCGTGTCTCATTTATTGAGTCAGCATCTTGTTCACATTTTGGATCAGATACCTCAGAAGAAGATGGATTAAACCACCAAGCTGTTGATATTAAAATGCCAACACCTATCCATCTCAATGATGTGCATCATCAGAGATGTTTAGGAAGTGAAGATTCTGTACCTGTTGAGACTACTACAACAACTGCTTTGTCGGACTCTAGTTGTGTGATTTCAAGTGCAGTGTTTGCAGCGCCTAAATCATTAATAGAAGAGACAGAAGAAAATAAAATGAAAAATAGGAGAAAGGCTGAGGAAGTTGTTGGAAAGAAGCAATCATTTCCAACGAAACAGGTACTGCTGATGGAGGCAAGTTGGTATACTAGTCCTGAAGAGGTAGCTGGTGCTCCAAGTTCCTGTGCTTCAGATGTTTACCGATTGGGAGTTCTCCTTTTTGAGGTTCACAACTAAAATATGCAAATCTTGTTTATGTTGTTAGATTTTAGTCGGGTGCTTTTGATCTGATTTTTTAATTCTTTTCCTTGTTATACGTTCCTATGATGAGTTTTCAAAGATCCTATTTTCTATTTCAATTTTCTAACTTGAGTATCATACTTGTGATCAGCTATTCTGTCCACTTAGCTCAAGTGAAGAAAAGAGCAGAACCATGTCCAGCCTTAGACATAGAGTTCTTCCTCCACAATTACTTCTAAAGTGGCCTAAAGAAGCTTCATTTTGCTTATGGTTGCTACATCCTGAGCCGAGTGGTCGTCCAACATTGGGGTAAATTCTCTTAATTGCATGGCTTTTATATATATCAAATATCCAAATTGCTGGTGACAATGTTATGTACCACTTGTATGCACTGTTTTCTTTTTCCTTTCTGTTTTGTAATTCCTCAACTTTTGATGGGAAGGTTGAGAATAAGCTACCTACCTAATTATTTTGAATAAAGATCTTTAAGATGGTTTTTAATATAGGAAAAGACTGTATTTATGACTTGAGATTATTTAAGCTTATTGGTTTGTGGTCTACAGTTCTCCTTGATGGACTTGGCTTGAAGTTTGTCTTCTTTAGATGGGAGCTTGAAGAGATTATAGAGATTGAGTAGGAAACAAAATAGAAGAGAGAATTGGGTTTTGCAAAATTGAAGATGGCATGCAATCAATTAAATAGCATGGAGTGAGAACCACTTTCCCCTAGAAATGTGAAAAGGAAATGATTTTGCTCCAGGAAGTGTGAATAATCTCAATCAAATGACAATTTTCCTGCTAAGTAACTCCAGCCTAGAGATGTGAGCGCATAAAGATTGTGAAGGATGTCCTATTAGAAAAATATCCATGGTTAAAATAATAGAGGACCAAAATTGATAGTGAGCTTCAGCACTAAAAAACAGACATATAAAAAACATTTCAGTATGACTTCTGATTAAAATAATCAGGTCTCAACGAGACATAATTATATAATTGTCACAACGTAGTGAAGATAGAATGGATCCATCAATTAAAACACAAGTGGAAAGACAATATAGAAATTGAATGGGGAACAAAATACAAGAGAAAATCTAGTTTTGCAAAACGGAAGATAGTATGCAATTAATTAATAATAGCATGCAGTGAGAACCACATTCCCCTAAAAATGCAAATAGAAATGATTGTGCTCAAATGAAGTGTGAGTAACTCAATCAAGTCAAATGACAGTTTTCATGCTTAGTAATGCCAGCCAAAGATGTGGGCACATATAGATTTGTGAAGGATTCCCTAAAATGACATAAATCATAAATGTACAAAACCAATTAGAAAAAAATCCATAGGAATTATCTATGTGTACAATAAGAATAGTGGAAAACAAATTGGTAATTGATTGTAAATTTCCACACCTAAAGATTGGAATATAGAAAAGATTTCAGTATGAGTTTTCATTAAAAATAACTGGGTTCAATGAGACAAAAAAATAAATAAAGGTGACAAGATAGTAAATAAAAATACAGAGGGGATCCACCAATTCTAGGGGACACAATCTGATTATTGTTGACATGCTTTGAAGGAAAAATACGTACTTGTTTGTGAAGGTGGTATATTAAGAGACGACAAAGGTGATAATTTGGAGACCATCTTATGAAGCTTTGAGATGCTAGATTGACTGAAGTGACTTTGGAATATGGATGTAAAAAAAACTTAGTGAAAGTGAAGGAAATTAAGGCATGGAAAGATGGCATGTACCCTTGGATTCATATCCTACACTCTGACCCTCAAAAGAACAATATTATTGTTAGAATATCTTGATTATACTTGGATTAATTTATAGTATCATAGAACATCGTGTAGGATACTTTTCCCTCTTTCCTTATTATCTCTTAGGATTAGTTTCCTTATTTCCTTATATTTCATGATTTATTTCCTTTTCTTAGTTAGAATTATGATGTATTGTGCTTTATGTTTGGTTTTGCACTGTAACACATCATATCAAGTTAAGTTGATGTCAATCATAGTGCAGTCAGTCTCTTTTAGCTCCTTTCCCTCCCTAAACACCTAAAAAGCCCCTTTAATTTCAACAAATATCAATGAAGTTAGATAAACAATGAGGACAGCAAGTCTATTGATAGTGATAAATTAAAGGACAGTCAGGCACATAACGGGAGTAAAGAAGGGATGGGGGAAATTTTGACAATACCTTTAGGCTAAGATAGGTTGAGGCTACATATTCTTACACCATATACTAGATGCTTGTAAATTGTAATTATTCTTGTTTGGATTACTTTATTTTGTGTTCAAACTATTACAAATTATGCTGACTGCTGAGAGAGATTTCAATTGTAAAACATTAATCATGTAAAAGTTATAGAGCAAAACCAAACTCCTGAATAGTGTTTTTAATCAATTTTTTAAAACAAAAAGCATACTAATTTTTGCATAGTTTATAATGAATTGTCAATAACACGCCATAATCCAATATTTCTTGGTTTCTGCATGTTTTTGATTAGCTTATTTTGTGTACAAAAAAACATATAATTAAAATAATGTAGAGAGTGCTTTCGGGTAAAGCTTTAATTGCCTTAGAAATATGCAAAACCAAATTTGAGTTCAATGTTCTCAATCATTTTTTTTTTTCCACAAAAGTCATTGATTTTCACTTGGATATTTGCCCAAAAGTTAGCTCAACCCCAAAAATCTTGTTAGGACTGTTTTTGGCCATATTTTTAACTGATGCTGAACATCTTAATAATTTCTAAATTTTTGCATCTGAATAGCCTATTAGCTGTTCTAGATAATATAGTCTAAGAAGAATCGTGATCGTTACTGATCAAAGCTTTTGTAATTTTGTACTAAACTGATATATATATATATTATTTGTATATATGTAATATTTGCCTGTGTTGCAGGGAGTTGTTGCAGTGTGAGTTTCTTAATGAACCGAGAGATGATATGGAAGAGCGTGAAGCTGCAGTAGAACTCAGAGAAAGGATAGATAATGAGGAGTTGTTGCTAGAGTTCCTTTTGTTAATTCAACAGAAAAAAGGGGAAGCTGCTGAGAAGTTGCAACATACTATCTCTTTTCTGCATTCAGATATTGAAGAAGTGACTAAACAGCAAACTGTATTTAAAGCGGTAACTGGCATTGGACTAGGGAGTGATGATTGTGCAGCATCAAGTTTCCCATCCATTACAGTTGTTGATAATGAGGATTCTGCTTGTCTAAGAACCAGAAAACGGGTCAGACCAGATCTGTGTGTTGACAGCACTGAGGGATGCAATAATAACATATGCAATGATCAGAAAAATCATGGAAGTATTCTTTCAAAAAATCCACGACTTTTGAAGAACTTGACGAAGCTAGAGTCAGCATACTGTTTTACACGATGCAGATCTGCCTATTCCTTGGGGAAACTTGTGGCTACACATTCACCTATAGCTACTGATGATAGAGGGTCTGTTGTTGTGACTCCAAGGAGTTGTGTCAATAAAGTAGTGTCAAAAGAGCAGTGTAGAGAGGGAAAAAGCCCTTGGATAAATCCTTTCCTTGAGGGTTTGTGCAAGTACTTATCTTTCAGTAAGTTGAAGGTTAAGGGTGACCTGAAACAAGGAGATCTTTTGCAGTCTTCCAGCCTGATATGCTCTCTCAGTTTTGATCGTGATGCAGAATTTTTTGCAACTGCTGGTGTAAATAAGAAAATTAAAGTTTTTGAATGTGACACAACCATAAACGAGGACTGTGATATCCACTATCCAGTAGTGGAGATGGTTAGCCGGTCAAAGTTGAGCAGTATATGTTGGAATACTTACATCAAAAGTCAAATTGCTTCAAGTAATTTTGAAGGTGTTGTACAGGTAGGTCAATGCTTGTGAAATGTGAATCATAGATTGACTATAATTTCTATGGCAATATATGCAATTTGTTGCCTACTTGTTTCAGTTATGGGATGTGACAAGAAGTCAAGTGCAGTCTGAAATGATGGAGCATGAGCAGCGGGTATGGTCCGTTGATTTCTCATCAGCTGATCCAACAATGTTGGCAAGTGGGAGTGATGATGGTTCTGTCAAGCTATGGAGTATCAATCAGGCAAATTCCATTTTTGCATTTGGTGGATGTCAGCTTTGAAACTAAACGTACTGCAGTCATCTATTGTATGTTTTGTGTGTATAATTCTAGATGTTTGATGGGTTTTTTCTCTCGTCTGGGATGTTACTGCAGGGAGTAAGTGTTGGCACCATAAAAACGAAGGCAAATGTGTGCTGTGTTCAGTTCCCCCTTGATTTTGCTCGTTTCCTTGCATTTGGCTCAGCAGATCATCGGATATATTACTATGATCTTCGCAACCTGAAAATGCCTCTCTGTACACTAGTTGGACATAATAAAACAGTGAGCTACATCAAATTCATAGACACTGTGAACCTAGTCTCTGCATCCACAGATAACACTTTGAAGCTTTGGGATTTGTCTCTGTGTTCAGCTCGTGTAATAGACTCGCCAATTCAATCTTTCACTGGTCACTTAAATGTTAAGGTACGTGTATTGATAACAGTTATTTGTGTTTTGTTGGAAATATGAAGTAGATTTTGATTAAACTTTGAAATTATTATGGCTTTTGGCCCTTTAGTTTGAACTATATATAATTTTGGTCCCCAAAGTTGTTTCAAGCCATTTAAATTTTTTTATTTTTAAAATTAAGCAAATTTAGTCTTGCCATATCTACTATGCAAAACCTTTAAATTCTTACATTCTACTTAAGATCTTCAAAAATGAAATTGATTCAATTGTTTTAAACCTTCTTTTATTCAAAATTGCCAACAAAAACTTCAAATTTCACTCAATAAAAATATAAAAAAAAAAATTGTCTCTTTTCAAACCCAGTCTTTAAAATCCTTCAACTTTTCACTAATTTTTTTACTTGTAAACTTTTAAAATTATTTCATATCACTAATCTGTCATGAACGTTAAATATTTAGATAGAAATAAGGATTTGGGGGTTTTAGGATGAGGTAAATTGACGACAAGACCAAATATGCTAAATTTTAATCGGAAAATGTGAACGTCAACTCTTGGGATACCAACCACCCATGAACTGTTAGTTTGGCAATGGCATCAGAAGTAATCAACCATTGTCAATTGGCATTTGTGGCACAAAGTGGGCAGTTTTTGGCAACAAATAGTTTCACACAATGGCCGATGGTGGTTTATCGAAGCACTTACTAGATATCATGCACATATGAAATTCACTTTTTTGGATGTTTCACACGGTAAAATTGTTCGCATGCCATGGTTGGGGTTATTAAATCACACTTCAAATGTTTTCCTAACTGATTTTTGAATTGTGACTTGTAATCTATCAAATCATGAGATTCAAAAACACAATGACAAATAAAAGGGAGATCTAGTACATGAGGCTTCTATCTTTTGGGTCTGGGGTGCATAGATATGTCCATCCTTACACCCTGCAAATGAAGCTGTTTCCCTGATTTACTCTCGTGATCTCTAGGTTACAAGTTGACAACCTTATCATTGCTAGGACTCTACCCTTTAAATTACATAATTTGAATGACTAAGAAAAAATATATATGTTTAGAATTACCTAGGAAATTTTATGTAATTAATTTTTTTTGGGCCATTTGTAATTAATTTACATCATATTTTATGCATATAGTGTTTTGATTTCTGTGCATCATGCTGATGCATCTTCCTTTTGTTGCAGAACTTTGTAGGGTTGTCTGTATCTGATGGTTACATTGCTACCGGTTCAGAGACAAACGAGGTATTTCATACGTCCTTTTTCATTGTTTTATCAGTTATCTTTGGTATATAATTGATAATGAGTTTCTTTCATTTGATTCTTCTAAATGTTCTGTTAGAACAATATTGCTTTTGCATACCTTTCTCATAATTCTGTGCTAAATAAAGTTGTTGAAACTTAGGGACTAAATGAAGAGAAAAGAGATTATATTTTTCAGTATATGTGATTTCGTATATAATTATTTCTCTCTCTCTGGCATTTTATCTTTTCTATAAACACATCCAAAAATACTTATCCTAAAACAAAATAGACACCTAAATGTGTCTCCCCAAGAACATCATTTCCCATTAATTAAGGTCTTATTCTTTGTGAAATAGGTGTTCATATATCACAAGGCTTTTCCCATGCCAGCATTATCATTCAAATTTTACAGTTCTGGGAATGAAGTGGATGATTCTTCACAGTTCATCTCTTCTGTTTGTTGGCGCGGTCAATCCTCCACCTTACTTGCTGCAAATTCCACAGGCAATGTCAAAATTCTGGAGATGACTTAAGTTGACCTTTAATCTGTAATAAAGACACAAACATTTGTACATTGAGGGAGGTGACAGAAACATTGTTCAAGGTTCACTATCTGTTGCTGGGAAAGGCTGTAGAGAACTCTATACGAACTTGTAACTAGTTTTTGCATTAGCTCATGACGGAAGCAATGAGAGAAAAAAGTGAGATTGATCTCTTCAAGAATGTTCTGTAGATAAAATGCTATAGAAAAGAAAGGTGAAAAGTATATTAGATATTCTATTAGGTTGCTAATCATATCCAGCCCCTCTGGTTCGAGATTCCCTAGATTGTTGATCATGTCCAATCAGTGCCAATAACTTGGTTAAAAAATTCATGTCTTGCGATGACTTTGGCTGAATGAGCCTAAAATCTAATGATTCAAATATCTATTGTTCGTAGGAATAAGAAAAGATCACGTAAAAAATTGATGGATTTTGGAATCTTGATGCTGCAAAATATTGTGAAAACTCATCTAAATAGGATTACAAAAGGGGTAAAGTATATTTCTTGCCCCAAAAATTTAGTCAATTTTAATTTTACACACTTTTTTTTTATCGTTTGATCTCTAATTTTATGAAAATACATGTTTTTATCGAATACTTCTTTATAGTCCCTATTATTAAGCTTGTTTTGTTATGTAGTGACGCGACAAAATCAAGTTATATACGTGTTAATGACTATGCCACATCGCCACGTAACAAATTAAAACATGTATTCTCACAAAACCAGAATATAATGAAAAAAGAAGTAGAGAGACTAAAATCAAAATTGATTAATTTTTCAAGAGAGAAAAACATATTTAAACAAAAAAAAAGGATGACCCTGATGCTATCTTTGGTACTGAATATGGTGACGATTGGCAATATTGGCTTAGTTCATATCAGGGATTGATGTGCCTTACAAGTTAAGAATAAGGCGCTGGATGCTAGAGTGACGTATCTGGCCATTTAAGTAAGTTGCATTTGTTTCACTCTTCCAACTCTAATCATCAAAGTTCCCAAGAGAAGTCATCAAAATGCACTTTCTAACACATTTATTTTAATTATAAGCTAAAACTTATTAAAAGCTTCAAAACAATGAGACAAAATCATTAAATTAGGAGTCCGACTTATAGTGTTTTTATAATTTTTAATAAATTTTAATCAATAATTAAAAGTGTGCTAGAAAGAATGTGTTTCATTAGTATTTTTGAAGTTTTCAATAAAATCTATTTACACTGATTCTGACCGAATTTAGCCATCAAAGTTAGCCTAGCTACAAGGACACGAAGCCTTTGAGATCCAGGACCAGGTGTGATCTTGTAAATGTTCCCCACTTTGGAACATTTAGGATTGCCAGAGCACCAAGCACCTGGGGTGAATAGTTGTTCCTTTTCCCTATGCAGTAAATGTTTATCAATCACATCCAAGACAGGATCATCTTGCTTAAATTTCCTTGCAAAGGCAGAGCTGCTTGTAATCATCTTGTTTGTGTCATTGATGTTAAGCACATGAGGATGTTGTTTTGGAGGAATGTCCCATGAAATATAATGCAAGTCACTGTTGACAACTGTTCTAGCTAGTTCTGGCGCATTGCATACAACAGTTTGGAAGTAGCCTTCTGGGGAGGAAATGAAATTAGTGTAGTACATAAGAAGGGTCCTTGGTAGATTGTCCCAACCCCACACAACATATTCTACAAATGCACGCGATAAAATCATCCATGCTGAACCTGCAATGTAGCAACCCACCATGATTTAATGAAAAAAGTTTAGAAATCAAAGTAGATAATGTAATTCTTAAATTTGGGTTGGGCGAACTTAACCTCAAAAGCTACCAAGTAAGACCAGGATTTATTTACCCTTTATAAATTTTGTTTTAACCATATTTATAGTAAACGTTTCAATGCTAGAATTGTTTTTATTTTTTAAATTGTATTGAGAAAGTTGCAGTACCAAGTAGCTTGTATTAATATTTTACAGAGCAAGTTAATTACACTGAAAAAATTCGTAGAACCAAGTTTTTTCTTTTAATCAAAAGTGTCCTAATATTAGATTTAGGATATACTTTAATATCACATTAAATTTGGGTTAAAACTTAATCCAACTCCAAAAACTAAATCGAAAGGTGAAAATTGTTTTAACTTTTTAAAATTTTACTTTAGCCAAATCTACAGTGAATGTAGACCTTTAATAGTAATAATAAAAGAATTTTGAAAATGGAATATATGACATCCTATAGTTAAAATGTATTCAGCCTAAAAAATATGTAAGCTACTGTGTCTAACTAACATAGAAGACTCGACCAACACTAATAATTTCAGCATTTAGTAAGCTAAACAGTAGAATTACGTTAGCTCATAGATTATAAAAATGTTTGACATGAAAACTCAGGTCTGAATATTGTTTAATATTCTTATTCCCCTCATTTTTCTTGATGTAAAAGGAAAATATTTCCAGAAACAAACACATTTTCTTGGTATAACACAGGTCTTCAAATTACATAGATATATTGCAATGATTCTTAAATAAGTTGTGTTGTGTCCTAGGAGCTAGTTGAAGTTGTGTCTGCAACGTATGATTGGTACAGTTATCTAGGGTAAGGGAGGACAAATTTTCTTATTTTTAAAATAAGAGACGTATATATTATTTATAAAAATAAAAAAGAAATATTCAGACATTAAGTTTATATTAATCTATCTATTATTTTATTTTAAAAATTATCAAATTGGAGAAGATTTATTGGAAACACAAATTTTATTCCCCTCTCTCTTTCTCTCCAAAACTCAACACTCCCAAACATACACATAAATTCTCCAAATAAGCATAAGTGAACCATTTGAATAGTTAACCATTAAGGAGAAAGAAAAAAGGTTTGATGGGTTAAACTAACCAGTGAATAGTTTAAATGCTGTTGGCAAAGTTCTCTTAGGACCAACCAAAAATACATCAGATTTGTTTGACAAGTAAAGCCCGGGATCTACAATTAAAGGCATTGCTCGTTTGTCCCTGCACAGTTTGGCTCAATTCATTAAGAACTTATCAAAATTCAATGTGATATTGAAGAGGGGAAGAAAAAAGAAACTTACAGCTTCCATCCTAAACGACTTGTGTGCTCAATGAAGTTAAGGCTTCTGTCTAAATCTGAAAAAGTATATAGAAGATCTGCATAAACATATACCCATCCATATTAGTCTATCAATCATTGTGCTAAAACAGTTTTCAATTTGAATCAGAACAAAATGCACCGAAACAATCTTATAAAAAAAAAGTCAAAATACATATTTGCTTCTACAGGAGGTTCATTGAAAATTAATTTCTATATCTAAAAAACTTAACTTTTAATCTTTGTACAAATATTTTGTTACATTTTAATCTCTTTTGTCATAACGGTAACAAAACATAAGTATTTTTATATATTGAGAATAATTTATAAATAATTGATAGCTATAGGGACTAAATATATATATTTTTTAAAAAAAAACTAACCATCCTGAGTCACTAGAGGATAATCTGAAGCACTAAGGTTAATAAACCAATCCCAGTCTTTAGTTCTCTTGAGCAGAATGGCACAAGCATGAAGAGTATTAGCAACCATGGTTGGTCCTCTATAAGTGACCATATTAGCTTTGTGAATAATGAAAACATTTCCAACCTCAGTGAACACAGGCTGTTTCTCTATTCTAGAAGCTAGTTCCAACCTTTCCTCTAAAGGTGATTCAAGGTCCAAATGAACAACATAATGGTTTAGTGGATGGTAAAGGGCAAGAAGAATTCTCCAAAGCTTCTCCATATCACCTTTTGATCCAGAAATCAGATAAGCGAATCGAGGTATTGAAGACACAACAGGAGCTGGAGCAGTAGCAGAGGCAGAAATCTTTGCCTCCACAAAAATTGGAGCAGTTTGGTTTGTGGCTAAACGTGATGGGAGAAAGAAGAATATAGAATTGAAATTGTGAATTGTAGAGACAAGTCTCACGTTGAAGGATGTGGCTGCAAAGAATATGCACCCAACTGAAATCAAAATGAAAGGAAACACCCATTTCTGCTCCATATTAAAGGACCTCATCACTGAGACTTATCATGTATTCCATGAATCACTGAAATCAAATTGTCAATTCACCAACTAGCAGCAACTGAAAAAACCACATGATATTTGGGATCCTCTTAATGTATCCTCTCAATACGCTTTGCCTTGGAATAGTGTCTGTTCAGTCACAAATTCAAGAAATGAATAATGATGTTAACTGTTTTGATAAACAAAGGAATTGCAGTTCCAACAACATCAAACAGGTTAAGTACCAATGAACAAAGAAAAAGACAGTTTAAATTACCAAAATTGGCAGGTACATGAGTATGCATGCGTGAATTATATCAGAATACGTTGATTTTCCTATGAGAGACATATCTAGTGCATAAAAAAATGGAAAAACAGTAGCAAAAGAATAAAGCTACAGAAAACTAAGAAACCATAATCGGTTGTAACGTAATAGACAGAAAAACAAGGATCTAGAACCAATCGTTGTATTGGTTGGGATGAAATCAAGACCACTTCAACTCAAGCAACGATAAACAAATTTGATTCCTTACTGTGTTTTCAATGTCTTTGGAAAGAACAATTGATGTGATCCCAAAAAATGTCTTGGAAAGAAAATCATCATAAAAAATGGCAAATCAAAATGGACCCCACATAAAAAATTCAACTTTGGTTTTTCCATTTTGTGTTGTTGAAACATATAAACAACAGAAACACAACATAAGACAACAGAAAAACTGCATGGTGATAAATAATAAGGCTAAATGTCAAGCTCAAATATGCATGAAACAAGGTGCCAATCATAGGATTAATCATTATTTACATACATATACATAACATGTTGTATGTATGCATGTTACATTGATCAATATATAGTACCAAAGGAGACAGGACACACACAAACCTGTTTCTGGAGGTGGACAATAGAACAAAGAATCATAGAATAGAGGGACAGATTATTAGAACAAAAAATGGGTTTCTTTCGTTTGTTTGAGTGTTTCATTATGATTTATATACATACATGTAAATGAAACTTATGAGAAAGTGGTTCTATTTAATTGGAATATATCTCTCTCTCTAACGACGCTATCAATCTCACTTGAGCTTACATTTCTGTTACTCCAAGGCTCTGCCCAGAAGACGCTAACTACAATTCAAACAGTATAATTATTGTTTCTTTTATTATGTTATACGTCCTTCGTTTATTACATTCGATTCTTTTTATAACAAATATGTTCGTATTTTTATAATCTCATTGTAAAAAATAAAAAATATTTTTAGATATATTAATTGTCAAAATTGTTTACAGTGATTTGTATTAATAAAAAATTCTTTTTACATGAAAGTTACTAATTTCGTCATTTAAGATTATGAAAATTTTTAAATACAATATAAATTTAGAACAAAATTTAAATACAGTATTATTATATTTTGTTTAATAAAAATTAAAATTTTATTCTCATAATTCAAATAATAAAGATAGACACATAATAACAAAATAAATTATAAAGCATTCGAGTAGCAAGCAGCTCAGTATTACTTAGATAAAGTCTCAGATTTGAGTTATTGTATATGCAAAAAAATCTTTAGAATTGGATCAGATATTAAAATAAATAAATTTTAAAAAAAATAATATTATCAACATGTTTTATGATTTTTAATAAAAATTTTATTTTATTAATTTCTTAAATGGTGCCTTTTGAAGACTATTTTCAAATAGTTTGAAATTGTATTTTGGGAATCGGTTGGATCAACTTAATTATTTCATGTTAGCTGGTTGTTGGAAACTGCTTCACTGTCAAGACTTATGAGAGCCTAATTTATTCAGATATAAAATGAAAACCCCACCTAATAAGTGATATTTTAATACTCAATTAAACATCCATTTCTAAGAGCATATTTTTCCTTACCATTTTGCCACAAGTTGTCTTGGGTATCACATTCATTGTCATTTTCATAAAATAATAGTTAATTACATTAATTAAAGTAAGATAATTCTCAAGTCAAATGAATAAGAAATTAAAAAATACAAAATTTTTATTAAAAATTATTGCATTCAATATTATTATTATGTTAAATTATGTAACATCTTATATTTTTAATAAAAAATATTATTTATATTCTTATTATATGCCCTTAAACACATTATAAAAATTATTTTAAAAGACTCAATAATCTCTAAAGCACATTTTAGAGTTCTTTGGCTACCAAGTATAAAACCTGCATAATGAAATTTAAAAGATTACTTCTATATTTATTTGTATACATAAAAAGGCATTTTTATGAACTTTGTTAAATTCTAGGGGCATCATAAGTCAACTAGCTTCACCACATGCAGAAAAAGAAGATCTGAATGCATGATTAGGAGATCTTAAACAAAAGTTTGATATTGTTACCTGTAATATCTGAGTGTGTGACACGTTCTACATTACTTGCATGCATGTTTCTAGCAGGCTCATGGCATGGAGTTGTTTATGTATTTTTACTTGTCATGGGTTGCCTTCAACGAAACTTGAATGAGGATCAATTGGGTATGAAGTTTTATTCCCAATGCTTTTCTATAAATTGACCACTCATACACTATATTTGGTGTATGATGTGATATTGAATATGATCATTATTTATTAAAATAGAAATAGGATAGAATGTATGTCTTAATAAGAATGTAGCAGTATGTGTGTAGATGTTTATTTATCTTGAGAATGGCATAGGTCTTCGACCTTTCAAAATTGGCTTATTAACGGATTAAGTAGCAAAAATTATATTCTTTTAACATAATTTGTGCAACCGGTAAAATGAAAGCTATCTTGACCGTTCATTATTTTTTTATTGTATCTGACGGTTCACATAGAAGTTTTCCCAAGTGCATGTTAACGGCATCGTATTTGTAAATTCTTCTCCCCTTTCGGGTTCCCTCTCGCATGTTGTGTCTCTTTCAGGTTCTTCTCTCTCTTGTGTTCTCTTTCAGTTTCTCTATGCATGCTTCTCTCTCTCTCTTTCTTGCTTTCTCATATAATACTGTCTTCTTTGGTTGTGCATTTTCATTTATGATAATTAGATTTTAAATCAATTTTTGCTGACATGGGTGTGTGAATTTGTCACTTCAACATTTGCTGAGTCAGCTTTCTATGCTTGCTTGAAGAAAGTTATACACTGCATTGAGTCATTGATCACTGGATAATATGTATACATGGATTTAGCTCTTCTTAAGTGAGGGATATACATAAAATTTTGTTGTAAATGATGCTTAGAAAATCAGTGGTTAGTAGTTTAATGAAATATAGCATTGTGTACAACAAATTATGAAATTGTTAAAATTTCAATCATTGATTTTATATCTGTTTACAAACTCGGACAGAAACTAACATCTAGTAACTGTGCATGCAACCAAGTTTACCTAACATCAGAAATGGAGGGAGATAATATGAAGAGTTTATTATTCTCTTTTTTCTATGGCCTATACTTCTCTTTTTAATGAGTTTAGTATTAGTAACCTTTTTGTTTTAATTATAGTCTAAAGGAGAGGTTCGTTGGCTATAGACTACTTCACTTTCTTGTCTAGTATTGCAGACCATCTCAGATCAGCTTCTCTTGTCATAACCCTGCAGGTATGATTGTTTATTACTTTATTGCATGATTTTTCACTTATTGTTATGTAAGTCAAGCCGAGAAGTTTATTTGTTACTTGATTTTGGTGGCTTATATTGTATTCTACTCTTCCATCCATGAGGATTTATCAGCTATCAGGATATTAATGATTTCACGCCGATGTTTGATTTATATTTTGACGGTGTAGAGTTGTGGTGTTAATTACATGGTTTGGTTATGGCAATGTAGTTGAGTGTTTGTTGTTAGCTTTGCATTGGACGGAAATTTCTTTCCACCAAGGATGGCAGCTAACCAAGAAAATAACTCACATGGCAAAATTCATGCTATTTAAGCTTGATGATGTGGCTGCATTATAGTTTGAAAGTCAGATTCTATATATTATAAATAGCTTTTTTTAAAAATGGTAAATTTTATTGAATACCCTCCTCCAACACCACATCAATGGCTGTTTGAAAGTTAGGAACTGAACCTGCTATCTCTTTTACAAACACTCATCAAGAACACCGAATCTTGACGCAAAATGTAGGGTCTCTTGAACGAGAAACCTCAATCACAATCCTAAGTAACTAACTTTTCCTTGCCTAAACCAACCAATGTTAGGTATTTGCGACTGACCTCTCATCCTCATACAGCTAGGGTTATTTGACAATTAAAGAAAATGAGTGGATAAAAATACACTCTATTGATAGGTATTACAGGTCCTGGGTCAAGTAGAGCAAGAATGGTACACCACTTCTGCAGGAGTTTAAGAGCTTGGTCTCGCTCACTCAAAACTGGCTCAAACTGGCCAACTAACTGCCTTCGCTTGTATTTTCTGCTTCTACTTTAGCTGGTTAACTAATTAGCTACTATTAACTGTTTTCCTAGCAAGCCTGATTAATAGGGGCTGACCAACATGATTCTTTGAGCGCATCTAATGTGAGCTTCCCCAATTGGGGCTTGTTCTTTACATATACAAATTTTGCCTTAGAAAACTGTTGGTTCAATGCAACTTGGTACAATTGTTCCGGACTGCACTGATTTACCGGAGTGAAGTATGCATTTTTTGTTCTTTCCCTTTGCCCAACAAATGAATGGAAATGTTTGCTGAGTTATACTGATATTACCAACGTGTGAGTGATGTGTTCCTATTCTTGATTGTGCTGCCCTAAGGCCTCTCTGTATTACTGCTGTGTTGTGATTAAACAGAAAGGTTACTATTTTCATCGAAAGGACAAAGAATATATAATAAAAGAAATTAAAGTGACCTGTGCTTTTGATATTGTTGTTATTATTTGGGCTAGAGGTAGTCAACTAACTGTAGATATTTTAAATTTTATTCAGGGTCCGGTAGCATATTTGAGACATTGCGGCTGGACAAATCTTTTATTGTAGTTGTAAATGACGATTTGATGGATAATCATCAAAGTAAGCTTGCAGAAGAGCTTGCTGACAGAAAACATTTATATTGTGCTAGTCCTCAACACTCCATCAAACTGTAGCACATATGGATTTAACA